CCCCCCCCCACCTTTCCCTCCTCTTCATATTCTTGCCTCCTACAAACATTATCCTCCTATCTTCCATCTCTTCATGTCTACCTGTGACTTTTGTCCAATTTAGTCTGCCTATCTCGTTTCTCTGCGAGTCTAAAGATTGAGTGCTTCAAACTACTAGGCGCTTTTCCCCCATTGCCTCGGTCGCTTGACTTGACTCGAAATTAGCCTGCGGTATCGGTGCGCGTGTCTGACACTCTTTGTTGTCCAGCTCTCCCAGCGCGTCTCGAGTCTTCCCATTTGGCATACCATCCTCTATTATCTTTTTCTGTGAGATATTTGCTATTCGAATCGGCTTCATCTACCACCAGCCTTTTCGTGTTTGTTGTGCTTGTTGCTCATATCCCCGTTCGGGTCGTTTGTTGTTTGAGTCGCTTGTCTACTTCCGCTGGCATCCCAAGAAAGGGACAAGAAACAGAATTTTCTTGGCAATGTCGGAACCCCAAGACACCACCACCACCACGGCCCCTTCAACCGCCGCAGCCCCCGTGCCTGCTGCATCTGCCTCTCAAGAGCCTGCTGCTCCTTCTCAGCAATCTCCTCAGGTCTCGTCGGCTACCGCTGCGTCGGCCGCTGCAACTGCTGCCGCTGCGACCGCTGCTGTCGCTAGTCCCCCTATCAACGGCAGCACCACGCGCCCCTCTGAAGAACTGTCCTGTCTCTGGCAGGGCTGTACTGAGAAGTGCCTGTCCCCCGAGGCTCTCTACGTAGGTCCTCCCTGTCTAGTTTTTTTTTTCTTTTTCGTCCTCTGTCTTCTCTGGTTCTGAGACACCTTCGAGTAACCGGCCACGTGTCGGCTCGACCGGTCATAATAATGGGGAAACAATTCACCGCTGACCGCTTTGGCCTCCTAGGAACATGTCTGCGAGCGTCATGTTGGTCGCAAGAGTACAAATAACCTCAATCTGACCTGCCAGTGGGGTAGCTGCCGGACGACCACCGTCAAGCGCGATCATATCACCTCTCACATCCGCGTCCATGTGCCGCTCAAGCCACATAAGTGCGACTTCTGTGGCAAGGCATTCAAGCGTCCCCAGGATCTAAAGAAACACGTCAAGACCCATGCTGATGATTCTGTTCTGGTCCGCTCTCCCGAGCCTGGCGCTCGGAACCCAGACATGATGTTTGCCGGTGGCGCTAAAGGTATGCGATCGCATGCCTACTCCTGAACTGTACTCAAATTGACACAATCTGTAGGGTACGCAGCAGCAGCTCACTACTTCGAGCCCACTATCAATCCCGTCCCTAGCCAAGGCTACGCCCACGGCGCTCCTCAGTATTATCAATCACAACCACCGCCTCAACCTTCTAACCCATCTTATGGCAATGTCTACTACGCCCTGAATCACGGCCCGGACGCCGGACACACCTCGTACGAGTCGAAGAAGCGTGGTTATGATGCTTTGAACGAATTCTTCGGTGACTTGAAGCGCCGCCAGTTTGACCCGAACTCGTATGCGGCTGTGGGCCAGCGGTTGATGGGTCTACAAAGCCTGTCGCTACCCGTCCTGAGTAGCGGTCCTCTGCCGGAGTACCAAGCAATGCCCGCCCCCGTGGCTGTAGGAGGCGGTGGATATAGCCCTGGAGGCCATCCTTCGGCTCCCTCATATCACCTGCCCCCCATGAGCAACGTGCGGACCAAGAACGATCTTATCAACATCGACCAGTTCTTGCAGCAGATGCAGGACACCATCTACGAGAACGACGACAACGTTGCCGCGGCCGGAGTTGCCCAGCCGGGTGCTCACTACATACATGGGGGTCTGAGCTACCGCACTACTCATTCGCCCCCTACGCAGTTGCCCCCGAGCCATGCGACAGCTACGACGGCGGCGAGCGCCATGATGCCCAACCCGGCCACTCACTCCCCCTCCACCGGCACTCCCGCCCTCACTCCTCCCTCAAGCGCACAGTCATACACTTCCGGTCGTTCCCCGATCTCTCTCCCATCGGCCACTCGCGTGTCGCCACCTCACCATGAAAGCGGCCACATGTACCCTCGCCTGCCGTCGGCTACCATGTCTGAGAGCATGACTGCGGGCTACCCAACGACATCTGGTGCGGCGCCGCCTTCAACCCTGGGAGGTATCTTCGATCACGATGACCGGCGTCGGTACACTGGTGGCACGCTGCAGCGTGCACGGCCAGAGCCACGTTCTATGCCTGATGCCATGGATCTGTCGCAGGATAACGAGAAGACGGATGGCGAGCGCACTCCTCCAGCCAAAGGCCGAGCATCCTCGCTGTCACCTAAAAGCATCTCAGCTAGCCTGATTGATCCTGCGCTCTCGGGTACGGCTGCCCAGGATGAGGCCACGCTTCGCACCGCCCAGGCGGCGACCGAGGTGGCGGAGCGGGCGGATGTACAGTGGGTGGAAAAGGTCCGCCTGATTGAGTACCTGCGTAATTATATCGCATCCCGGCTGGAACGGGGCGAGTACGAGAACGAATCCCAGCGAAGCCGTGAAGAACGCAGCCCGGAATCCGCGTCAGGAAGCCAGATGGAAGGGGTCGAGGCCACACCAGCCGAACCGGCCCCAGCCAAGCCGGAAGTGAAATCGGAAGCAGGGAATGTGGTGATGTACCCGACGTTACGGCTGGATGAGGATGGTGATTCCAAGATGCCGTAGGGGTGATGGCTGGGATTGGTCAGGTTGATTTCGTGATGTTACTCCGGGCCTTCTTGGACCGGCAGGTCTAGTGTTATATCTCCCTCTACGGCTCTTCTCTCCACTTTTCTGTTTTCTGTTGATTATTCACGGCCATGCTACGAACGAGTTGATCTAGGCGATTGCGGGTTAGTTCGGTTTGATTCTGCTTATTTGCGACTTCGGATACGACCCTGGGACTGAGACTGGCCTTACAAGGAAGGCGGTTCCGGTGGGTAGAGGAAATATTTATGTACATGAACCTGTATTTACTTGGTAAATCCTTCATGGTCTTCGGTTGTCGGTCAATACTGTCAATTACTTGCTAGGATATTTTCTCCATCGTAAGGATTTGTTTCGCTCTTGATCCGGAGGGGAGAAACGGGAGAGGGGGGAATCAAGGGCGAGCGAGTGCAACGAAGATGGATGTTACTCATATTACCTGTAGAGGGATCCGCATTCCACACGAGCTGCACGCGGCCACCATGACGCAACCGGTCTCAAGAAAAAGGGACTAGCCTTTGCCTAATCCGGGGATGGTCGAGACCAGGAGGCTCTACCTCGTACCGGAGGAGATTATGCAGTGGCAGCAGGTTCAGGTCGTACAATCCATACGCAAAAAGCCATGACGATAGATGGAGCATGGCTGGTTGTCTAAGCCATCCGCGCATCCGACCAACTCCGCTCGCTGACTCTGGTTCCCCACGTAGACTAACGAACGAGACTTTGGAAAGAGGAAGCTTATAGTTAGACTGGGTGGATTTCATCGTATTGCCTGGTTGATGGATTGCTCTTTCAAGGATCGAGGACTCAAGGGTTCAAGGGTTTCGGGGGTTTCAAGAACAGGGAGAACTGCATCCGGCAAAGGGTCAACATGGTCTTGTTGTGATGTTGCTTTGCTTATCTGCTCGCTTGTTGAGTTTCGGATCCACCGTCTGTTTACGGCGTCGTATTTGGATGTCGTAGATTGTTTTGATTGTATATTGTGTATAATAAATAGGATTGGGGTGGGAGGAGGAGGAAGGGTTGAGACCGCAGGAGAAAGAGAGAAGAAGAAGAAGTAGAAAAAGACCCGAAGAAAGGAGAAGCGCAAAGGGAGAGAAACAATTGCAATTGTGTGGTTCACAAAAGAGTCAAACAAGCAATTGACTGCACTTGGACTCACTCATCCTAACTAAACTACTCAATTTGGCAGTGACGGCACTTTCCCACATGACTCCCCATCCCATTCCCTTCTGATTGATTCATTCTCAGCGTCATCATCACTATTACTTCTTTCTACCTACTACTACTACTACTACTACCATTTCTTCTTCTACTCTTTCTACTTCGACCTCTCATTACTTCTCCTCCAATTTCTCTTCATCCTTTCATCTATTCTGCCCTTTTCGTTCCCTCCTTTCTCCCTGTCTCAAATCATTATATCCCACCCCCTCTCTTCCTTTCTTCTTCCCCCCTCCTCTCCCCAGCCCTATTGATTGAACGTGCTTGGCGCAACCCGACCTCCCCCCCCCCTCCCCGCGGTGGCTGGCCACTCTCTCAAACCCACACCCCCCCCCTTCCCTCTAGTCTCAGTCTCGCTCGCTACTCTTCCATTCTCACTCACTAGTCACGACTCTTGGTCAAATCGCGTCTCGTTCGTACGCGGTGGCAAACCGTACCCTTGGGTCAACAACCCTGGACCTGCCATCCCGGTTTCCATTCGTCCTACTCTTCTCATTTTCGGTTGTTCGTCACGGGTGCTTTCGCTCTTCATCGTCTGCGATTTTCTCTTCCCTGAACTTGTGTTGTTGCCCCGACCACTTGCGACCCTTCTCCACCACGACCACTACATTATCACCGACGATAGCAACAATCTACCTCGCTCCGCAACGCTCTCCGGCACTACTTCCTTGAGACCTCTTCAACAACAACAATAACTGACCGACCGCGCCGCTTTCCTCGACTCCGTTCTATATCTACACCATGCCTTTATCGAACCGCCGCCGCGCGCGGCGCAAGGAAATTCAGCTGCAGGAAACATCTGACGCGGAGGCTCCGGATTCGTCGCCAACGCGGCCCTCGAACAAAAAGCGCAAGGTGAGTACATAGACGCACTGAGACGACTGAAGAACTCGACAGGAACCACTGGTTAACAATCTGCTGTTGCAATTAGGTCGAGCATCCTCGAGCATCCCCTCAAACGCGCCCGATCAAGCCCGAGTCCGCCGATGAAGTCGACGATGACCAGGAACTGTCAGAGAACCAAGATCTCGTTGACATGGTGATCTCATATCTGGAGACCGCCCGCGAAGAGGTTCGAGTTTTTCGCGACTACTCCAATACAATGACGGAGGCGGAGCAGAGCATTCGCGCGTACGCCAAAATTGCCGGTCGCAATTGGACCTACTACGTTAAGACCCTCCATGTCAACATCGGTCGCGAACCCGACCGCGAGCAGAAGCTAGATGAGCAGTCGAGTCCTGTCACCATTGCTGCGCGCGCACTCCCGGAGATAAATGTCGATCTAGGTCCCAGCAAATTCGTCTCGCGCTTGCACGCCGAGATCTTTTACGATGGCGAGGAGACAGGCTCATGGCATATCCGCGTCAACGGTCGCAATGGGGTACGCCTCAATAGCGTCATCCTCAAGCGCGGAACAGACGCCGTTCTCTCTTGCGGTGATATTATTGAGATCGCCAACACCCAGATGATGTTCGTTACCCCGGGCGACAAAGCGACCATCCACCCCAGCTTCGTGGAGCGAGCGCAGCGACTAGCGAACGGCGAAGAGGAACCTGTTTCATGGGACGCCAGTCAGCACGCACATCCTCAACCTTCGCACTCCTCAAATAACACAGCTGGCAATCCCACCCACGCTCCGCCCTCGCTGGCACCCGCACCACAGTTTCTCAAGCGCCAAGTGACACCCCCACCACGATCGCCCGATACAATAGGGGCTCGTACCGCCAAGCAGTCGCCTCTCTATAATAGGGGTATGATGATGGAGAGCACAGAGGAGATTGATTACAGCAAGGATACGGCCAAGGACCTCAAGCCGCCGTATAGCTATGCGAACCTGATTGCTCAGGCTATCTTTTCCAGCGAGGAGGAGAAGCTTACACTCAATAATATCTACAATTGGATTATGAACAAGTACGCTTTCTATCGACATTCCCAGAGCGGCTGGCAGGTAAGTCCAATCACACAGGGGGTAAATTATAGAACAAGCGCTAATTGATTTGCAGAACTCGATTCGCCATAATTTGTCGTTGAATAAGGCCTTCCAGAAGGTGCCGCGACGCACAGACGAGCCAGGCAAGGGAATGAAGTGGCAGATTGCACCAGAGCATCGCGAGGAGTATTGGAAGAAGCAGCTGCGCAAGGGTACGCAGTCATCGGCGCCATCATCTCCTGCCACCAAAGTCCCCGATCGGAGAGGGTCGACCAATGGCATGGAAGCAGTTTTCAACAGCAAAAAGTCTCCACCTGTGTCGTCCCCTGGATTTAGCTCGTTCCCCGTTGCACCAGTCGAGGCGTACACACCGGAACGAGGATCTCGTGCCAGCCGTAATGGGGCGGCGGACCACAATCTTCGCCTTCCCAACACTCGCGACTACGAAGAGCCCTCGCCGCTTCCGACCCGATCAGCGACGAAGAATGCTGGGACAAACGGGACTAGTCTCAGTCGCACCTATGGGCTGTCGGACGCGGCTGTGGGATCACCCCCAGTGCTGTCATCGTCGTACTACGATGACGGTCCCTCATCAATGATAACGCCGGCCCCACAGCGGCAACAACCGCGTCTGCCCCCTCCAAGCACCGCACAGATACCCTCCAAGTTTATGCCCATGAGTTCACCGGCGCAGTTTTGGAAATTTGCGGATATAGGCAGCACACCGGCGCGACCCGTGCCCGATATGAGTCCGCTCAAAGGAGATCCGGCGGATGTACTAGGCAGTATTCCGAGCAGTAGTCCTCCACCGCCCAATCTGGCAAGCCCCAGCAAACCTGGGACGGCGACAGGCATGGCTACCGGCCGTGTATTGCCGCCACCACGTCGAGAGCCCGAGCCGGAGGGTGGCCGTCGTCCTGCCCCTGGCGGCGAAGAGGAGGAGGAAGATGAGAGTGGGTTTGATTTGGCAAGGTAGGCAAAGACATTATTTCGTGGCGACGACGGTGCAAGACTAACGCGGCTTGCAGAGGCTTTCAAACGATCGGATCTTACCATCGCCAGCTAAGTAGTGCGGCGCGGACAGGTGCGGCAACCTCGTGAGGTGGGATGAAAGGGTTGAATTTACTTCTATTGCTAGTTTATCGCCAGAAAGGCATTCAAGACGAAGGATGGCGACGAATCATGGGACCATGGCTGTATGTATTGATGTCACTGTAGATATTGCTAATGATTTGATGTAGTCTTTCTTTTTGCGTTGTGTCGAGCTTGGTGTAAGTGCCGGTTTGCCCCTGCTTCGGTAGTATATAATTATTCCATATGCGAGCTCTTGCGTTGATGATCAATTGCGTCAGCACCATTACCAATTCTTCTTGTCTCGTACACAGATTTGCATTAATGTACAGTACAACGGTCCATATCCCCCAGATCCTGCAAACTAGACTGGCGATATTTAGATCTGTGGCCAGAACTGGCCCTCCAACCAAACCACCTGCCTCCACCACCGCGCACACCTCTTCACGACCTCTTCTTCCGTCTGCCCCGTCTTCCGAATCTCAGACTCCGCCACCGCATCCACCAACCGCGTGATCCCCTCCACAAACTCCTCAAATTCCGGACATGTCCAATTCGGAATCAGCTTCTCGCGCAACGCACCCCCATCCGCATCCGCACCCCCCGTGGCCGTGGCCGTGATCCCCTTCGCCCCCGCCGCCGCCATCTCGTCACGCACATTCCGCCACACCGTCAAATAACATACCTCCGTTGCCCAGAGCACGACCAGCCCTTCCAGGAGTGACGTCCCCGCTGATCCCGCGGAGATGAACAAGTCCGTGTAGGCGGTTGTTATCGGGGACGCTGCGAATTCTGTTCCGGTGGTGGTGGTGCTTGCTGTTGCGGCTGAGAACGGGGCATTTAGATCCAGTCCGTACAAGTCCGCGACGGTGATGAAGAAGTCGAGTTCGCGGGTGATGTTGTTTAGGGCGGCGGTGAGGGTTTGGAGGGTTTGGGTGGGAAGGCGGGTTGATTTGTCGGTGGTAGTGGTAGTGGTGGTGTTGGTGGTGGGAGATTCCGGGTAGGGTTGTTGTTGTTGGTGGGGGATGGGTAATTCGAGTTTCGCAAGAAGTAGCCCGATGAAGCGGATGTAGGCGTGGATGTACAGGCGGTCTTGAGCGAGCCAGGCGGACAAAGCAGGTTTGGGGAGTGTGCCGGTTGCGGCGGCGGAGAGGAAGGGGTGGTGCGCGGGAGAGGTGGCGGTTGTGAAGGTTGGTGGGGGGAGGGGAAGGCATTGGAGGGTGGTTGTTAGGGGCGCCATCTTTGTTTTTTTCGGGGGGCGGGGGTGGGTTTTGATTGAGGTGAGGTGGGAGGTGGTGGTTGTTGATTATATGCGGAAGAGAGAGAGAGAGGAAGAGGGAGAGATGAGGTGCAGGGGAAATGGTGGGGAAAGTTGATCATGATAAGGTTTGGCTAGGTGGGGTGGGGTAAGTATACAGAGGATTCCGTAGTCAGTAGTAGTCAGTTCTACTGATGATGGGAGTATTGCTGTATGATGCTTGTTGTGCGTGGCATTCGTATTCTTGTGGCCATGGCTTTTGGCTTGCAATACTGCATCTGGCTTTAATTATAGTAGCAACTTTCTCTCAGTCAGCTCCGCTATACAGCCAGTTTTGCTCCTGCCCTGACCACTGAATATGCAGCTCCTCTGACTTAGTTGGTCTTGTGATGCAAAGGGCGGTTCAACAGCAGCTTGCTTCCAAGAGAGCTGAAATGTAGCTGAGTTTTACCAAGATATAAGGTCCTAGCGGCTTGCGTTCACCGGCTTGCGACCGATAGACTACGGCTGTTCCTGACTCAACTACGCGTGCGGAGTAACTAAGACAGAGCTCCATGAGTCATTGCCACCATTTGTCGTAGCACTAGCTAAAGCTTAACTTTCTCTGATGTGACAGGTCGATCGTTCGTGAAGTTTAATGGTCAGCCTTGTAACCCAGAATGATGGCCACCAAAGCCTCAAGACTATAGCGCGCATCGTTGCCCGCGTTGTGAAGATGCCATGGCTCCAGTCCCAGATCGGTCACTACCGCCCCCAAGGACCGGGGTTGCACAGGCTGCTGCTGTGGATCGGCACGCATAAAGCAATCGAGCGAAGCAGTATCCAGGCAATCTTTCATCATCTCCAACGACACACCGATCCTGCGCAGGTGCTCCAGATCAGCGGCGAGATTGTGGCCAACGAGCACCACATGACGGTCCTTTGATTCATCCTGCTTCTTCTCGGCAACAGCCGCATGCTGGAACGCCTCCTGCACCACCCCCTTCAGCTGCTCCAGCCCCACGAACTTACTGTCCCCAAACAAAAAGTTCCCAGGACAGCCGCTCACGAAATCGTTGTTGACTATGTGGCTGTACTCGCGCACGCGCCAATGTTGGGACTGGATCGCCCTACGCCAGAGCACCCCATCAGTCGAAGAAGGCCGCATGTCGTGCAGCTTGCGCGTGTCCAGCACCGAGAGGCCCACTTCTGTGATCTGGGTGTGGCAGCGCTCGTTCCACTCGACATCCACACTGACGAACACGGGTCCCTTCCAGAATGCGAACGGGGCTACTGCATCCGGGTTGAGAGGTAGGTATTTCAGCGACTCGTCGATGGGTCCCGCGGGCCGCATCCCCAAGTACTGCTGCGCGCGGAGCAGCGTTTCCTTCTGCCGATGCTCAATTTCGATGCGCTGCTGGAGCTTCTGAGCCGCGTTCGGCTTCTTCTTGTTCTTTGAGACGTCGCAGGCGGCTTCTAGCATGGCTTCATAGGCGGCGGCTAGCTCTCTGTGCTCGTCACCCATGCCCTTCCAGGGGTCAAGATAGTGCTCAGTTGGGGGCGGCACTCGACCCTGAAGACGGTCCTTAGCCTCTCGATTGGTGCTCGTCCCTAGGAATATAGGCTGGGGGTAAGCATCATGGTCGAATGAGAGGATCATGCCCATGTCTGCCTCAGCGGGAAGTTGGAGCGTGCAGCTGAGAGCGCGGTTAATTTCGCCCAGAAAGCGGCGAGCGTGTCTTGCGGGGGTGAGTAGAATGGGTCGGCAGCCCAGGCTTGATGGTGTATAGTGGTAGTAACTGAACGGACATTAGCGTTTAAGAACTAGTCTGGGAATCTAGGAGTCTGGGAGGTCATACATATCCCAGCTACGAGCCCAGAATTGATTCTTGTCGAAGAACCGGCTGGCAATCTGCTGGGACAAGCCTTCATCTTTGATGAATTTGTAAGGATAACGTGAGAGCGCGATGATGGGTGCGAAGATCTTGTCACTAGTGTCTTTGTGCGAGTCCTCGATGCTCGCTATGAGTTCTTCAGACTCAGATTGTTCGATGTTTGGTTCTTCGCGTCTGGATTTCGCAGGGTCAATGCTGACATGCTTCAGGTCACCAAGCACTAGGTCTTCAAGTTCTGGTCCGTCAAGGTTGCTCTCAACGGCAGTGATTTTCTCAAGATCGGTTTCCTCGGGCTTCAAGCCTTTGGAGTTTCCTTCCTCGAACTTGTCTTCTTTATGCTTGACAATCTCGGTTTGGATATCTATGTGCATGATTCTCTCCGGCTGTAGTTCCTCAGGCTGGGCCTCTTCGGGGTGAACTTGCTCGTGCTTGGCTTTGGCGGCACAAGGTTGTTCAGAGCGTGTATCCTTGCCACTGGCTTCTTTGAGCGCTCTCTCTTCTAAGCGTAGATCGGGGGCAAGCGTTAGTTCATCGCCCGCCTCGCCTTGCGAACTGGACTGACCGAGGGTTCACAGCACTGATGTTGACATCCTCCGAGGGATTTTAACTTGTTTTACTTACGGTTGAGACGAGTGTCCATCTTCAGCAGCTCATTCACGCCAGCAAAGAGGTACTCGAGACGCTCTTCTGGTGTCATCTTGTCAATGTTTTGAATCGCTGTCAATCCCTTAGGGGTTATAAGAGACCCGTAGTAGTTTGGAGGAGGAGAAGGCAAAAGAGGAGTGAGCAGGTGATCACAAAATGTACAACACTACATATGAGGAAAGCAAACGGCGGGGCCGTGCAAATGTGCAACATTCAAGGCTCCAAAGTTACTGCCATCCATTCACCACGCGGTCTCGAGGTTCTTCACTTAGCAAGCCTGTCCTGGCTACTCTCAATTCAATTATTATACGATGATACTGCGCGCAGGATAATTTATTGATCAAGCAGTATTATGGTAAATTGATTGATCAACGTCCCTGTTCAACCAAAATTTTGCTTGTATACTTCGTTTGTCAGTAATTGGCTTCGTTTGTACACGTATAACTACGCATTAGGAGGTATATTGCACTGTAGACCGAACCGGGACTCAGACAACACATCAACAGCCACGTCTCCCAGGCACCAACGGTGTAACCGGCCAACAAACTCAGGACCTCTCAAGACATCTAGCATCATATACCATAAATACCAACATCACAGAGACCGATCGCAGAAACGATTACAAAATACCTGACTTATCAGCATCTCCGGACCTCCCAATTGACAGCTGCCGGATCAACCTTTTTCCCGTTGCCTTGCTGACTCACGCCGCTGTCCAGCCAATCACTGTTTATCTCCCTCCACGTCCACTTCGGCTTCATCCAACAATAACACGACAGTTGAACAGCTCAAACACAATCATTTGCCGTTCTTTCTCTATCTGCAGCTGGTAGCTTGTGCAGACTTTCCTGTCTCGCAAGCTCTTCCCATCCATGTAAAAGTGCGGACCAGTCCCTCTTCATGGCCGCACCCTCGCCCAGGGTGCCGTCCGTCCACCACCACTGACCATCTGTCCGCCCGTTCCTTCGACGCGCCCTCTTTTGCGCCCTCCCTTTCGCCTTCGCATTCCTACACTCTTTCCGTCTACTTGTTGGATGGTATGGCGGACTACCACGATCCTGGAGGCCTCATCCTGGACGGGCCTTTTGACCCTGACGCCCAAGCCACTGTCACCGACTACATTGACTACACCGAGTATCTGCCCGCCGACCTCCTTCGTTCCCTCACCCTGATCCGCGGCCTCGATGAGCGCTATCTGGACGCTACGCAGGGCGTTCACGAGTTGACAAAAACATATGGCCGCCTTCCTGACCTTCCTTCCGATCATCGTCCCGATGCGCGCGATCTGCGCAAGGACATCTCCGCCCAGCTCGATCGCGCCATCAACGCGCGCGAGTCCGCCTACGCCGAAGCTTGTCGCCTATACGAGGTCATTGATCGTCATTACAGTCGCCTCGACTGCATCAAGCGCAAGCTAGAGGCACTTCCCAAACCCGCATCGCGCGAACCCACACCGCCCCCGGCCCCTCCTGTCCAGAGCATCGCAACCACCAAACGCGGCCGATCGGTCAAGCAAGTCGATGAGAATGCCGTCGCTTTGGTGCCTCCGACGACGCGCATCACTTTGCGCCTCGATAGCCGAGAGGGTAGCCGCACCAGTGCGCAGCCCAAATCGCGGACTCGTCGGTCGCTTATCGCCGCCGAACATTTGACCGACTTCAACCCTGACTCCCCGATCGCCAGTACAGAACACTCGGATGACGAGGCAGACGCTCCGGCAGCATCCCCCGACTCTCAACCAAAAGCTGCCGCTGCTCCCCTTTCTGCTGCTACAACTGACTCCTCGACCCCTACCACTGCCACCACACCTGCCAAAGAGAAGAAAACCGCTCGGCGTTCGCGTCTGTCCGGACTGGGCCCTGGCGTTCCGGGTACCAGTGGGCCTTCTATATCCACCAGTAATGCGCTGGCTATGCTCAAACCACCCCCCGAAGACGCCAAGCCGGGCAGCGAGGACATGCCGTGGTTGCGGCTGACTGAGTGGGAGATGACCAAGCTTCGCAAGAAGATGAAGAAGAATTCAGTCTGGCAGCCGAGTGAGGTTATGATTCATCGCGAGTTGGCACTCCGTGGTCGCGGCTGGGAGGCTTACAGGAACGCTAAGGCACAGGCTGATGCGTCCGGGGCTGAGTTCCTTGACTGCGACGACATCATGAACACATACATTCCTGGCAAACTAAGCAAGCGCGGCGAAGCACCCCTGGACATTGAGGCGCCGTTTGAGACTAAGTTGAGTAACAGAGGTATGAAATTAAATGAGGCGAAGAAGCTCAAGCGAGAGAACCAGGCGCGTGAGCAGGCGGCGGCGGCAGCAGCTGCTGCCGCCGCCGCCGCCGCTGCAGGAGATAACACAACAGTCAAGAGCCCGAACCGGCCGACCCTAACACTCAAAGGTCCTACTGCTCCTGAGGCAACACCGGCTACAGGCAAGCCAAGTCGCTCTGCTGCAAGGAAGCGTAAAGCAGACCAAGCATCACCGCCAGAGACAACGTCTGCAGCTCCTGCTGCCCCTGCGTCTGCTACCCCTCCTGCTCCTGTTACTGTGACGTCTCCTAGTTCCATTGTGTCCAATGCTTCTGTTGCCCCCACTACTTCGCCGGTTGCCTCTGCTGGTCCAGCGGATTCGGAAGCTCCAGAAGCTCTAGAGGCATCAAAAACCGGGGAGGCCCAGAGGGTTTCGGAGGCTCTAACGGCGCCTGCTGATATCACTACTCCGGCTGAGGGAGAGACACGAACCTCACTGCGCAGTGCCAGCAAACGTCGTCGGATCAGCAAAGAATCGTCGATATCTGTTGAGAGCAGTAAGACCATGCCCAATCAAGCTCCATCGGTTGTGTCAAATACTGCTGCGGCCGAGCCAGCTGATACGCAGAAGCCATCAATCCTGTCGTCCCCAGTCAGCACCAAACGATCATTGCCCCCTCCTGCTGCAGCTAGCACCGGTAAAGCAGCAGCAGCAGCCGATACGCCCACACCTCCAGTTACTCGACCCCCATCCCGTCGAGGGGCAGCCCTGTCAGCAGAACCGGTTACCAACGCAAGTACTTTGCCGACAACTGGCCGCGAGCTTCGTCGGAAAAGCGCTACGCCTGCGCGGCGCACTCCTGTACCGGAGGGAGCCCGCGCCACTAGTGTCAGCGCACCGCATCGCAAACGCAAACGTCCTGCCCCGGGTCCCGTATCATCAGGTCAGGATGGTGGAGCCGCAGTCAGCTACGGCCGACGTAAGGCTAAGCCAAGCAAGAAGCGCATCAATCTTCTTGGGGGAGATTTGTTGAACCGCGACGATATTCGCATTGACGAGGACGGTGTTCTGGAGGAGATCGACCCGAATGAGCCGCGATACTGCATTTGTGGAGACGTGAGTTTCGGGACCATGATCTGCTGCGAGAATCCCGATGTATGTTTTGCCCCTTCCCCCTTCTTTCATGTCCTGAAACTGTCCGTAGCTAACACACAGCCAGTGTGACCGCGAATGGTTCCATCTGAATTGTGTAGGTCTGTCGGAAGTGCCTAGTCGGACTGCGAAATGGTACTGTCCGGAATGCCGCGTGAAGTTCAACAAAGGAGTGGATGGGATTGTGAAGATTAACCCACGGCGTTAACGGTTCGTTTTGGAAACCGTCTATTACGTCCATCTTGTTTCACCCCCTCTCCCTCCTCGATTCTTTCGTGGAGAAAGATCTCTTACCATTCAATGTAGTGGTGGCCATGTGCTACGAGACCACGATCTGTCACTTTCTCGCTCCCATAAATCTCGTTCTTAATGTCTTCTCGGTTCCTAATCTGAGGGGTTGTTTTCCAATGTTTCCTTTGTGATTCGCAGCGCGGCGAAATGCTCGAGCGGGAGTTTGAGGGAGTTTGATTTCATTGTTCGTATTGGTGATACCATGACAGACAGACAGGAGAATGTTCGATTGATGTTGTTGGGTAGTTCATACTATTTACCTCTTACTTTCTCTTTCTTTTTGATTTCCTTCCTATGTGTTAGGCTTGCTCTCTCCTTGCAGAAGAAATATGGATATCTACAGTACAATTGACCATCTTTCCTCGTTTACATGACCCTTTTCAGGTCGAATGACAGCGGCTCAATAAATTTGAGTAAGATGTATAAATTCATTAGCAAACATGTGCTATATACACTGGCCTGTGTCGTTGTCGTCATCCTCGTTGTCCGCGAGAGGAACACAAAGTTTTACTTCAACTCCCACTGACCGTCGACGCTGACAATCTCAACCGATCGCTTCTCATCCAACGAGACCCGACCGGCGTGCAGGATCGCCGTCGTGGCGATGGTGTTTTTGAGTGTAGGCAGGGGCCGGGCGTCCAGCTGATCCAGTGTGACGCGACCCTCGTTGAGGGCCGTGACGGCATCGATAAACTTCTCGAAGCTGATGTATCCGTAGCCCGTCTGACCGCCGAAGTTCCCCTCCTCGTCGGGGGCGTACTTCATATAGAAGCTGGAATGTGTGTTAGAAAGCTTCCGTTGCTGTTTCATTGAGGAGGGGCAAGGGGAGCTTACGGGTTCACCCAAATCAATCCTTGCTCATCCTCTGTGACATCGTAGCCACGCTTGGCTTGGTTCACGCGGACTTCACCTTTGGAGCCCATGTCTGGTTGGAGCAGGCAGCGTTAGCTGATGACATAGTGGGGGGAAGGAGGCAACAGGAGGAAGCAGGCCGGGAGTGAGGGACATACAATGGAAGTACTGATTTGAGTGCACACCAGCCTTCTGCGGCGCAGTCCAGCTGGCGGTATACACGCCGGTGGCCAAGCGACCACTACCGTCCTTCTTGCGCCACTCGACCAGCAAAGTGATGGTATCCTCGGTCTGGTTGACGCAGCCCAGCTCGGTGGCGGTCCCGGTGGAGGCGCTGGCGGTGACCTTGACGGGCTGATAGTCGGGAACCATGCTCTCGTTGATATCGATGTGGTGGGAGTTGAGGTAGTACGAGATGTCGGAGTCCTTGCCGGCCCAGGCCTTGAAGGTCTCCAGCTGCGACTTGGGCTGGCTCATGTAGCTGTAGAAATAGTTGAAGTCGCCCAGGCGCGCGGCTTTGGCCCGCGCATCGCTGTACGCCGGGTCAAACCGCTTGTGGTGCTCGATGAACACAAGCACCCCGTGCTTACGGCTCTCCGCCAACAGGTCCAGGTGGTCGCGCAGCAGCTGCGTCGCCGGCTTCGTGATCAGCACGTGGATCTTGCGCTGAATCGCGTACAGCGCGATCGGGTAGTGCGTCGGGTCTGGCGTGAAGATTGTGATCGCCGACCCCGCCGGCAGGGCGTCGATGGCCGCCTTGTACGCCTCTGGGTCTGTGGTCCCGTCCGCTGGGAAGGAGGTGAAGCTCGTGTCGAGATTGTTGTAGACTTGCGAGATGTTGCGGTGGAGGTGCTCGCCTTTTTTGGGGGAGACACATTGCATTAGTAAACTAATTGGGGGTTTGGGAGTGGAGGTGCAAAACATACGGATGCCAGGGAACTTGGAGCCAGATACACCAACCATGCTCAAGTCGCCAACTTTGCCCCGACGGCGCAGGTCGAAGAGCGTCAGACCCACGACTCCGACTTTCTTGTCCGAGGTTGAGGCCGCACCACCGACGTATCCGGTGGTGTACTCGCCCGTTCCTACCTGGATGCATCGTTAGGATTCCGGCGCGAGGCGAGGTAGTGAGAGGTGAAGCCTTACCATCAACACAGCGGGGGGAGACATTTTGTAGAATGTGAGAGGGGGGGGGAAAGAAATTGAGTTAGACAATTGAAGCAAAAGAAGAGAAAAAGAAAAAAGAAAAGAAAAGAAAGGAATCAGCAAGCAAAGTGGGCGTCAGGAGGATTTATCCACTGGGACCTGGAAACCTGCGGGGTTCAATAGCCGACGTTGAGGAGGGAGGGATTTTGTGTCCACGAACAATTGCATCAATCAATGGTGTTTCTGGGCGGGAAGGTTTAGATGCTCGTGATATCTGAGGTGAATTGAGTGTGTCCCAGGCAGAATAAGACTTGCGAGCGTTACTGCCTGGTAATACTTCTGTCCATGACATCGAGGTCGAGCGTCTGCAGCCTGCATCATCGGCCTCTGAAGCCAAAAGAGGCAAGTTGTTGATTGGTGGAGAAATGGCCTCCGCGCCGGCCGTGGGGTTGACGGATTACAGGCCGGATACCATTTTCAATACACGCGGGGTAAACAATGAGGGGGTATAAGAATCTCGCCCTCATAAGTGTCTGTCTGTCTACATCTTCCTACTTTTTGCACTCTCTCTTCTTTCCGTTCTCTCTTGCTCATTGCATTACTCAATTGACATAGCCTTCTCTTGCATACACATTCCGCCAAGTAAGTCTGTTCCCAGTGATCGGGTGGATTTCCTTCCCTAACCGCAAAGCGCAGAATGTCCCGCACTCCCCTTCGCCCCGGAGTTTACGCTCCCACCATGACCTTCTTCAACCCAGACACCGAAGACCTCGATATTCCTACCATTCGCCGTCACGCCGTTCGCCTCGCCAAGGCCGGTTTGGTTGGTCTCGTCTGCATGGGCTCCAATGGTGAGGCCGTGCACCTGACACTGGCCGAGAAGAAGACCGTCATCAGCGAGACTCGGTCCGCCCTGGTCGAGGCCGGCTTCTCCAATGTCCCCGTCATCGCGGGTGCCAGCGAGCAGAGCATCCGGGGAACCATTGCTCTATGCAAGGAGTCCGCCGACGCCGGAGCCGAATATGCCCTCATTGTGCCCCCCAGCTACTACCGCTACGCCGTGGGCAACGACCAGACCATCTACGAGTACTTCACTGCGGTGGCTGATGAGTCACCCATCCCGCTCATTCTCTACAATTACCCCGGTGCCGTGGCCGGCATCGACATGGACTCCGACCTGATCATCCGCATCTCCCAGCACCCCAACATCATCGGTACCAAGTTCACCTGCGCCAACACCGGCAAGCTCACCCGCGTCGCCTCGGCCCTGCACGCCATCACCCCCTCCTCTCCCTTGAACCCGACCGCCCGCAAGTTCCCTAACACCAAGACCGAGGCCAACCACCCCTACGTCGCCTTTGGCGGTATCGCCGACTTCGCGCTGCAGACTCTCGCCTCCGGTGGCTCGGCCATCCTGGCGGGAGGTGCCAACGTCATCCCTAAGCTGTGCGTCCAGATCTTCACCCTGTGGAGCGAGGGCCGCCTCACGGAAGCTATCGAGGCCCAGGAGCTGCTGAGTAAGGCCGACTGGGTGCTCACCAAGGCTGCTATCCCCGGCACCAAGAGTGCTATTCAGACCTACTATGGCTATGGTGGTTTCCCCCGCAGACCTTTGGGCCGTCTTAGCGAAGAGCAGGTCAAAGCTGTGGCGGAGGGCATCAAGGATGCGATCGAGGTTGAAAAGTCGTTGCCTGATGTTGCTTAAATTTCGTCTTCCACCTCAATCTTATTGTATATATGATGAATGAAACATTTCTAGACCCTTTTCCATAATTACTGATCCTGACACTTCGCCTGTTCCAAGCCCTACAGTTTCTGTACTCTCTGTAAGTTCGTTTGCGTACAAGAGGGGAGAAGGCGAAGTGGGATGGACTCTGCCGCCTCGGTGCTCAATCCGAACTCCGACAAGGAAGACCCCCACGCCAGTGACTGTCGTGCCAGGGCTGATTGGTGGAGCGTTTTCTCCGAGTGGGTAAAGCGCAGGTTGGTGGTGAAGAGATACTGCGGTAGGCCAATTAGTTAATGCCGCTGCATTGACACAAAAGTGAGTAGGTAATCAGTATGTGCAGTGGTGCTTGCAGTCATGAGAAAAGATTTGCACCCATCAGGTGGTGTAGTCAGCCCTTATCAGTTCGTTCCTCGTCTTATCACGAATGATCCAGCAAGGAAAAACCATCCGTCGGAACTATTACCGGAGTCTGTGTTTGCCACAAGCTTCTATTATGAAAATCTTGGTGAGCTGGAAGAACGATAGGGGCGTGTACGGAGTACGCTCATAACTATATGTCCAGTGGAATACCTGGGAAACTCGAGCACAGAAGAGTAGTATGGTGGCAGTATACATGACTTATTTAAGCCACTACCCTGGGACTAACTTGCCCCTTGTAGAGATACTGCATAACATATGCAGACCATGTCTTGTGGTTCGGAGCGCACAAACCGCTAGTTTAGACAGCCTCGAGTTACACCAAATCAGGAACCGGAGCCTGCGAGCCAGAAGTTGAAACCATGCAGTTATACCAGTTGAGCCATAAGATTATCATCCTTTGAGTAAGTCTGAAATTGTACCCAACCAACTAATACATGAGCGCTTGGAAGAGATTGCATGGACGGTTCAACTGTCGCAGCCTGAACAGGTCATTCAAGGCCTAATCATCTGGCCGTACAGATTGCCCTTCAATATATCCAAACGCCAGATAGACATCTGCAAAGCATCAACTGGCAGCAAGTGGGCCAGACCACAAGTGAAGGCAAACCCCACGGGGGCGGGCGGGAAAGAGATGGGAGTCGATCGGAAAAAGAGGGGGGCGGTCGGCGATTAACCTCTGTATCCTTACTCCATATTCACAATTCAACATCCCAAGCCCCCATCAGTGATGTCCATGTTGAAGGTGACGGAGTAGATTCAAGTTCTTGCCAGATCATCCATTAGGCAGCCATGTCGATACCAAACCAACTCACCTCCTTTCCCACCCTCCCCCCCCCCCCCGGCCACCAACCTTCTTGAGATCCTCAAACCCTCGATGAAGAGAACATAGTCAGCTTCAACCAAGGAAGGGGGGAAGGGAACAACCATGGGATCAGAAAAAGGAAGAAGGTTGGAAGAATTCAGGAAGAAAAAAAGGAAATAAAAAAGAAAAATTCAATGCAGTGGCAGCCCGCCACCTCCGATCGGGGGGAGGCAAATCCGCAAAGTGGCGCCTCACCGCCCCCTTCCCCCCGAGCGCGGACGCCCTTTTTTCTGCCCATCCATTATTCATCGCGGGATTAACTGTCTTTCATCCCATCGATTCATCAATCATCTTTCCCCTGATCCTCATTTTTTGTTTTTCTGCTTTGCTTTTCTTTTCCTCTTTTTTTTTCCTTTCCCTAATTCTTTCTCGTTCTCGTCGCTTTTCTTACCGTGTCGATCTTCTTGTGCTTCACCTTTTCCTTCACTACTACTGCTCTTCCTCATCTTCTATACTTCTTCACTCTCACCCTCTTTTTATCCTTTCTCAACCTTCTCTGGTTCACCTCCATTGGTTCCTCCTCCCCTGTACCCGTATTTTTCGTTCATATATAGGTGTCGGTGTTGCTATCGGGGGGTCCATCTCTCCAGCGGTCTTGTCCCTCGTTCAGTCATCGCCCTTGCCTTCGCTTTTTCAGCCTGGGATCCCTATTACCTTAACCCCTCGGCGCTACCTGACACAGCACAGCCTCCCTTGCGTTCTATCACTGATCGGCTGGTTTATACTCATTTGCCACAGGCCTCCCGGGTGACCGATCCCGCGTGACTCTCCTCTACCCCTCTAGACGATTGCTGTTGCCATCCCGCAACTTTTCAATCGACACTATGGCACCAAGAGATACCAGCATGGGCATTTCCCGCCGCCGTCCCTCGCTTTCCCTCCGCACTCGACCCCGGACTGCAACCGTCTCGACTGTCCAGACCGTTGGACCCGATAACGAGCTTTGGCATGGATTGTCCGTGGTCGATTCGGACGATGATGGGTACGATGGACAGGCGTTGGAGGAGCACCATATAAGCGAGCAGGTTCTGGAAGAAACAAATCAGTTCCCGGAGCCTGCCCCTAGACGCCGCGGAGCCAAGAGCTTCTCCAGTCTGCGTCATCCTGTGGATGGGCTGCGCGCTCTAGGGCGTCGTCTTTCTGTGACCATCCGCAACAAATCCACAAGGCACTCAGCGAATCCGAGCGAAGACACCACCAGGAACTCCTGGTGCAACGAAGCAAACGCTGACCGCCGTGCATCGGTCAATAGTGTCACCGTTCCCGGCTCTCTTCCGGGTCTTGGCCTGGCTCCCCCGGTTTTCTCGGATGACTTTTATGCGGGGGCGGCTGCTCGTGCCGCTGCCGCAGCTCAAAACGAATTGGCCCGAGCGCTGCGCGATGGACTCAAGCCTTCCGGGACGAACCTGACCCGGGACTCAGAAAGTGGCATTGGTATCGATTTGCGTGATCGCTCCGAACTCTCGGACCCTGCTCTAGCGGTGGTGCGGATCGACCCCGTGGCTTACCTTCCTCCGGAGATCATGGCGCAAGTCTTTTCCTACCTTGACCCGGAGTCACTGATGCAGTCCGAGCTGGTCTCTCGCGCCTGGGGTGAGCAGGCTTCCTCCCGGCCCATCTGGCGAACCGTTTTCCGTCGTGCCTACAGACATCATCGTGCCAGTGGCCTTTCGAATAAGAAGAGACAGGCTGCCGGTCTGGGCAACGCTCGCCCAGATCAAGATTGGAAGAGATTGTATCTCGTGCGGCGCGCTTTGGACCATCGTTGGAAGATGGGCAAGGCTGCTGCTATCTATTTGCATGGACACACAGATAGTGTCTACTGTGCCCAATTTGACGAGTATGACCATATTGACCCTTCAAGAAAAGGCCTTCTGCTGACATCATCTCAGGGACAAGATCATAACTGGCTCACGCGACCGGACAATCCGCGTCTGGGATGCGCACTATCCATGGCCATGCCGTAAGATAATCGGCCCTCAGCCTGTTGATGTTCCTGGTATCGGCCCGGTCAATAACTCTACGCAACAATCGTCCGGCAAGCCACCCTTTCTTACCATCTGTCCTCCTCCCACTCGCTCTGCCGGCATCATGACTCCAATGGAGCAGACTGAGGACTATCATAGCGCCTCAATTCTTTGCCTCCAGTTTGACGATAAGATCATGGTTACCGGATCCTCTGATTTTACCTGCATTGTGTGGGACGTTCAGAATGACTACAAGCCAATCCGACGTCTGGAGGGGCATCGAGCCGGAGTCCTCGATGTCTGCTTCGACGATCGGTATATCGTCTCATGTTCCAAAGATACCACGATCTGTGTTTGGGACCGACACACGGGCGTTCTAATCAAGAAATTGCTTGGTCACCGTGGTCCTGTCAACGCCGTCCAGCTTCGAGGTGACCTGGTGGTCTCCGCGAGTGGAGACGGCATCGCCAAGCTGTGGAACATTACTTCTGGACTTTGCGTGAAGGAGTTTCCCAGCAAGGACCGGGGCCTGGCTTGTGTTGAGTTTAGTGATGATGCTCGAACAATTCTCACAGGTGGCAATGACCATGTGATTTACCAGTTCGATGCCAACTCCGGAGAAATGGTGAGCGAGCTCAAGGGCCACGAAGGGCTCGTTCGATCGCTGCACCTGGACAATATGAACAAGCGTATTGTCAGTGGCAGCTACGATATGAGTGTGAAGGTGTTTGATGCACAGTCTGGCGAGCTGTCAATTGACTTGCCTGGTTGGACGACTAGCTGGATGCTCAGCGTCAAGTCAGATTATCGGCGCATTCTTGCGACAAGTCAGGACTCTCGTGCCGTTATAATGGATTTTGGATATGGCCTAGACGGAATAGATTTACTGGAGGAGTGAAGAACCACTTAGAACCGCTGTGGTTCTCGCTCCATGGAGTTTTGCATTACATTTTTTGGAAAAGTTTTCGCTCGGGATTGGCGGAGTTCACCTGGTGTTTTGAAATAGTAGCTTGGAATTCGTGTCATTATCATACATAATCGAATAGCGATAGAGCGTGTTGATCTTTACTAGAATCATCTAATTTTACTTTGACCACGGCTTCAGTTTCAGATCAGGATTATGTTGTGCTTTCTTGCCTGATACCTCAGGCTCCAAGTGTATCGGAGAGGCGGCGATTGAGATTGAACCAAATCAGGTTAGCGCTTCTCACTTCCGTGGGTTTTGGCGACAGCAACAAAACACTTCCCCCCTCTACTCTACTTGGCCTTTGTTTTTCTTCATAATAAAACAAGACTTGAACATCGTCGGTGACAGGTCTTCCTTGCCAACAATTCCCCAATTCCTTACGGTTGTTTCTCCAGTTTTCAGCCACTTCCCTGCCGGCTCCACGACATCTTCAACCCCAAGCCCCGTTCGAACATACCCCACCATGGGCGAATCAAGGTTCGTCGAGCATTCTGTTTGGAACCCGCACGCGCGACAGCATCAGCAATCAGACACGAGAACGGCAAAGGACTAATCGATGGGATAAATGAATAGACAAGAGTTGCTGGCATGGCTTAACAACCTGCTGCAGTTGAACATGACTAAGATTGAGCAGTGCGGTACTGGGTATGTTCTCCTGGCGAAGCAGCGGCGGTCAGGTCTACGGAGGTGAATATGTCGAAAGGACTCGGGCTGTACTGACGATGTCTTGGGTTTGCAGTGCCGCTCTGTGTCAAATCTTCGACTCGATATTCAGTGAGTGCTGCACAGTTATATACCCCCCTTTTCCCTAAAACTCACTGATGCGTCTTACAAAGTGGATGTCCCCATGTCTCGCGTCAAATTCAACGTGAACTCCGAATATGCCTATCTCCAGAACTTCAAGGTCCTTCAGAGTATGCGATCCATCGACCTCAGGCTCAATCTCGAAATAGCCGTATTAACATGAGTCCCGTTGTCTTCTAGACGTCTTCGCGAAGCACCAAGTCGACAAGCCCATTCCCGTCGAGCAGCTCAGCAAATGCCGCATGCAGGACAACCTGGAATTTCTCCAGTGGACCAAGAGATACTGGGATCAGCACTACCCTGGCGGTGACTACGATGCGGTCGGCCGTCGCAAGGGCTCTGGTGCTCCTCCCTCCGGACCTGCTTCTCGCACTAGCTCCAGCGCTGCCACCGCTCGCCGTGGCACGACCCCGACTGTGGGTGCTGCTCGGGCCCGGGCTGCTCCCGCGGCTGTCTCGGTCAACACCGCTGCTCTGCAGCAGGAGATTGCGACCCAGAAGGAAGCCATCGCCGGGTTGGAGAAGGAGCGGGACTTCTACTTCGCCAAGCTCCGGGACATCGAGCTGCTGCTGCAGAGCGCGATTGAGCAGGACCCTGAGTTGGAGAAGGACGAGGACTCATTGGTGAAGCACATCCAGGGTATCTTATACTCGACGGAGGTATGTTTGACTGTATCGATTGCATGTCGGGTGAAAAGCTGTAGCTAACGTGCAGCAGGAGGGATTTGAGATCCCCGAGGCGGAGGCCGGCGCGGACGAGCTGGAGACCTTCTGAGCGCCTTATAACGTTGGTCTTCAATATTAATACCCCCTTCATAGCACACTGCGCAAGCGTTCGGTCGTCGTTTGACGACGTTGATTATGTTTCTTTTTCTCTTCTCTTTCGATGTTCATTTTGCTACATATTCTGCCTAGTATTCTGCCTAGACCGTTGGTCAAGATGATGCCTGATTTGGAGAGGGGTGAGATGAGACGATACGTAAGATCAGAAAAGGGGTGTAAGAACGGAACACATGCGTTTTGTTTTTTGAGATGCCGATGGGAGTGGGGTTTCTGAAGAAAGCTTTGTATAGTCGAGTCGCGATAAGGGAAAGCTAGGCAGCCAGCTTGTCAACCCTTTAAGAAAAATATCTCTTGATGTCTCATGTATGTCTTGCTAACCGTTATATGTGGGAGTGGCATCTTCTCGATGGCTATTTATTACTTGCCATTCATATTCGTGCGCCTATTACATGCCTCGTCGATTATATGTCCAAGTACTCAAGCTCTTTCGAAGACAACAAAGTCGACAACCATGGGATACTTATTTTACTAAATATATCCTTTACCCACCAGGAGGGCTACGTAAGATACCCCTTCGCTTCGTCAATTCGGAGGCTTGCTGCTGCCAACTTCTAGAATCCTGCATTGTAGATCCTCTGTGCTGTTAACCCTCGGCATTTCGGCGCGATTCGAACCCCCTTCCTCCCCTTCTCCCCATTCCATGCTATTGATCCTGGACGGGCATGTGTTTGACACATTCCTCAACTCAACCATAGCCGTGCGTCATAACTAGTGCCTAGTACCAAATACTTCTCGTGCTTGTTCGGTTGTGACTCAGTGTCTACTAGTTATATAGCATATAATACCCTGAACAGGACCGACTAGCGCGACTCTCCCGGAAACCCCCTTCAAGAGTCTATAGAGGGCAAATTGCAGTTGCGCCCGAGCCTCATGTATCCGATTGTGGCAACCACATACAGGAAACTGTCATTATTTGACAGGCAGACAAGACCCATGGAACCTCGGTCGAGATCAGAAACGATCTGTAATGTGTAGACAGCAGCCGTCGTTCGTCGTCGTATTGTGGATGATATAAATAGTTCATGCTTTTCGGGGAGGTGGAGATTTGAGACACGGAATCATGAGTCGCGGAGTGTATACACGGCGAAGGAGGATTACGTATGTCTGGGGACTTTCCGTCTGAGTCTAGACCTCCGTCTGAAAGAGATTTTGTGGTTGATCGTGTGTCTTGGGGTTTTGGGCAGGGCGTGTTGGAAGATTCTGTGGTGGTTTGTGGTTTTGGTGCGCTTCGTGGGTTGGTGATTGAAGATGTTGTTGTTGTTGGTGGTGGGGTGGATGTTGGTAGACTTGCCTGTCTTTTGGTGGAGGAGCGTAGAGGGCCGGTGTCTATAGGATCTAAGCATTGATATTTGTTTCATCTGTATTTGAGTTGACGCATGATAAGTCGATGATATAGAGCCGAATTGTCTTGTTTATGAAAAGGTGTATCGGTATTTATTGAGTATGCTGTGCTCAGTAGGTCCAGTAGGCATCTCATGTTGACGGTCTCTATAGTTCCGCTAGAGACTGTCGGACGAATAGCAGAGCCCCGGCCAGGGGATACATGTCCCTAAGGGAGGCGGGAGGGAGTCGGGGGCGGTGGCAGAAAAGAATCCGTACAGTAAGACATGCTTCTGTGTTTACAATTCTATGACAAATTGCCATCATATAACTAACCAAATCAATTATGCTGTCTATGATTGGACAGAAAGTCTCCTGGAATTTGCTCGGATTGTATTGTGGCTACCTAGTACTGTACTCAGTGCTCAGGTCCTTGCCCGACACCAATCTGTGTCCGATGCTCTATAGTACCGTTCCGCATTATTAAGGTGGTACTTAGGACACTGTCTTTAGTATCGGTTTCTACCTTTCCGAAGCACCCCAGAATTATACCTCTTTCCTGAAACCTGTTGCGAGTCAATCATCAACCCCGACTCATGCGCCGGTGTATGTTCGACATCGGCAAGCTCGAAATGTTGGTCGTCGGCCATGCTCAAACAGGGGGGCTGCTGAGGCTAGAACTGACTGGGTAAGTTAGTGCAGATCTGGGGTCCCACACCGGGAGGAGAGGCTGGATATGGAGGTGTTGCTTGTTTTCTTGCACGATTAGGTCTGTCCGAATCATGGAAGGATACAACATATAGAGTTTGATGAGGGATGAATGGGATTGAACTCGAATGGACCACTAAGCACAGCTTCCTCGTTCGTTAAGCCTCCATGCACTGTTACGATGTCAGTGTATGGGTGATTCTCATTCTTCGTGATGCAGATGTTTGTTTACATTTACCCGGGACAGACTAGCTAGTGGCTATCAAGGCTTTCTGTCTTCTCAGTTCCTACAAGACATAAGTGGTTCAATCTGGTACCTGCGTCGAATGCATGTGCTCTATGCCCCTTGCTGGAAACGACACCGATCTCAAGTAGAAATCTACTAGTTGTTATTCTCGGTAAAGCCCCAATCGACATAACCACCATCCCGTCTGGAGTGAAACATATCATTTGAAACTTCTCGTTGAGAGGATCTCATCGACGGAGGACCGGATCGTGCTATTACCTACTCCGTAGGTAGGATGGAGTCCACTGATACTCATGTCACGGAGAGGGCAAGGGGATCTCAGACACCTGGGGAAAGGGGGGAGAGTAACGGTAAGAGAAAGTCCACCCGCCAGGGAAGCGGGATCGTGATAGTTAGCACTTGAATTTGTTAATGGGTTGGTCGACCTCGAAAAGCGAGTCAAGTACACTATTGGTCGTGGCTAGTACAGTCTGTAGCAAATAGATGCTTATTCGGAGTACCTCTGAAGGCCTGAACAATATCGAGGTGCATATGGCCCGACCGTGTTCTGGGGGGGGGCCCTTCGGCTCACTGCTTTGACCAGGTTGAGTCGTTGGACTGACTGCGAACTAGTCGCGACGGTGACATTTGAGGGAGGGAGGGGAGGGGGAGGGGGGGCGGATGAGGATTCATTCTCTTACGTGGGATGGTCATGTCTGTTGGCTGTTGCTGTTGCTGTTGCTCAGAGTGACTGGGGAAAGCAGAACAACACTATTGTCCTTTGTATAGGTGCAAAGGACTATCAGAGCAGTCCAAGCACACCGAAAACCTCCACCACAGCAAGGGAACAGAGAAAATTCTGCCTCCTTATCAACTCGGTCGATGCGACTGAGTGAGCGTGTGTTGCCCTGCTGTAACCCGACCCATCTTCTTCCCTTAGTAGTCGTCAACTGACTAGTAGCTGTTTTACTTCGGTTAGTGTAGGTGCGGCATCCGCAATCAACGGCAATCGGCATGCACGATTGGATGACTGTGGCAGTAACTATTCGAATGGGATGGCATCATCAGTGTGACGGTGGCCGGCCGTGCAATCATGATGGGACATTCAGTCTGCCATTCCTCTCAATTATCATCTCATTTTCTTAACGGTCTAATGAAACTTAGTGCCCGGCGTTTTATTAACCTCAGCCTTGGCATCCCCCCTTTTTGGTCAAGCATGGAGCTGCCGGCACGGCAGAACTTCCGGGAGTCATATCTCTCCTCTTACGTACATCAATGTAGCTGGAATAAAAGCAACCGTCGAACTGTTCATTTGATGAACCAGTTGGGGAGGAATTCAATCATTCTGAATCATGAACCTCCAACAAGGGAGGTAGAGCAATGCAAGCAGAGTGAGTGGTAACTATGGCAAGCAGAGGACGGGCTGCGGCTACAACCTTGTCTGCATGCGGATCATTTGGGGGTGGGCAGATCTTTGATTCATCCTACGGTCTCCCAGACTGGACTTTCTTCTCCGTGGATACATGGAAGCAATATCTGGCAATCTGCGCCCGCTTTCTGGCAGATTACCTTTTCCCTCGTTCCCACGTAATTGTCCAATCTGCGAGTTCTCCATCAGGCCCGATGATTGGCAGTATAGCAAATTAGTGGTCTCATTGCCCCATAGTCGTACTGGCTTGGTTTCGGTACGGCACCCACTCCGACTAACGTTGACGCTGCTGCAGGTCTAAGACCGACCTATTCTTAGGCCTGGCCTGATCGATGCGAATTGCGAGAGTTGAATCAGTGAGTAAGCATTATTGCCCATTCAGTGGCTTCCATGGTTCCTGGGAGGTCCTCTCGAGACTACTCTAGTCTCATTGTCGTTGACTCTCTTTCTCTCTGTCTTGCTGTCTGTTGTTTACCGTCCCGGTTTCTTTCTACTTCGTACTCCCTTTTCCGCCTGTTACTATTCTCTTTCCCCCTCCTTCTCTTCCTTCTCCTCCTCTTTCTTACCCTCCCCTCCCCCTCTCTCTTCTCTCCTCTCCTATCATCTTCCCAAGCCTCATTCACCTCCTATTTTTGTTTAGTTCTCCTTTTCGTTTCTCTTCCTTTCACCGCTTTAGTCCTATCTAATCGTGATCTCTCATTGCCCCCGATCTAAGGCGTGCGTCCACTCGTTTTGTTCCTTTTTTTTTTCTTTTCTTGTTTCGCCGACGGAAACAACCGCTGCCGGGTCTGGGTGGGCTATCCCAACCTGTACTGGAAGCCCGCACTGTAAGCAGTGCAGACTAAAGGGGCCAGTGCAGTTCCATTGTAGCCCACAGGAGGTATCCGCCCTATCCGCTGACGCAACTGAGAAGACGACACAAACCCGGGGCGAACAAGCGATTATCCGACGTGAATCCGTGGTGGCAGACTAGGTCCGGAACCTTGGGTTTAGCGTGGATCCTCTGCCCGGTGGGAGGGCTCAAAGCAATTTACTCGCATTTGATCTCGGTCAACGCCTGTCACCTTCTTCGACCTTCCTCACAAGTCGCCCGGCGGTCAATTTCGCGACCCCCCCCGCAAGCATTGCTCTGCTGTTCGGCCAGTATGGATCAGACTGGGAAGCGCATTCAATAAGTTGTTATTCTAAGATCAGGTCAACCTCGGAACAGGATTGGGTTCAAGACACGATTGTATTTCCTCGCTGTCTTTTTCTTTTCTCATTATATTGCAGGTATGTTGTTCCACCTATTCGCGAAACTTCACTGCTCTGCCCAATGGTTCCGAGTTGGCGAAGCTGCATTGGACCGACATACTGACGTCAAAGTCAGCCTTTCACACTGGTCTGCGTCTATGCCTTTCGGTTTCTTTTCTCTTCATCTTGTCCTATTCGACCAGGTTTTGTCGGCTGCTTGTCCCGGCTGACGTCCACTCATTGTTATTCACGAACCACCTCCGAAGCTGCTGATCGGTCGTGAAGATCTCTTGTCAGCAGCATTCTCAATCAGATTCTTCGACAGTCGCTCTCTTGTTGTTCGATATCACACACTCTCTTCTGGTGTCTTTCGTTTCCATATCGGCTTCACCTTGCCGAATTGTTCCTTTCGATACATTCTTTCGACTTTTTTTTTCCGCAATCGACTCTCGAAACGGCTTTGGCCCTTTGCACTCATTCCCCTGAGCAGTCGCGGGTTTTGCAGGCAGACACCCTCGTTTCGTATCCTTAACTTCTCATCTCGGTAGTCATAGTGTGCTATCTTGTTCCATTATTACTGGCAGAGTCGCAGGGAAGATACACTCCACTGGTTCATCTTGGTAGAAAATTGGTGGGATTGGCACGCAACAAGGGGTTCCGGCAGAATGGCCCATCATGGAAACGGGCATACACGATTTAACAGGTCGATGAGGAAACGCTACCAGTCAGAAGAAGGCGGGCTTGGTGGCGCGGACCAGGTTCCCGCTGCTAGTGATTCGCCGATCAGGATATTGCAAGAGGCGGTGGTGTCTGGGGTGGACCGTGAGCTGGTGACTGATCAAGGAGTTCAGAGTCAGCACTCACAAGGTAGTGGGCCAGTAATACATCTGAAACGCATGGAGTCGAATACATCCACAGACGATAAGACGACAGTCGTTGCAACAGTTGTCAACGTGGTGGAGAGCGGCTCGCAGACGACGGGGCTGAGCACAACAGAAACCGCCTCCGCCACATCTGACGAGTCCACTCAGGCAACGACATCTGGTTTATCGGCGAAGTCGGGTTCTGTCACGGCACCAACTTCGGCATTGGTTAACCAGCAAACGACCGCATCTCCAGCGTATTCTTCGCCTACCGCAGATACTCCCACTGTGACCACGGCCACTGATCCATCCGCTTCTGTCTCTCCGTCCAGCCTAAATTCGTCCAAAACATCAACCCCTCTCTTTGGCAATACCGCCGCCCATCCTCCGGCATCCTCGACCCCTATTCGACCGACAAGCACAGGCACCGACTCGAGCACGAATTCGACTCAGAGTACTAGCACAACTAGCACAACAGTTAACACATCGACTTCCGGAGTGTCCTATGTTGATGGTTACCAGTCTGGCACGACGACATCTTACGTTTCGTCTGAAACGGCGACGACATCTTACGTTTCGTCTGAAACGGCGACGACATCTTACGTTTCCTTCGAAACGGCGACGACATCTTCCTCGTGGTCCGATACGTCTTCTTACGCTGGAGCCTGGGGGACGGCCACGAATGGTGTAGGAGGAGGGGCGGATGCCACTGCTACCGGACAGTCGCCATCGGCAACCGCCGCGGCCGCCTCTGGCGGTCTCAGCACTCAAACCAAAGGTCAGATTGCTGGCGGTGTTGTTGGCGGAGTGGCGGGGGCCATGGTATTCGTCGTCTTGCTTTGGCTCCTGCTGCGCCGGCGCAAGAGGGCTATTCTTCCTCAGACACGTGACGCTCTTCCTGCAGCGGACATGACTGGTACAGCTACTACTGAGGGATCCATTACCCGCTCAGCGGAGATGACTTCGCGTCGATCCAGCAATGATCCCTTGTTTACCGCCTCGTATTTTGCTCCAGCTTTCATGCAGCGGTGGCGACAATCGCACATGACCACCCGGACGACGGAATCCGTGTGCTCCGATAGCAGCGAACGTGGTTTTCAGAAGATCTCGGGCCGGAAGATCCCCTCTGTGTTGCATTCTGGCGGAGATGGATATGGTGGGGGTGTTGAGCAGACCTCGCCGACGGCATCCGAGCCCAGCTCTACCTATGCTGCACCCGGATCCCCTGTCATCCCACGGTCGCCTCCTTCACAGCCGCCATTGACTACACCATATGGCATGCCCCTAGACACCAGCTACACGCGAGAGGCTGATGAGCCTGCCCCAGTGGTCAAGTTCCGTCCCTCTCCCGCTCGAACCCCCGTGACGGGGTCGGCCAATGCTAGTCTGCACAACGAACCTTCCGCCCCGCGTATGATCCCGTCTGTGCATGTGCAGGTATCCGGATCTCTTTCGCCGACGATGCCCAAACGGCCAGATGCGTTAGGTCGAAGTCATCCCAGCTTCGATGGTAGCCGAGGCAGTCGGTTCACAGAGAGTATCTAAGTCACGCTCGTCTGAGATGGGTAGGCGGCCTTTTGGTGGCTTTTCCCCCCGGCCCCCCAAAAACCAGCACGTATATGCATTTGAGTTTTGTACATAAGTTGGAGCAGCTGTATTGGCACTTGGGTGAGAGTTGGAGGATTGGTGATGGCTGGCTGGCAAGGAAAGAAAGGGTTGTTTGGTCAGGCCGGAGCCCGCGACGGAGGAATGCTGGGTCTGTTTTGAGACACGTCTTGATTCTCCATTACTTGCTAGCCTGTTTCGTTTTTCTTTTATATGGATACCCCAATTCATTTCTTTTGCTTTGCTAGTCGAACAATCGGGGCTCCTTGTATGTTCGCTTGTTAATCTTAATGACTGGACCATCTGTCAGCAGTACTAACTCATACTACATACACAATAAAGTACAAATCACCTTATCTAAACATGACAATCCCTGTCGATCGCTGCTCTGCTGGCAGATGACATAAGATGTCGTGGACCAACCAGCAGTCAGCTATTCTCAGCATGGACACGCAGTTGTATTCCATTTCTCTACCCCGGACTATGCGGGGGATTTTATAGGAGATTCAACCGTCTCTCGCCCTTCTCCTCCTAGAACTAAAACCCACTCTACCCAAGCAAAATGAAGGAACCTGTTCCCTCGCTCTTACCCACCAGTCTTCCCAGTGACTCACCCCATCCGCTCAGATTCCTCATCATTGGTGCGGGATCGCGGGGCAATGCCTATGCGCGGGCCGTGACGACCTCCACCGTGGGGGTCATCCATGCTGTCGCCGAACCCCATCCTTTCAAACGTCGTCAGCTCGGTCACAACTACATTTGGGGCACCAACTGTCCTCAAGAAGGGCAGGAGTTCACCGATTGGCGTGAGTGGCTGGCCTGGGAGACCCGTCGTCGCCAGTCTGCTTCCACAACCACTCCGAGCAACCAGTCGTCCCCCACACTTACCAGAGCAATCCCAACTGCACCCGCAGCAACAACCGCAGGCGTAGACGGAGTCTTCATCTGCACGCTCGATGAGACGCACGCAGAGATCATCCACGCTATCGCCCCCCTCCGTCTGCACATCCTCTGCGAGAAGCCCCTCGCCCTCTCTCTGGGCGACTGCCTTGGCGTCTACCGCGTCCTACAGCCCAGCGCCAACACCTCCATCTTTTCCATCGGCCACGTCCTCCGCTACAGCCCGCACAACATCCTCCTGCGGCGTCTGCTGCGTAGCGACTGCGTCATCGGCGAGATTGTGTCCTTGGAGCACTGCGAACCCGTCGGCTGGTGGCACTTCGCCCACAGCTATGTCCGCGGGAATTGGCGCCGCGAGACCCCCGAGGGGGATGGCTCGCTTTTGACGAAATCCTGCCATGATATTGATTTTATTATGTGGTTGCTCTCCTCGCCTGTCCTCCCTGATGCTGCTACGGCTACTACTGCTGGTTCTGTAACGACCCACCATCACCACCACCACCACCCACCCCGCACCATCACTTCCACCGGCTCCCTCACCCAATTCCATCCACACCGCAAACCCCTTGCCGCCGGCACCGCCACCAACTGTCTCGACTGTCCCGCCGAACCGGACTGCAAGTACAGCGCCGTCAAGATCTACAACGAGCGCCATGTGGCCCGCGGCGACTTGGACTGGCCCGTGAACATCGTGTGTCCGGATATCGAGGATGTGGTTGCGCCGTACCTTCCCAAAGGAGAAGCAGCAGCAGCAGCAGCCACATCAGCAAGAACAGCAACAGGCCCGGCACCACCAACATCAACTTCTCCGAAAGCAATAGCAGCAGCATCCGCGCACCTCCTCGCCCGACTCCGCGCCTCGAGGCCCCTCTCCCGATCGAATCCCGGAGGAGCCCCGTCGTACGGTCACTGCGTTTACGAAGCTGATAACAATGTCTGTGATGATCAGGTCGTGACGATTACTTGGTCGGATCAGACTTTACAACAGGGGCAGCAGCTCCAAGGGAAGACAATAACGGTAACGGCACCGGCACCAGCATCAGCCAAAACAGCAATCTTCCATATGATCGCCCCAACCGAGAAACAGTGCGAGCGGCGCGGCCGCGTGTACGGGACGGAGGGCGAGCTCGCGTACGACGGGCGGCGAATCGAGTACTACCGGTTCGCAACGCGCGAGACCACCGTCATCGACGTGCCCAAACAGCCGCCGGAAGAAGAAAAGGCGCACGGCGGTGGGGATTATGGGCTGGCGCGCGGGTTCGTGGCGGCTGTGGACGCGGTGGTGAATGGCGGGTGGGCAGCAGAGAAGGCGCAGGCGGTATTTGTTGGCTGTACGCTGGAGGAGGCAGTGCGAAGCCACGCCGTGGTGTTCGCGGCGGAGGAGGCGCGGAGGGAGGAGAAGGTGGTGCGGTGGACGGACTGGTGGGAGGGCAAGTTGGAGCTCCATGCCTCTCCAGGTGGTGGTGCACCGCCGTCATAGGAGGGAACTTGGGCTATGACTTATAACATAATCGCCTGCAGGTCAAGGTATCCTTTCTAATAGTCTGATTATCATGGGTAGAAATTTTATGACAATACTACACAGTACGCAGGTATATTATTTTGCTATCGCTATTAACAACGTGCTTATTTCCGTAGACTCATATAGACTAGGCAGATGGTATGTATGTACTTCAAATGCTCTAGGTCCGGACGTCGGGCTCCTCGCGGCCGATGAACTCCTTGAACTTCAAAAGGTCAAGTGCCAGAGCAACGTTGTCCTTGAGGTACTCGTCCGTCTTCTGGGAGAACTTGCTGGCGTCGCTCTCGTGCTTCTCAATGTACAGACGGATGGTAGCACCGCTGCTGCCAGTGCCGGACAGACGGACAACGAAGCGGCTGCCATCGTCGAACTTGACGTACAGACCCTGGTTTTTGGAGACGCTGCCGTCAAGGTCGGTGTAGGAGAAGTTGCCAGCGTCAGCGACCTTGCGGCCAGCGACGGTCGAGCCGACGAAGCTCTTGTCGTCGACGTACTTGGCCAAGGTGGCGATGACCTGGTTGGCACCGTCGCTGTCGACGTTCTCGTAGTCGTAGCGGGTGAAGAAGGTGCGGCCGTAGGTCTGCCAGAACTCATTCTGGATGGAGGCGATGCTGGGGGTCTCGTTGGGCTTCTGCTTGGCGACGCCAGCGATGACGTTGAGCCAGGCCACTATGGCCCACAGACCGTCCTTCTCACGGATGTGGTTGCTGCCGGTACCGAAACTCTCCTCACCGCAAATGGAGATCTTCTTGTTGTCAAACAGGTTACAGAAGAACTTCCAGCCGGTGGGCACCTCGTAGCTCTTGAGACCCTGGGCTTCTGCCACGCGGTCGACGGCACCAGAGGTGGGCATGGAGCGGGCAAGACCGTACACGCCTTGCTTCTGGAAGTAGGGGATCAGCTTGGCGTGGTGGGCGATGATGGCCAGACTGTCACCAGGGGAGACGAAGGTGTTGGCACCGTAGATCATGTTGCGGTCACCATCACCGTCGCTAGCAGCCCCGAAGTGGATGCCCTCCTTGTCGACCCGCTCAACAAGCTCGTGGGCGTAGACCAGGTTGGGGTCGGGGTGGCCACCACCGAAGTCGGTCTTGGGCTCGAAGTTCATGGCGCTGCTCTCAGGCAGACCCAGCTCGTGGACGAAGATATCCACCCCGTAGGGTCCAGTAACACCGTGCATACCATCGAACAGGACCTTGAAATCCTTGTGGGTCTTGAGGAAGTCGCGGATGAGGTCGAAGTCGAAGATCTCCTTCAGCATGGTGACGTAGTCGGAGGTAGAGTGGACGACCTCGACCTCAAGGGGACCGTAGGTCTTGCTGCCAATGGAGGAGATGTCGACATCAGGGATGTCAAGGTAGTTGTAGGAGTTGAGGGTCTTGGAGGTCTCGTAGATCTTGTTGGTGACGGACTCGGGGGCGGGGGCTCCGTTGGTCAAGTTGTACTTGATACCGAAGTCATTCTCGGGACCTAAATGGCAGATATTTTTAATTACATTGTCGTGGTTGGTGCATGAGAACAGGATTGGTACTCACCACCAGGGTTGTGACTGGCAGTCAGCAGGATACCACCGGTAGCTTGGCGCTTGCGAATGAGGTTGCTAGCAGCGGGGGTACTGAGGATGCCGTTCTGGCCGACCAGCAGCTTCTTGACACCGTAGGCAGCACTGATCTTGGCGATCTTCTGGATGACCTCGGTGTTGTAGTAACGACCATCGCCACCAATGACGAGGAAAGCATCCTTAGCGCCCTCAGGGATGGAGAGGATGATGCTGGCAATGAAGGACTCGGAGTAGTGGGGCTGCTGGAAGACCTTGACCTTCTTACGAAGACCCGAACTGTAGAGAATTAGATTTTGGATAATGGAGGGGGAGTCAGAGGCAAAACATACGTTCCGGGCTTCTGGTCGGAGAAGGGGGAAATGGAGACGGTCTGGACAGACATGATGACGTGGAGGAGGGGTAATGAAGTGGGGAGGAATATAGGAGTAGCAAAGGTCAGGTACGAGCTGCCACACAGACACAGACACAGCTGACTGACAAATGAAATAGAGGGAGAGAAAATAGAGAGATGAGGATTGAGGAGGAAGGAGGAGTAATTGAGGAGGAGAAGAAGAGGAAAAAGAAGGAAGACGAGGAGGGGAAGGAGGGGGGGAGTAAATAAGTTGAGGGAAGTTGTAGAGAAAGCAGGGTCAGGGCGAGCGGGCGGCGCGATTGGGATTGGGTCTGGCTGTCGCTGGTCCCGCTTTGATGCAAGACAAACCCACCTCAATCCCGATAGCAACGTTTTGTGGATAAATACTGTGTAAATGGATGGTGGTTGATAGTGTTGATACTACTGTGTTATTGTTTGTGTGTGTGTGTGTGTGTGTGTGTGTGTCATGGTGGTGGCCATTTCTCTCTCATCATCTCATCATCATCTATGCAGCTCCCCTCATTTCTACCCCTCCTCCCTCCCTACAAACCAATGCCCCTACAGCTTCATGATTGTCGCAAACAATCTCTTCCCCCTCCCCCTAAAAAAAGCTCCTCTAAATAGAAGCGATTATTATTGCCAGCTCAGCCCATTCCCCGCCGGTACCAACACACAGACCTCCCCCTTTTTGCTAGTAGCTATTTAGTAGCTGTCTAGTAGCTGTCTAGTAGCAACCTAGCTACCGAAATCTATCTAAAGAGTTGTTCCCGGTAAAAGCGCATCTCTGCAATGCTTTCCAGAATGTCCTCCCGAGCCAGATGCACCTCCTTCTTTGCAGGTACCCGTGCCAGCAATTCGTCCGATCCCCACCGACGCGCCATCTCCTTCACAACACTCACATCCACAATCCGATAATGTAGCCAGTCCAACACAGCCCGGTACGGCCCTTTAGCCAGGAACGCCTTGTCTGCATGCACACTGTTGCCCGCCAATAACCCCGTCCGCGGCTGCGGCACATACCGTTGAATGTACTCCAGCAATGCTGCTGCTGCCGAATCCGCGCTGACAGTCGAGGCCTGCACTGCGGCGGTCAGTCCGGTGCGACCGTGTGTATCGATACACCACTGGTTCATAGACGCCAGCGTCGCGGGAGGCTGGTGGATGACGGTTTCAAATCCTTGCGGCTCAAGGAGCTTCAGGTCGGCGTCGGTGATGTAGCAACAGATCTGGAGGATTTGATCGGTTTCCGGGTCTAGACCGGTCATCTAGAATCATCCATCAGGAAACATGGAGCGTCAGTGGAGGAGACTCGTTGCTTCAGACGCAGGAGAGCCTGCAAAAAAAGTTCCCGAACCTCGCAGTCGATCCACACCAGAGGATCGGAGGAGCGTGTCAAGGGCATTGTGTGGAGTGGAGCTCGAAGAGGTTTGATAGGGAAGAAGGACAACCGACAGAAGTAGAAATGCTTCCGAGTATGTAGTGAAGCTGAATGAAGCACTTGTAGAAAGGCCATTGACAAGATAGCGGGGTGATCTGCCGGAGCTGTGCCAAATCATTATTTCCACCGGCGGAAGGCGGCGAGGTCGGCCGACCTGCCGCAATCGATTGTCACTATAAGAGCCCTCGTACTGCTCATACTACCACCACCGTGCGATATCATCACCATGCTCAGCTTCACACTCATATCCTCAATGAACGCTTCTACCGACCGCAATTCTGGTTTCGTTTCCTTTTTGTGGTCATCGGGGGCATCCCTTGCATGGTGAAGGTCTGTAGCCACCCAAGAAGGAATGGTCTTGGTGAAGAACATTGCCCTCCCAATGCCCTCAATCGTGCTTAGCCCGACATGTCGTCGGAAATTGAAGAGCTTTGGCGGTGACTTATCGGACTTCTCTCTCAGCTGTTTGACTACATGGTCCATGGCCTTAGGCAGGTAGGGGTCTTTTTCACTGGCGAAGTAGACATCTACTTGAGAATTGGTGATTCAATCCTTTCAATATCTGGCGTGGAGGTTCGAAATCTGACCGTTGATACTAATCGGTTATACTGGCCTGAGCATGTCCTACCCCCGCTCGATAACTGTAATGTGAACATTACACTGACTCACCCGGGAGAGAATGACACCGTCCTAGTTGAAGTCTGGTTGCCGCTCGACGCTAAAGATTGGAATGGCCGCTTTCTAGCGACAGGAGGAGTGGCCTTTCCGCAGGCAATCAAGGCGGTTATGGCTTGGATTCTGCCGTCCCTGTTTCTGAGGGCTACTCAACCGCCTGGACTGACGGTGGACACGAACTTAATCCTATTGACGCGTCGAGCTGGGCATTGAATTCTCAGAATGAGGTGGCCGAAGGCTTGCTATTGAACTTCGCATCTCGCTCTATGCACGACATGGTGGTGGTTGGCAAAGCAATGACTGAGCAATACTTTGCGAAGAAACCAACTTATTCTACTGGCATGGATGTTCCACCGCTGGCCGACAAGGCTATATGGAAGCACCACGACACCCAGAAGATTTTGACGGAATTCTAGCCAACTGCCCTGCTATCAACTGGGCACACTTTATCCCTGCAGAGTACTGGCCTCAGCTCGTCATGAACGACGAAGCGTATTTCACATTCCATGCGAATTTGATGCCTTCTACAACGCCACTGTTTAGGAATGTGATCTTCTGGATGGGCTTGAGGACGGAGTTATTGACGAACCCATGAGCTGTACATTTGACTCACTGTCTTTGGTTGGAAAGACAGTCTCCTGCGATAATGGTGCGAATAAAACTATTACTAGTACTGCTGCCAAGGTAGTCAAGAAAATCTACGAAGGTCCTCGTACTCTTGATGGGAGCTTCCTTTGGCACGAACTTTTGCTCGGGACGTCTTTAATGGACTTGCGATCACAACTGAAGGCCCGGATGGCGCAACAATTGGTATTCCAATGCCCATCGGTGCATCCCGGATCCAGAACTTCCTCAAGAAAGACCCGAAATTCGACCTGTCCACTCTGACTTACGCTTCATATGCAGAGTTTTTCAGCAGTCAGTCGCCAAATATGAGACGATAATCGGGACTGGAAATGCAGACTTATATGCCTTCCGCGCCGCGGGAGGCAAAATGCTCTCTTGGCACGGCTTAGCAGATGACGTCATTTTCGCTCAGGGAACCATCGATTATCGCCAAAAGGTCGAGCACGCCATGGGAGGTTCAGCCGCAGTCAACGATTTCTATCGGCTATTTTTGGTTCCCGGGGGAGCTCACTGTGTCCCTGGAACCGGTGTTGCCTCGGTTTCCTCGGATGCATTCCAGGCATTAGTGGCATGGGTTGAAAATGGAGTGGTCCCTTGAGACCTTAGATGCGAGATGGACCACGAATGGTGTTGAAAGACGTCGAAAACTCTGTCCCTATCCTCTTATTGCTCGCTATAACGGGGTTGGAGATCCAGCGTCTGCCGACAGCTTCAGTTGTGTGGATTCATCCTACAAATCAGAAGAACGAAGCTCATCTGCTATTCTTGGTGAAGAGGCCTAGTTGGTCTTGAATGTGATCCATGCTATGCCGCGGGCGGTCTATTGCTATTCAAAAAGGGATATGTTAAATAGCTGATTGGTCAGAATTTGATTGTTTCTTATAATCAAGAATTTCTACAACTGTACAGCCACATGCTCATATTCGAACCTAATAGGAACAGGCAGTCATCACGGCTTCACTCCAAGCCCCTCTTGACCTATAACTTTCCTTCTTGATTGTTCATAAGGCATCCCTTATTTACAATCTTGTTCAGGATACGGGTGTAGTCAGTTCAGCTGTAATAGAAAAGTAATTTTCCGAGAATCTCAATGAGACCCACCTACGGAGTACTGCGGGTCATTACAGGGATTAAGCATATTAAGCTCTAACTAAAACACGACTAGCTTGATCGTGTTGGTACATCATTCTCATTATTCCCAAGGCCGGACAACTGTTCTAAGTATGTTGTGTGGAGAAACGCCATCATCCAGTTTCTCCAGAGTGAGAACCCAATTTCCAATTTCGCATCATTCAGCCAATGATAGAGGATGTTAGGGTTAGTTGCGAACTAAAACCTCATTAATCGGAGAGAGGATAAGAGTGAAGGCAAGCAAGCGTCGAAGATCGTACTCGTCGACTTCGGCAGTCGGGATGGTGGTATGGAGCAGCTGTTGGGGTTCATACAGAGCACCCCCAGCTTTGAAGGCTGCCAAGCTTGTGATCCTTGCTGTGGGCTTGCAGCAAAAGGTACATACCGATACCCTTCCTTCTCTTGTCCGAAAACGAAACGAAAAGAAAACAACTAATCGGAGTTGGTTATGAGAAAAAGGTCTACGAACCGGAAGAACTGATGGCTCTGGGTCAGACCGCTGCCCGCTCGGCATCATTCAGCTCAACACCTCCCTCATCCTCGAAGCTGCGATACGTATGCGAGATCTCAAGAGCGTGTTCGACCACTTGAACGAGCGCTGGAAGCACTGGATCGTGAACCGAGCATCCGCTGCTCCGGATCTGCGTCCGGTTTGGGGAAAGGGTGTTGCCGGGCTAGAGGGCATCGAGGGAGGCTGGGAGTCACTTTTGTAGGTGTCAGGTGAGGCCCGAGGAGGCTTTGGGTTATCGTTTATGAATACCCTTCATGCTTGACTTGAAGCTTGTACATTTTCTGGATGAAGTAAGTACATAGAGGAAAGGGTTTTGAACCCGAGGAGGAGCATGTGCTCGTGATAACTGATTGGATGTTGATGATACGTCGATTCTTTCAACCAAACCCTGAAGCCCGGCCCAAACACGAGGAGTATGTATTGAGTGAGGGTTCTCTGAAAACGTACGGCGAAGTCCGGGCTCATTCAAAACTTACCACTGACCACTTCACCATCAAGCCGTGCGTAGGATTGAACCACTTGCTCAGACATCCCCCAGAGTCTACAAACTATACAGTTGCGAGCAGCTCAAAGAAAGGAAGTAACGACATGTATGCCTCTCCATCACCAACACTGGGTACAACTCTAGTGCTACTGTACTCTCTTCACTCCACTCTGGATCATTGACTCACCCACTTGATTGACCTGCGCTTCAACCATAGGCCACGCCCACCGAGGCAACTTCCACGTCATCCACCAATTCTCGCCCGCATCCTTGCCCATTACGGGACCAAGATTCGTCGGCATGGGTCCGTTCACACTGGCATTCGCGACCAGATAGGACGGTCGTCCCACAGGGTTGGTCCGCGTATATTCTTGCTCGCCGACCGAGGTGACTGCCTTCGAGAAGTCGATCTCAAAGAGCCTGCCCTTGTGCCAGTTCGAACACGCCATGAGGAGTGAATTGGTTTCACCGAAGAGCGTCGCGTCAACGCCGTTCGCTTCCGTAGTCGACCGGATGAGCGCCGCCAGGGCCTCGACTTGGGGCTGGGTGCGCTGCCGGACGAGCGACTGGCGGATCTGCGCGGCCAGGCGGCTAATCGGCATCGTCAGGATCTCGCCGACGCGGAGGAATGTGTAGGCCGGGAATGTGGCGTTGCCGATGACGGCGATATCATTTGAAGAAGGATCAGTGTGCTCCGGAGGGAGGATGAGGGAGCGGAAGTCGAAGATATTCATTAGGCAGAGTAAGCGGCTCGGGGCCGGGTTCAGTGCTTTGATCACTACCCGGGTCCACCATGCTAGGAGAACATCGCTTTCACTGATGAACGGAGCTTGAGGATCGGACGACTTTGCAATGTCTGCGGTAGTGGTGGTGGCGAGTTCCCGGATCGCTTGGTTTCGAAGTTGGTCAACAAATGATCCGGTGATGCATAACACGCGCTGCTCTTCCGGACCGCGCCAAAATAAATCCCACATGAAGTACATGATACCGAGAAGCATGCGGAACCCCCTAAGTAAGAGCCCCTGGTGCACGAACAGCTCTGCGGAAGTATTGCTGTTCAGGATGTGCATTGGCGTGGTGTCAAAGCCGAGGAAAGTCGGCACCTGGTCTTCCTGGCCGTGGAGTACAGCCGTCCAGGCCGTGAAGAAGCTGGCCATACCCATTCCGTCCATAAGGGTGTGGAGGAATGTGACTGTCAAGATAGTTGTGTCGGTGAACGAGACGACGTGGACCGTGAGCTGGGGTCGGTCCGTGTAAATGAAATCATCCAGACCTTGAGGCGCTTGCGGATGGCGACAAATGGGGAGAATCTCGTCGGCTGTACCGAGGACGCGCGGGTTATCTGTGGCTGCGGGGATTCTCGATGCTACGGGATGCTCGCAGGCTTTCATGGGATGCTCCTCGGAGGTGAGGGTGAAGCCTGGTCGCTGGGCAGTGTACTCCCGCGGAATATGATATTCAAGCTTCCCCGCAGACTGGAACGGGGTTCAGCTATGTTCCTGTGGTGTTCCTGTCGGATGAGACTCACATTCCGTCGCAAACGTGCCCCGAGCTTGTGCCAGTCTCCCAATTGCAGTAGGCGTGTCAGAGATTGATCCAGTTTCTGCACATCGAGCACGTCGTCAAACCGATAAGTGACCTCCAGGCAGATACCGCTCTGATATGGTCGGCCATCCCAGAAGCTAAGTGGGATGATCGTGTCGGTCGATACTGTTGCAGGCTGCGATGGTTGTGCTTTGCCAAAGAGATCGAGGAGTCCCATCGTGATTATTGGGGTGTGGAAACGAGATTGAACAATCAAGTTTGAGAAGATTTACAAACGGGGCGAGGCGGAGCAGGCAGACAATTCCGCTGCCCCACACCGCAAAACTGGCTCTACTTTTCGGCGTCGGCCCGACCCTTGAATTTCGCATTCTACAGTTTGATCCTACTTCTAATGAATGTCTCCTTGATTTTTCGAGATAAAAACAAGTCCTTGCTTGTCTGCAGAGTCGTTAAAGATTTCTGACCCATAGTGTTGTCTACGCGCAACGAGCCAATGCTTTCCTTTACTATCCAAAATATGGGATGTTGGCATGTCGACGTCTCAGTGTAGGACTTTGTTAGTGGGCAACCGTAGGTCCTTCCGCGACGACATGAATAGACACGTTCCGGAAAACTTAGGTATCTGAGCTTAAAATCTAAGCGTTGTAAAGTAATATGTAAGGTCTTAGCCCTTGATAACCTGTAAAATATCACCTCTTCATAAGTACGAATTCACTTGAAAGATTGGTAAGGCAAATGACCAAAATGATGGATGTTTGCCAGACTTCCCAAAGTAATCTGATCATGATCACAATGCTCTCCTCTCTGATCTATGAGCTAGAGATCAATAGCCTTGCAGTCACGGTTTGTCGTTCTTTCAATTCTCTCTGCTGGTCGTCACTCCATTCCTCTCTTTCCTAAGGTGTAGCTTTGGATTCCTCCTATTCATTGCCAGCAGAGAACACATCAAATCCGCATCGAGGAAGATGAATAGACTATGGATATACACAACTGGAATCCGGTCAACGAGCTGTGTAGGCCAGTCGCAAATACCAGCTTACATAGCATCAAATAGCTTTCGCTGGTATCTTATCTGCTGCTGTTTCACTTAATATCAGATCTGAGTTGTTCTTTCCCTCATCAGACTGCAATTTTTACATCGTCCTTAATCACTTCCTGCCCATTTAGCTGTAGCACGGTATCTATGCTCCTTACGAAAGACTGCGCCTACAATTCTATTCTCCCAATCTCGTTCGAACACGCTGCCTTCACACTGCGATACACCCTCATCTCCTAACCTCATTGTCTATTCGGAACCTCCAAGCCTTTCCCCAAGGTAAGAAAAATGAAAGATCACCGCAGAAACAGTCTCCCTCAGTAGACCCAATACCCCTAGAGCCGCGGATCATCCGCCATTCCCCATACACCAAGTACAGAGTACACCATCCAGTATGGCATCATCGAAGCCATCAGCATGACATCAGCCCCCTCGAGCGAGCAAAGAAAGGAGAAAAAAGATATGCCGCGACTGGGACTCGAACCCAGAATCTGCACTCCACCCGCTCACGAAGTCGGGGGCTCTGCAATGTTAATACCACTACACCACCGCGGCTTTGTTGTAGGTGTCTGCTAGTAGCGGGCTTATGACCCAGCGTTCGTAAAGTCTTTTGGGCAATCTCTCGACGGTGAGTGCACATTTTTGGGATCTAAAAGTAGCATTTTAGAGCGCAATGTTGCGGCTTTCCGATGCGATACATATTAGTACTGTTTTTCTGATGGAGTTGATGGAGAGGATGGTCTGGGGTTGGTGGTGGAGATGGGAGCTCCACGCCCCCACACAAGCCTGGCGGAGTGGATACCTCAGGTACCGATCTGGGTATAGTGGGTAGACTTTAAGTTACTCCGTACAGCTTCCAAGCTATAGAGGTCCTTGTCCTCGAGATAATAACCTTGAGCATCTGGATGGTAAAGGGTCAACGGCAAATAAGAAAAGAAGGCTATGATCTACCCCCATCATGCGCATCGATCACGAGACATTATAAATGAAAAAGAAAAAAAAGAAATGGACTTGGGGGGAATCGAACCCCTGACCTCTCGCATGCGAAGCGAGCGCTCTACCACTGAGCTACAAGCCCATGTGACCATGACGTAACCATAAGTCTAGGGTCTATATTCAGCATTATATACTATATCGTTCTCATCACAATGGCCAGACAAGCAACACTTCGGGGTTCGAGAGGACATTCCCTTCTCTCCTTTCCTCAAAGCCTATGTACAGGAGAAAGAGAGAGTCACTCAGAGCTTTACTTCTACATAGAATAGGCGGGATTTCCAGCGGGAACGGAGAAAAGGCTTATGCCCTCAGCTGTATTGACTCACATGGTCACCCATACTGGACTCTATTATGCATAGCCCTATGCATGCAAGAACCGGCAAATGTACTCGGGATCGGTGTTGCTGCTGACTCTATGACAATCCAGTGAGGAGTAATGGTGTAGAAATCATGTCTATCCAGCACATGAGCGAGACACTACGGAACCTCGTCGTCCTGGGTGGACTGGGTGATGAGAGCCATCAGCAAGGACATCCTGTCATTGGATTCCATGCTGCCTTCACCCACGCGGGCGATTCGAAGACAGTTCAAGGTGTAATGGCCAGGTTTGGCGACAGCAGGCTTGAGTGATGATCAATGTTCAAGAAACTATCGAAATCATATGGCCTCCTCAAGGCCAGCACTGCATGCTACGGCGGACTTCCATTAAGTAAAAGCTATGCGAGTCAACGTCACTATCTCTGAGCAAGGGCTTCAGATACTGCGAAAGTCCTTAGCCCACCAGTCCTGCCTCATGACTGGAGCTCGTTCCCTCCTTTCAAAGCCCCGAGTCCGTCAATAAAAATACTTTCAATATGCAACTTGCGTAACTTATTCCATCTATATCAATTACCTCCGCTCAGTAGGTGCCTCATGCTCCATTCTAGGAATAGTTCCGCCCATCTTCTGTCCATTCGCCAAGATTTCTGAACGAGCCAAAAGCGTACCACACATTGTAGGATGCGAAGGAAGCCACTAGCGGTCATACTCTATCATGACCAACTGTAACATTATCAATCCATCCCACAATAGAAACTAAAAGGAATAACCTAAAAGAATTCAAGGATATTCACCCACCCCTTGGAGGAACGTAGGTAATCAGGAAGGCTGAGATTTGCAGACATCTTCATTCGTCTGAGGGGTATCCCGACGTTCTTCTAAGCACGTAAACACAAGGTCAGATCTGAATTTCCACCGCAAGATCGCTGAAGTTGGGGGCGGGCGGCGGGCGAGCGTGTGGCGGTCTGCGTCCGCTGCGAAATTATAGCTCTTCCTCCTCCGTAGCCATCGAATCATGCGGTGGAGGATTGGCAGCCGGCGCATCGGTATTAGTTGCTGTAGCTCCAGCGGATTGTGGAGATTCAGTGTTACTGATCTCATGAGACAGACCAGACTCCATTCGTCTGCGCATCACATCCTCATCCGCTTGCGATACGCTAGCCCGTTGTTTCTTTAGAGGACTACCGATAAATTGGCCCTCAATCGCATTAGCCGCTGGCTTGGAGGCTTCCGTAGCGGCAGTTGTGGGAGGCACTAATGGAGGTGTTGTGGAGAGGTTCGAAGACGGTGCTGTCTCTCCAGTCGCCCGAGGACTTCCAGTGTCAGTCGGGGGAGTGTTGGTGGCCAGCGAGGCGGACGAGTGCTGCCGTTTGAGCTGGGATATCTGTTAGCGAAGCGAGCAGATACTAAGCGCGAAGCAAAATCAACTTACCTTGATCTTACGGATGCTTTCCGCCAACTCACCCTGCCGCCTGAGATCCTCCGGGGACAAATGCACGTCATCGTCCTTGTCCTCTTCCGCATCTGCTTTACCGAGGATGGAATTCTCGTCATCGTCGTCACTGTCCATATCATCATCGCCCACATCTTTTCTACCTTTCTTGCCCTTCCTGTGATTATCCGTGCTGTCTCGGAAGTTCAAGAATCCAACGGTGCCACCAGGTTTAAGCGGACCAAGATTGGAAAAATCGGGTTGAATGGACCGACGCTTCACAGACCCAGGAGTATCCTGCGCTTTGGCATCTCTGAGAATTCCCATCTTCTGAAGTTGTCCTAAAATATGGTCAATTTCAACGGCTACTGTAGGAGTCAGGTCATGACTTACGCTCTCCGCGGTACATGAATGTGAAAGTAGCGTAGGGTTTATCAGATGCATCGATGCTCGTCACGGTTTGTGTGCTAATTGTCTTAGGATCAAGCGTCTTAGGCTTAGCGAAGCTCGTGGTGTGGTCAACATGGGCATCCGATGCGCCGCTGTTGTCATTGCCACCGGTGACATCGTCATCGTCATCGTGAGCATCGAATTGAGGCGAGTATTCTCCCCGTTTGACCTCGCCCGAGGCCAGAACACGAAACAATGCGACTTTGATCTGCCCGGCTGACTCCGGCATCGGATCATCATCAGAATCAGAGAACGACATGTCGTCATCGGAGACATCCTCTAGCGGCGATTTCGAATTGTTTCCGTAGCGCATTGTGTCTCTCTCCTTCCGCGACTTCGCGTCCGTATCCATACCGCCGCTCTCTTCGCGTTTCAAACGACGCTTCTCCATCTTCTGGCGTCGTCGCTCAATCTTGGCTGCTGCATCCTTCCCTTCCAGATCCAACCCATTCAGCCACCGCTCCAGTCCGACCTCACGGAAGAGGAACTCGCGTTCGGCCAGACCGCCGCCCTCTGATTCCGGAACACTGACCCAGCGAGAATTGACCCAGGTCTCTTCGCCCCTCCGCAGGAGCGTGGCCACCTCCTCCTTCTGCCGACCGTCGAAGTAAATATACGCAGCGACCGTCTCGTTCGGGGAATTGGTCAACGGCTTGTAGGGAATCACCATGCTTGAGTAGGATCCGCGCTCTTCGGTGGGGCCGGGAAGTCCACCGACTACTTTGGGCTTTGGTGTGGGGTTATCGGGTGTCGGTTTAGGAGTTGAATAAGGCACATCCTGGCCGGGATTCAAGAGCGTGATAGAAATGGCAAAAGTCGACTGTTCTGGTTGGGCCGATTTAGAGTCCGGTAGCTTGGGAGGCGGTACAGGAATGTAGCAAGCTATGCGACCGGCTCGAGATTGGCGCTGAATGGAGTATTCGGAGATCGGGCCATCCGGAGTGTGTATACTCACGGCGAGACCCTTGAAGCAGGGCATGGCGGGGCAACGAGACAACAGTAAACACGAGAGTCGGTGAAGTCGTCAAACCAAGGGCGCACCAAACTTATAGAAAGAGGAAGTGGAGTGAAGTGTGAAAAGGGAGTGTGAGTGCGCGCGTGTGATTGTGCGCAGATGAGCTGGTCGTGTGTTTGTGGAGGCGGTCAGGATTCAAGTAGTGTGAGTTTGGTTGTGTGTGCCTGCTACCGCCAGCCCCCGGCGGGGAGATTGAATGACCGAAGCAGATGAATCGCGGAGGTAATGACCGCCCTTGAGTTCTTCCACGCAATTCGGGCGCAAGATCGGTGTGAAGGGGCGATCGACCGCACGCGACTTTCTTGAAGCTTGATTTGCTAGGCGAAGCACAAGTGTAAAGTATTAGCTGTGAAGTTTCGAAAAAAAAAGATGTGGAAGGAGGCGGGGGGAGGGGTGGACGGGTGTTGACGCCGATCAGGAATGGGTGGATGGGCTGGAAGTGGGAGGGAACCTCGAAACCACCTAAACATACCAAGTGTGATTCAATCCTGGGGAAAGAGTCCGATCAAGTATTGACGAACTCGATCAAGGAGAGATATCCAGCAGAGGAGATTCGGCAAAACCGAGCAAACAATGAGTCTGGAGCAAGACAGACAGAGATGGTGGTTGTGGTGGATGGGAGAAAGAAGACAAGGCTTGAGGGGAGGAGGGAAGGAGGGATGTGGAGTACGGACTAACTACGGAGAAGAGGTGAGGTGAGGATCACCGCCGGCTGGAACTCCGCCTGCTTCCTTGGATCGCTTCCGCCTCCCCCTTTGGCTGGCTCTGTTTTTTCCCTGATGTCAACCTGATGTATGCTTTATTCCCCCATGAATGCAGGCGTGTCTGAAAAGACACGAATACTTGAAGAGAACTAGTCTACGGAGTGCTTTATTTCAAATCTTGCCCTTTTTATAATTTGCATCTTGTTTCACTAAATTAAAAATCGAAATATATCGGTAAGATCAACTAAACGGACAGCCAATTCCGCCTGTCGCCGATCCCCCAGCAATTACCACGGAACTTGCGCGCTGCCTCTAGAATCCTCGTCGTCGCGCCTCCTCACGGGCTATATCTGCCAGATCAGGAAAATCTCGATGCAGGTTGCTGAAAAGAGCTTCAGCTTTTCGTCGCTTCTGTTCTTCCACTTGCTTCTGCATCTCGGCCACCTTCTCGAGTAGCTTCGCGTGCGAATCGACAAGCGATAGGTCCAGCAACTCCTCGGCATACTGGCGTAACGAGTTCAGCTTTTTCTCGAGGGCAGAGATGCTGATATCACCGGAAGAAGAAGATAATGGTGTTTGGTTTTCTGGTGAGAAGGACGTGATGGAGGAACTGTGTGGGTCTAAGCAGGCTCGCGGGAGCTGTCGCCTTTCATCTAAACGTCGGTCTTCCACGAGATCACTAATCCGAAGCTTTCCTTTTGTAACTTGATTTCGCACAGAAGCTAGCTCCGTCTGATCTGCTTGGCTGTCTCTCACTGGGGTCAAGGCCTTAGCTTGTCGAGCTGGCTCACCTCTTTGAATGTCGATAGAAGCACGAGAGTCATCATTCGACGGACTGGACTGACTTGTGTTCTCTGTGACGTGAATCCTCAATCGCTTGGAACTCTGTGGAGTATTGACTGTTTGTGGAGATAGATTCTGAGCCGCTCTTTTGCCTCTTCTTTGGTCGAAGACGTTGTCGACAAAGCCGGTAATGCGCCCTCGCTGGTCTACCGGTTTTACTCGGGCTCGTACAGGCTTGTCTTTACTTTGATACGGCTCAACAAAGTGGCAACATCGACAGTTGCATACCTGTGAGCACTTGGGGCAGATCCAAGCATCCGTATCTCTGAGATATGGGATCAGGTCAACATCAAAGTGTCTATGGAGTCCGCGAAAGCAGAAGAAGGCATCACATCGAGAACATGTCATTCCCTTCCACACCGAGTGACTATCACGGCATAGATGGCAAAGTCGTTCCTATTCTAGCTGTCAGTCATTTGTCACATTGCGTACAGGGCCGCAGGGATATGACCTACCGTAGACTGCTTTCGTGCATGTGCGGCTACTGCGGCCAATGTTCCCAATGACTTCTGACTAATCAGGACATATATCAGTATGAGAACAAACTCGACTATGTCGATTGAGGGATGAACGGGACATGGCCCTCTTTTGGGTAGAGTAGGAAGGGTGACAGCGAGGGCCGTAATGAATGTAGGTCTTGCTTCTTCGGTTTGATCACCTTAAAAGCCGTGGCTGGGTGTCCTTACTTTGTTTGCGCACGATTTGAAGTATGCTGTGCACCGCTTAGCTTGTTCCGGGTACTGGTGATGACATTGTTGCAGTAGTCTCGCGGAAGTAGTTCGGCCCACACATAACTGCTTAAGTGTTTGCAGCTTCGTCCAGACACGAAGCACTTGAGACATAGGTCAAAGTCTCCACACTGCTCACAATGCAGATGACGATTCCAGATCGTCAAGCCGCAAAAATTGCATTCGACCACCGCACCTTGAGTGTCGACAAGCTTCACTTGTACATCTGATTCATTCTCGATCTCCTCGTCCTCGATCATATTCTGAAAGAGAGTCAAAAGAAGAGCATTCTCCTCTGGCCGACAAGAGCCACTGTCCAACGCATGTACGGGGATGAGGGGCACCCGGCCCGTATCCGCGTGGCATAGATGTTGATAAACAGGCTGGACATAGTCAAAAAAGTAGGTGAGCGAGGAACTGTGCATTATGTTCCACACCACTTTTGTAACCAGTGGATTGACATTCCAAACCTGATGCGCAGTGGCAGGAGGAAAGACAACCAGGTCTCCAGGGAATTGGTCAGTAACATAAATGGGGAATTTTGCACGACTCAAAGGAGTGATCGTGACGTTCACCCAGTCCGTGTGAGGTGATTTCCCCATCTCCTCCATGAAAGCGTCATAATGCGATTGTGCATGTCTATCCGTTCCAAAACATATCGACCCACGCCCACTCCCTAGCCGCGGGGTTAGTACATCCGGTTCAAAAAGGAATGAGAAACTTTGAAAGTATTTACGTTGAGATGAAATAAGAAGGTTCAGAGCGGCCGTTCCGCTAAAGCAACGGTGGAAGCCGGAGCTGACCAGAATCAGGTGTGAGTCAATCGATCCAGCATATTAAGAGACTGAGACTCGACTTACAACGAACTTTGAGTTCCGACATATGCCATCAGAACCTCCGGGACAATGTCTTTCGGTAGGACTCGAAACAAGTCAAGAGTGCCCAAATGCCTCAAAGCCGGTGGCAAGACAGAGTCTAGTGCACGAATCCAATCTTTGGGACATTGCAGGTCCTTGGCGTAAAGACTTGGAAGCGCGTCTGTTAGCTGTGTGTGCTAACCCTGGGGGGATGAATGGCCACATGCAAATCTCGGTTTATACTCCTAAAATCGGGCTCATTTTGGTACAAGATGTCCTGCAATCGCAGCTTAACATCTCGCCCAGTAGAGCAGTTTCTGACCGGAATCGCTAAATTAACGACGACCTCTCAGTTCGAACGACTTTCCGAAGATACGGTAGCTTGGCCATCACCACGTACCCTTTGAGGCTGATAGAGCGCCTAAGGTCGCGTTGTTCAGGATCGAAGTATTCCACCTGCTGTCTGTGTCGAATCCGCGAATTACAAATGGTTTTCCTTCTTGTAGTTTGCGATCTATCCATTCGAGGGTCTGGTCGTCCGACAAGTTATCGAGATCGTGAACCGTGTACTCGGAAAAGGGGACAAACGGTTCCCCAGAGCTTAGGAGAGAATGGGCGGACACAGTCTCCATGAAGGGTGGGTAAGACATGTGGAGTATCTTATAGAAAGATCATTGACATGTTCGATATGCAAGAGATGGCACTGTTGGTGTCGTTGGTGTCTACTCGAGGTCCTTATCAAGTTCGAGTCAAGTGTCTCGGAATTCAGCCTGGAGCGTTTAGACACCACCACGTGATGCTCCACTGAAGGACGATGCTAACCGTTTGTGGAAGTGTCTCGCTCAGGCGATTCTGCCACTCTATTGCAATATGACCCATTGTTTCAAGACTCGATCCACTTGAGATGCTTTGATTCTCACTAGACAAAGTAGAAATGTATCTATGCTCAAGAGAGGGGCATTCAGTCTGAAGGGAGACTATAGGAGATTTCAAGTTAATACTTGCATTGTCTCGTTTCCGAGGTGCCGGCCGGAACCTGCGCTGGTCCTCAATTTTCAAGTCCGATCGCGGTCAGAGCCAAATTCACTTGACCTCGAACCCTTGATTCCAGTAACAAGCAAGGTGCATGAAAGAGTAGACAAATAAATCAAGTATTCCAGGACAGTGCGATGTCGGTCACGTGCTGGGATGCCTGAGGAATTGAGATAGGAAGCGCACCGATGCCGAGGGGCCGGCGTCGGTGGGCGAGACAAAAATGTGTGGGGCGAGGAGCCTATCTCGAGGTTGACCCTCCCAGAGACAGCATATCACAGACATTTTGCCAATATGAAGCGCAGCTACGAGGTATGGTCTGTTCATCGATTGCTTCCTCCGATTTTCCTGAATTTATCCATAGAATGCTTTGAAACTCCTTGAGAGTCGCCGACGAAAAGCTCGTCCAAGAACGCCCGCGTTGGCCTCAATAAACCAAGATGCAGTGACCCCAACTGACAACCAAGCATTGCGGGGCGTGCCTAGCTTGGTCGGGATGGAGGACTGGCTGCGAAAATTAGGATACTCGGTAATAGCTTTCATCAGCATTTCACTGCGTTGCAATGGTCGTTCTTTAACAAAGTGTTTGCTAGGAAAACGATGTGAACGGCCTCAACATTGTTCATATCGCCGGAACTAAAGGGAAAGGAAGTACTTGTGCCTTCACGCGTTCGTTCCTTCGTGCGCATGGGTCACGTACAGGTTACCCTAATAAGGTTGGACTCTATACCTCGCCTGATTTGCAGTGTATACGCGAAAGGATTCAGATCAATGATGAGCCGATACCGGAGGAGCTCTTCACTCGATACTTCTTCGAAGTATGGGAGAGGCTGGAGGCGCCCAACCTGGAGCCTAGTGTTCTTCCCATGAGACAGCCACGCTATCTGCAGCTCCTGGCGCTTCTAGCCTTTCACACGTTCATTCGCGAGAATGTCGATGCCGCCATTTTTGAAACACACCACGGTGGCGAATATGATGCCACAAATGTCATCCGGAGGCCGATAGTGACAGCTATCACTGCTCTCGGTATGGATCATGTTGCACAGCTTGGGCCCACAATTGAGAATGTTGCTTGGCATAAGTCCGGGATCTTCAAGCCCGGCGCCCCTGCTTTCTCCGTCTTCCAAGAGGAAAGTCCCGCTGAGGTGTTGCGTTTTCGTGCCGCTGAAAGGCAGACCACTTTGAGATTTGTTCCTATGAATGAATCGCTTCCGGCCAACAACAAAACTCTCAGTGTCCCTGTGCAGCGCCTCAATTGTTCTCTGGCCCTCGAGCTAGCTAGGGCCTGGCTACAAGCCAAGGCGCCCCAACATACGCTGGACGAGTCGGACATTGCTGAGGGTGTGAGCAATTTCAAGTGGGCTGGTAGGTTCGAGAGCATCGAGGACGGAGCATCTGGATGGTTTGTAGATGGGGCTCATAACACGTTGAGTCTTGAACAAGCGGCTAGGTGGTTTGTCGCAAACACCAACACACCGTTAACGAATCAGTAAGCTATGCATCATCTTATCCAGGCAAAACAAACTGATCCTCAAATTAGGTGTCGCATTCTGATTTTTAGCCACTTTTCGGAAGAGCGTGACGGACTCGCCCTTGTCGAGGCCCTAGCTAATTCCCTGGCGGAACTGCAGGCAATGCCGGAATATGTCATATTTACCACATACGAAGAAAGGGAGGATGGCACCACCAGAATAGGCGAGTATCCCCGCATGTAGGCTGAGCCTGGAGCTAATGCCAATGACAGATAAAACTCTCAAACCCCCGGAGACGCCTTTCCCGGATTTGTGCACCATATATACTTCGCTGTGGAGACAACGTGATAGCAGGGCCTCTGTCTCAAGCGAAGCTACTATTGAGGGCGCTATCAAACTTGCAAAACGAATTAGTGCCGAGCGAGGTGGTGCTCAAATCCTCGTCACTGGCAGTCTTCATCTGGCTGGCGGTGCTCTCAGCATCTTGCGGCCACAAGAACATGGCACTACCTAAAAAATAAAAGCGGCTCCTGTGTCCGCAGCTGCGGCCTCTTGAATTGAAGCCACCTATAGATAGCGAAGATACGTGAGACCTCAAATGGGCTCTTTTTCCCTGGGTAGAACAATGCTCACCGTCGCTGACCCGGTATCTTACTAATTTTCAAACGATGGTATTAGTAAATAGCATAGTTTGCTCCTTTGAGCGACCTATAACATAAAGGCTGGGAATGAATTCGAGTTTAGTAAATTGTATATTCATCATCGAACCAAGGACGAAGGGCGTTCTGTCTCTGAGCCAAGTTAAGGCCACCAAGCTTCGCTTACATGGCGCTATAGCTCTGGGCGATAGCATGTGAGGAGGCTTGATTTCGCCTCAATGGGAGGGCGACATGGGTCCTTAGTGTATTGCAGCAGCTCATCATTATCTCTGAAGGGACATGGAATTTGTCTTATTCCACCATATTCATTCTTTCAGTCACTGGTAGAACATCTTATTCAAACAATCATTAGCCACAGCATCTAGGATTTGATCTTCTACTAGTCTGAGTCAGATATGAAGCGCTGGGATCTTGTCGAGTCTTTGGATTCAGCCAGCGGTCAGAATTAGAATCTCCAAGAAAGGCGACCCTGACCCTGACCTTGACCTGATCCAGAGTTACTCGAACTAGAGACACTTCGTGTTTTGAGACGGCTAGGTGCGTGACTTGCACGGTACCTGTACCCCTGCAAGCCTCTCGCGAAACAATCGTGTATAAAGAATCGTCTTAGATCCGTATCATAAACTTGGATCGGTCCTGATGTGGTAGCGGCTTGTCATAATGGGTTTTTTGATGAACCCGGACTGGACTACCCACGTGAGGTCTAGATCAATGAACCAGAACCGAGAGACTTGTCCGGAAGAGGAACATCAAAAGTGGCCGAGATGAGTAGTTAGGAGCGTGCAACGACTCTAGTAATACCTCTCAATTTGGTTAGTCAGGCAGAAGGTAGATGGGCAGACTGTACTCAGGCGGATTCGAGCTCAACAGAAGTCACTATGGAATACTTTTGTCTCCCCGTGGGGTACCATGGCTTAAGTGGGGAAACCACCAATCAGTGGTCACACCGGTTCTTCAACCGCGTACAAAAGCTAGGTTGTAATGAATTGGTTAGCTTGGAAAAAAAACGAAGACGCTGCTAACCTGCGTTCAACTTTGCGGGTTGTCAGAAAACCCATTTACCACCAATCTCCGGTGCGGAAGACTGGCGCATCGTCTATTGTGTCACAAGGGGACACAACCACCAACTTCGCATGGTGAATGGATACAGAATTGCAAAGAAGTCGACGATCACATAAGAGGCAAAAGGAAGAAGACGACAGACATTTTCTGGCAGCAACAGCATTGAACAGAACCCCTTCTGTGACCCATTCCCAGGCTGGCGAGCCACGAAATATGTCTGGCTACGAGCATACTTATTGGATCGGATTCCATGTTACTGTCGATAAGGGTATCACCTGATTCTTTGTCTTTTAACCTCACACAGGTATAGTACTAGTATCTTCCGACTGGTAACAGTGATCTGGAACCAATGTCCGATAAACCTGGGGAAGGGTGGGTTCATCTCCGATGTTAGACCAACATCACTTGATTCTTCACCTCGATGCTTTGTATCATGTATTGTACATACTCTTTGTCTGAGAGAAAATTGCCTTGTGACCAATCAAGAAGTTGATTTTAGGAGATAAGATGGGCTAGCACGACTGGATATCTCTCTGTCCATGTACCATCAAAGAAAGAATCTGCACCATCGCCACAAGATCTTTGAATGAAAGCTGAAAGGCAAATGTGAAAAGAGTAGGTAGTAGCCCTGTGGTTTCTTCCCCGCGGGGAGTTGGAGTCTGTTTACCAGGCATAAGGTAGTGAATGTAACCAACCTAACTGGGTCGGATCCCCCTCTCACCATTTTGCACTCTTTGTCCTTTCCTTCTTTTTCTTCTCCTTCTCCTCTCTCTCTTTTCTTCTCATCTTCTCCTCCGTCCCCTCCCATCTTTCCTGATTTCTCTCGCTCTCTTTCTCGTTCCCCCTCCCACTTTCCTCTTCATTGCTTTGCTTCTCTTTCAAGTAGTAGTCTCCTTTCTATCCTCTCTACGTACCCCTGATCTGCCGTCAAAGCCTACAATCCATAACACTTGAGCATCTGTGTTATTGCTGACCAGCACCATGTCAAAGGAGGAAGGGGCCCAAATTCAGTCACCCGAAGCAAACGTTGACCGGAGGTCAGTGTTCCTGTATCTCCACCGGCCTTTTGTGAAAGCTCGATGCTTACTGACGCTTAAAGCCTTGGTACTGAACCTGAAACCATGGAGAAAGGCACTGCGGAGCATATTAACCTGAACAACAATGTCACTGCCAAGTAAGTTATGCTGAGCATCTTGGAATTCACGGGCAATTGCTAACTATGAACTAGGATCAAGAATCCTCTTGCCGATTTGAGCCCAGCTCAAGTCATTCGTGACGTTGAAGAGTTTGCTCATGAGTTTGAGCTGACTGATATTCTCCCTCATTTGAGAAAGGGTGCTCTTGTGGCACGCGACCCTGCGGACTATGTCTCCGTGCCTGACATGTCCAATGAGGAAATTACTGCTATCCACAACGAGAAAGCCCACAAGTGGAAACAGCCTCGCGCTCTCTACTTCACTATCATCCTCTGTTCTATCGGAGCTGCTGTTCAGTAAGTGGCTCTGCGTCTGCTTGGGTTCTACACTCAAATACTAACAAACATCTACAGGGGATGGGACCAAACTGGAAGTAACGGTTGGTCAATGCCATAGATCACAGATGATTGAACACTATGATTGACTGACTCCTGCCTCCCAGGTGCCAATCTCTCCTTTCCTGTTGCTCTTGGTATCCCTGAGGAAGGTCCCGATGCTGCCAGAAACCAGTGGCTCGTTGGCCTTATCAATGCGTATGTTGCACCCGCCCTTCATGTTCCCCATCACGGTAAGCGAGGCTCGCAAAGCTTACTGGTCACACAGGGCTCCATTTATTGCCAGCTCTTTTCTCGGTTGCTGGTTGTCTGACCCTGCCAACAAGCTTCTGGGTCGCCGTGGCGCTATCTTCATTTCTGCTATTTTCTGTCTTCTTTCTCCGATCGGTTCAGCTTGTGCTCAGACCTGGCCCCAGCTTTTCGTTACCCGTCTCCTGCTGGGCCTCGGTATGGGACTCAAAGCGGCCACTATTCCCGTTTTCTGTGCTGAAAACACTCCCGCTTCAATTCGTGGCGGCCTTGTGATGTGCTGGCAACTTTGGACAGCTTTCGGTATTCTTCTGGGCTGCTCGGCGAACCTCGCGGTCAAGGATACGGGCGACATTTCATGGAGACTCCAGCTAGGCTCGGCGTTCATACCAGCTCTACCTTTGCTCCTTGGTGTCTATTTCTGCCCAGAGTCTCCGCGTTGGTACATCAAGAAGGGTAGACTTCGCAACGCATACCGGTCTCTGCGTCGTTTGCGCAATACAGATTTGCAAGCTGCACGCGATCTGTACTACATTTATGCGCAGATCAAAATCGAGCAGGACATTTCTGGTACTGGAAATTACATCAGTCGCTTCGGAGAACTCTTTACTATTCCCCGGGTTCGGCGTGCTACCCTTGCTTGTTTCACAGTGATGATCGCACAGCAGATGTGTGGTATCAACATTGTTGCATTCTACTCGTCCACTGTCTTCCAACAGGCAGGTGCCAGTGTTACTGGAGCCCTCTTTGCATCCTGGGGATTTGGTCTTGTGAACTTCATTTTCGCCTTCCCAGCTGTCTTCACCATTGACACCTTCGGGCGTAGAACTTTGTTGCTCTTCACGTTCCCGAATATGGCCTGGACCTTGCTAGCTGCCGGATTCTGCTTTTATATTCCTAAGGAGTCTACTGCCCACCTGGCATGTATTGCGCTTTTTGTTTTCGTCTTCGCTGCATTCTACTCTCCAGGTGAGGGACCTGTTCCCTTCACCTACTCTGCTGAAGTGTTTCCACTGTCCCACAGAGGTAAAGTCCTCCAACGATACTCATGTCTCCTTTCATACTAACTTTCTATTAGAAATCGGAATGTCCTGGGGTGTGGCAATCAACATGGGCTGGGCTTCGGTCCTTTCCATCACCTTCCCCCGCATGCTTGCAGTGATGACTCCGACGGGTGCCTTCGGATTCTACGCGTAAGTCTTACTACATATCCTTACCGAGAACCAAAACTCTGACAACGAATGGCAGGGCCTTGAATATCACTGCTTTCGTTATGATCTTCTTCTGGGTACCTGAGACCAAGCAGCGGACTCTGGAGGAGCTTGACTACATCTTCGGGGTACCCACGGCCATGCACATGCGCTATCAACTGTTTGAGGTGCTGCCCTGGTGGATCAATCGTTTTATCTTCCGCCGTCGCAGTGCTCATCTTGAGCCTCTGTATAAGCTCGACCATATCGCGACCAGCGACTAGCTCCTGGAAGAGCAACGTGACCAACGCCTTCTGCGGTTCTTACTCCCGTTGTTGTTATCGAACAAGACCCTCTTACAGCGTCTTTTCTTTGTTATGATAATAATATCCTCGGTGGTTGTAATATTTATTTCCGGAGTTTACGTGGCATGAACGTGTCAGACTGGATCTGGAGGGGAATATCACTTTGTACCACGATGAGCGATCATGTAACACGGTAGTTAAAAATGGAAGACAATCTATGATTCGTCAACAATGCATTCGAGCGATGATCACAGTAGGCCGCAATAAGTATATTGCGGAGTTTCACTCCTGGTTGCTCTTGATGTAAACATGACCTTCCGAGCATACAGCTTGTGGTGTGCATGAAGTAGATTCGAGATGGACTCGGGCGCTCTTTGAAAAGCATCCAGCCTCCAAATTCCGTTGATCTTAGTATCTTCTCAACAATTTCTCGGAAGGATGAGATCGTCGAGCGACAAACAATCTAGGGATAGAAGTATGACTTTACGAGACAGTTAAGCTTTTAAACTCCTCGGAAGAGGTTCTCGGCGGGGAGCGGATTTCCCCTTCCCACCCCGCTTCTCGGCTTCTCGGAAAACACCGCTCCCTCCGCTCCCTCTGGCGAATGTTCTTCGGAACGTCTAGACTTCTTACACATCTCGGTACTTTCATACTAGCGCTGAGCTACAAAGAATGATTTTTGTCAGCTTCTTCCACATCATCCCCAAACAAACTCAAACTGCGCCGACAAATCTGGTGAAAGTGAACTCGAGTATCCTATCTAAATCCGAACCGAACCCAGCCGATACCCCCTCCACACCTCGAACCCCACCGACTCATAGAACCCCTCCAACACGACCCAGTCGACCATGACCCCCTGCACCCCGCGCTCCCGGAGATGGGCGAGCGCATGAGCCAGCATCGCCACCCCGACGCCCTTGCCCCGGTGTTCCTGGTCGACGCCCACGCACCCGATTAGACCGGTGCGGGTGCCGGGGCCTCCGCAGACGGGCGGAAGCGCCCATTGCGCTTGCTGGAGAGGGGAGGATGGGTCGAGCATCAGCGTCCAGCCACATTGGTGGCCTTGGGGACTGAAGACCGTCATTATGCTGTTGGGGTGGGTTTGTGGGTGGAGATTTATGTAGGTTTGGAGCCAGGGCTGTTTTGGTTTCTTTGGTTAGTATGGCATGGTCTTAAGGTTGGGGAGGGTATGGTCTCTTGGGTAAGGTGTGGCTGTTGGATGGTGGAGAGACGGGGACGGAGAAGGGAGATGGAGTTCTTGACCTGATTATGTGAAAAGTTCTTTCTCTGTCCTGTGATACATTCCTCGTATTGGTGTGGCTGGAGAGGAGCAAAAGTGTAGCCCTGGCTCTGCGCTTTGGCGATGTATTTGTCCTCGAGTTCGAAGTCGGTGATGTCCCGGTAGAGGTCGACGTGGCGCGGGGGCGGGCTAGTGAAGATGAAGCCCCGGTTTTCGAAGAACTGGGCGGTGGATGGTGGGAGGTCGTCCGGTAGGCCTGGCCAAAAGCGTGGAAACGAACTGCTGAGGTCGAGACGGGTGGCTTTCTGGGTTGTTGTGTACCAGGCTATGACTTCTTGAAGTAGCGTGCTCCCGATGCCTTGGTTTTGGGCGCTCGGGGAGACGGCGATGGCGGAGAGGTAGGCAGATCTCTCGTCGTCCGTGGTGCGGGTGTAGGTCAGACAGAAGCCGACGATGTTGTTGCCATGGCGGGCGAGGAAGTGATGTGCGTGAGGCTGGGGGAGGAGCTTTCGGAGGCTCGAGAGAGACAGTGGATAGGTGGGTAGAGCGGTGTTCCAGACGGTTTGCAGTTGTTTGAGGTCTCCAAGGTCGTCGAGGGGGGAGACTTCGACGGACAATCGCGGTTCCTGGGTGGAGACTGGGAGTTTACCTGTTGCGGTTGCTGCGCCAAATATTATCGCTGCTGCGGCGGTGAAGGCCTCCACGGTGGGTTCGTACGTGGCGATGTAGGTGCCTATGGTAGGCTCATCGAGGAAGTCGTAGGGATTGCAGGCTGCAATGCTTACCAGTGCCCGAGCACGTTTAGACAGCTTCAGTCCCAGATCCCTCTGGAAAGGCGACTCACGCGCGTTGATCGTAGTGAGAATAACGACGTCAGCAGCGTCAATAAGAAGCCACTCTTCTTCGGACAAGCCTGCTGCACCGTAACGGATTTCAGCAACAGCTGGGTTATACTCTTTCAAGACGTCAAAATATACGGAACCATTGTAAGATCCTTTTCGACCGAGTCCTTCTCCATCCACCGCACCACCGGCTGGAGTCTGGTCCCCGGGAAAGAGAAAGACGACCTTGCATGATTTCGAGATTGGTAGGATCTTTGAAGTGTCTCGAACGACGGTCACTGACCTGGCATAGGCAGCTTCGGCTAGCTCGCGGTTCTGCAAGTCAATGTCTCGGAAAGACGAATCAATGGCGACGTCTGTTCGCAGCGCCTCGTCCCAGTCTAAGAACTTTTGCTTCAGCTGGGTTACATGTCGGTATGCGTCTTCTAGTCTCTTCATGGGAATGTGGCCTGTCTCGACAGCCTCGCAGACACGGCGAATGGATGCGACTTGCACATCATAGGTATGGCAGATCATGATACTATCGCTGCCAGCCGCAAGGGCAAGGACGGAACCTTCTTCGGTCCCGTATGTCGCACGAATCCCGTCCATCTCCAGACAATCCGTGATGATCATACCATCATATTTCATATCTTTACGCAAAATGTTGAGCACATCCTGCGACAGAGTAGCCGGCAGCTTGCCAACTCCCAAGCCGGGTAATGAGATATGGGCCGTCATAACAGCTTCGATTCCCTCGGCTGTGGCGCGCTGGAATGGCACTAACTCGCACTGCTCCAGCTGCTCTCTCGTCTTGGATATAACAGGAAGTCCATAGTGGGAGTCTGTCGCAGTATCTCCATGCCCGGGGAAGTGTTTCACACAGGAAATGAGGTTGTGCTGGCGTTGGCCCCGGGCGATAGCGCTTGCGAAACGGCCAACGAATTCTGGAACGTCGCCTGGGCTACGTACCCCAATAACAGGATTCAATGGCTCGGAATTGATGTCGCAGACGGGGCCGTAGTTCATATTGACGCCCACGTGTTTTAGCAATTGGCCTGTTCCCAATCCGACTTTGTACGCTAAGTCGGGGGAGTTGGTGGCGCCGAGAGCCATGGGCCCCGGGAGCTGGGATGCCATTGGAGGTGAGATTCTGGTGACCCATCCATTCTCCTGGTCGATGCCAATGAATAGAGGCTGTGTGTGACCAGCTAGTTGTGCTTCCTGTTGTAGCGCGTGGGTCAGAGCCTTATAGCAGGGCACTGTATCAGCCAGTGAGTTGCGTCTATCGGTTCGGAATGTTGGGCATACCCGTAGTTGAGCGATGTCGGTGATATTGCGCTTGAAGAGCACGACGCCTCCAATTCCAAAGTCGTGTATCAGACTCTTGATCTCAGCACTTGGCTCCAGGCCATGAAAGCCGACCGCAAATAGCTGCAGCTTAGTTAGGTACCAATCGCCTATTGCGATTCGATGTTTGGCCTCAAAGGGCAGCTAGCCTACCTGGCCAACTTTCTTCTGCAAAGGTGCAGACGGCATCTTCTGAAGATGATGTGAAGAGCCAATTTGTTGATGTGACAGGTACTGAGTATAGGTTGCACTCTTGAATCCCGGGACGAGAGGATAAATTAGGGACTTGATGGATTCCTACAGGGAAATGAGGGGAGAAAGTGAATTGATCGATGGGGAAACGGCAACCATCTTGTCGATCTCATTTGCCAGCCAGCTCCAGCATTAACCCCACCCGCGCTTCAAGTTTGTAAATGCTCACAACTACCTCTGGCAATTTAGTGTTCCATACCTAGAAAATACATATCTTATAATTCTACAACTGGTCTTCAATTATTGATCCGCATGGGGTCATAAGCACCACAGCCGTGCGCATTGCGAGTAGGCTAACTTAGAACTTGCTGGAGGTAAGCAAAACCATCTAATTCATGTGAATGTGTCAGCTACGGGGAGGTGGGATGATTAGCACGAATACGAAGCTATATTCGAACAACTCATCTGTCGATGTCGTTCACAATGTGGAAGGCTGCCCACATCAGTGGATCATAGTGACTCCGCTCGCATATGGTCTCCAGCCAATTGTTGCAGACGACAGATGGTATGAAACAAGTAAAAGTTTCTCCCGAGCTTGACGCCCCAAGTAATAGACAGCCAGCATGAGTCCCATATTCGCCAGTCATCCTTCCGATTTGCCATATCAATTAACCTTCATCTCAAGACCTCCACTCCTGGATTCTCTCGTCAACTAGATCAACATACCAATTACCGAATTGCCATCTCCCTAGTGCGTACCTTGGATTCTACCTACAAAATTGGCTCCTTTGGATGACAATACCAAGCCTTGCTATACCAACGACAGCGGAGATGTAAACGACCCGGCCGATTCGATGGCCAGCATCAAGAATTAAGTAGCTGCAGCGATGATAGTCAACGGAAGATGATACATGAACTGAATAGGTACTATTCGTCATCCGAGTTCTCCGACCTGATTGTTCATACCAGCGACCAAGATTTCAAAGTCCATCGGCTTGTTGTCTGCGGACAGTCTGGATACTTCTCTCGATTAGATCAGGGCGACTGGCCTGTAGGTATGCCCGTCCTGATTTTGCAGAACACACGAGTCTAATATCTCTGAGGAAGCAGTCGAGAACGAAACATGCCTCAGAGAAGACGATCTCCGCGCGATAGAAGCGATGTTCCAATATACGTATGGAGTCGAGCACGATAACAGCAGCAGCGATCAGGATCGTAAGTCGCCCATGCTATTGAATGTCAAGGTGTATCAAGTCGCAAATAAATATGATGTTCCTCAGTTGAAGGAGCACGCCAAAGAGAAATCCCAGTCTATCGTGGAAATATCATGGAAGATGGATAACTTTCCGCTTGCTATCGAAGAAAGCATACGAGCGTACCACGAAGGAGGGCAGCAGTCTCCGAGACATTCTTGTGAAGACTTCTCAAACCCAGATCAAGGAACTAGAAGATAACGCAGATTTCAGGCTTGTGGTTGAGGGAAATGCCGAATTCGCTGGGATTTTATCCATGTGACGGTTCGGGATGGCTTTGCGAAGCCGCCAGCAATTTGCTGCCACGATTGCATGCCGAATACCATTTGGAGACCACATCCGGCTCAAAAAGCCTGTAATAATTCATACTGTGGCTACTACGCTGGACGGTAACTTCCGTATCATGGCGTTGGCGAGATTTTTGTGAGATAGTCGGAATAGCTCGTAGTTATTCGAGACGAAAACACTTCAATGATCAGCATGTTTTCTCAGTTAACATACTGCGAATAACCTTAACACCGTAGTGGTATTGAACTTCACGGGCTCTAGCAAAATTCCCCAAGGCGAGAGAACGAGCGTCACAAGTGGTATAATAAGGCGTCTAAGAGTATTCGCTGACTTTTAGCCAAGTGATTGTCGTTAGGACATAACCAACCACAAGATCTTTATTAGCAACAGAAGTTATACATACTTTGGCACTCTTCAGAAAGCTCTTGCATACATCTTTGGGTACAATGACGCATTCCAGCGCCGGGAGTTAACCGGGAGTAAACGGCGATAAGAGACCAACGTTTCCGATTATTCTGCTCCACTTCGAACCAACTGCTTTCAACTTTCTCTTATATGACTTCCTCAACGACACTAGTCACGATCGGGGGGATGGTATCGACACATGATGCGAAGTCATAATGACTCCAAATAACCCGGACTTACTCGGGGCGGACTTAGCAGGACAGTTTCGTATTTGAGAAGACGAGACCCAACTTTCTATCAAGTACGTTGCGACACAAGCTACACTCTCCTCAGCGCAAAAACACCCTAGTCACCACATCCATGATTCCATTGATCACACTCGAGGAGCACTACAGCTCGCGCAGGGTGAGCGAAGCGAGCCCTGAGGCGAAGGCCCACTACGGAGTGCTTCCCCAGCACATTCGCAGTAAGCTGGAGGCTCTAGACGACGAGCGCATTCAAGATCTCGACAACGGGAACGTCTCCGTTCAGGTAAAATCCCACGGTCCTGGAGACATCGACGCATCTCTTTGTACAGCTGTGAACGATGATTTGGCTGCTGCTGTTTCGCGACACCCGACACGACTCGCAGGTTTTGCGATGCTCCCGATGAGCGAGCCTCTAGCCGCTGCGACGGAACTAGAGCGTTGTGTCAAGGAGCTGGGCTTTGTGGGTGCATTGATCGAAAATCACACGAGCGGGAAATACTACGATGACGAGCGCTTCTGGCCGGTCTTCAAGAAAGCGCAGGAGCTAGAGGTCCCTCCCTACATCCACCCTACATTCGCAAGCGATTCGATGATGAGTACTACAAAGGGAACTACGGCGATTCAGTCGCGCTGGCTTTGAGTGCATATGGCTGGGCCTGGCACACGGAAACCGGCTTGCACATCCTGAGATTATACGCCAGTGGAGTCTTCGATCGTTATCCCAAGCTGAGAATCGTGGTCGACCAGATGGGAGAGATGCTTCCCTTCCAACTCGAGCGCGTGTTTACGGTCTCGGAAAGGTGGGGGCAGGAGAGGAGCTTTCGGGATGTCTGGCGCAACAACATCTGCATCACGACCAGTGGCATGTTCTCGTTGACTCTGTTGGCTTGTCTGTTGAAAGCAACTTCTATCGAGCATGTGCTGTACAGTGTCGATTATCCTTTTTCGGCGAATGAGAAAGGTCTGGCGTTCTTTAGGGAGATTCAGGAAAGTGGTCTTATCGCAGGCAAGGACCTAGAATTATTTGCTTATCGAAATGCGGAGAACCTGCTGGGAGTCAGAGCGAGGAGCTCGTGAATATCATCTAATGTGAAGTCTAATGTAAAGAGTGAACGTATAATATATAGATAATGGACTTACCTCTCAATTGCAGATCTTCGAGAAATAAATTCAGTTTCATTGAAAGAAGTCACCTGCCGGCAGTGAGCGAGTGATGCACCTGCGGGGTTGAGTGACCACCGACAACGGCAGGCGCTGCATCCTTTCTCGACATTCCTCACCCCTTCGTCCTCTTTGTCGAGAGCTTGGATTATCTCCATCTTCTAGTTTTAACAATAGTGTACCTGGATCTGATATAATCCAGAGCTGAGATGACACGCAAGACGCCCCGAACGAGTCTGCAACACTCTTTGACAGACAATCGAGACGGTAGCAGCTCGGTTCGCGAACGCAGTTCTAATAAGCAGCACCTGGTTCACGAGACGGTACCTTTATCTCAAGACCAATCACGCTGTAGTCCAGGCGAGATTGAGCAACTTTCTAGAGTAGAAGATACATCTGAACAGCCCACAACGACTCGCAGAGAGCTCTGGTCTTACTATCTATACTACAATGGTAAATTTGTTCTAGTTACTGAATGCAACAAGCGGGCTATGTCACTAAGCACCCTCCATACAGGCGACAACGGAGTTGGTCCTGGCTCTTACACACAGACACTGTATGTTGCTTCATGCTGCAAATTGGTCTTCTCTCAGGTGGTGGGCTAATCCCACTTCTCTCCAAAGGTTTCAATGGGCATTAAATGGTGCAGGCTGGCAACCAGGCACGAATCCACGCCAGCCATGCACAGATAATTCGCCTTGTGTAGTTCCATGGGCAGGGGGAACGCGATCTGTTGCCTCTGTCGTTTTGATCGCCAACGGGCTGAGCTTCACGTTCATGACAATAACATTCGTTTGGCTCGGAAGCGCAGCGGATTACGGCTCCTTTGGTCGCTGGCTGCTTCTAGTCCTGACCGTGATCTGCTGGGCGATGCAGTACGGTATGATGTCTGTCCGACACCCTAGTCAATGGCCGACAGCAATGGGCCTGTACGTGATATCCTACGTCGCATACGGCGCAACTCTGGTCTTCTACGCCGCTGTGTTTCCCAGGCTTGCGCGCCATATGCCACATGTCCAACAGGCTCGCCAGGACCTGAAAGAAGAGAAGATCAACCAACGGGAGTACGATGCTGTTGAGTCGCTGGAACGAAACCACATCAGGTATGACGCTTCGTTTGGCCTACTGAGATGTTATCTAATAGACATTAGTAATGTTTCCACCGCACACAGTAACATCGGATATTTGGCAGTATTAGTCCTGAACCTGAGCGTACTACTACCGCTGCAAAACCACTCCTTCTCCAACAATCTCGCTCTTTGTTTGACAAACTCATGTCGGTCTCCTGTCCTATCTCCTCATGTAACGACTACTGATGAAGCCAGACTGGGTGTTCCTAGGAATCTGGTGGTTTGTCTTCCAGCAGAGACGACCTGGTCCCAGAATTCCCGAGGGATCGAGCTATGCCACCATCGGCTTCAAGCAGATCTGGCTCGCCTTGCGCAAGGTCCGGTCCTTGCCACAAACCTTCCTCTACTTCGTTGCATACTTCCTCCTCGCAGACGGTCTCAATACCACCGGTCAGTAAGTACACTCCGCCTTGAGTTATCTGCGCTGAGATCCCTGCCGCAGGCACCTTAATTTCGATCATCCAAAACGACTTCGTCGCGTTCTCTTTCCTCCAAGTTACGTACCTGGGCATAGCCCAAGCTGCATGCTCAATTGCTTCTACTTTCGGCTTCTGGTATATCCAGAATTACTTCAAGATCCGCACCAAACGTATGTTTCTCATCACGAACTTCTTTACTGTCCTCACCCCCTTTTGGGGGATGCTAGGCTTATGGACCAAGCGAATTGGGTATCATCATCGGGTACGTTCATCTGCCTGGAGCTTTTAAACTACACAGGGAGACTAAGAAGCTTTGCCTATACTTGCAGTGGGAATTTTATCTCTACAACGTCATTTTCGGTCTATTTCAAGCACCTTACTACGCTGTAGGTTCTTGCCCTCCCTCAGCTCCCGACATCGACCTCACAAGTCTGCGATTCTCTCTCTACAAACCAAATCACTAATATAGAATAATCGGTCTCACAGTACGCCCAGACCATGATCAGCGAGCTTATGCCGCCAGGCTACGACAACATGTTTTTCGCCCTCTTCGGGATCACCAATCGCGCTGTAAGTGAACCGCCGCCAGGCAGCTCCTGGTAGTGAGCTACTATCTCATCCCTGAGACAACACACAAAAGTTGCCGGTAACTGACTATTTGACTCCACCGAAACCTAGTCCTCCATTATCGGCCCCAATGTCGTGCAAGCCATCATCAACGACACTCAGAACAATTGGATGGGTTTCCCGTTCTTGTTTGCAATATGTGTCGCAGCCATGGTGGCAATTATGTTTGTAGATGTGGAGAAGGGAAGGGAGGATGGGAGGAGGTTTGCGGAGGAGCATGTTGCTGTTTCTCCGGGTTCGGGCGTGACGGAAGACGGAGAGGCAAGGCAGAGCGAAGAGCTGGGAGAGACAGTTAAGGGGCCCGCGGCTGTCAGTACCGAGATTACTGGTGAAGCAAGTGGGAGTTCAAGGGTATAGCATATTTTTGATAGTGAGCCCTAATCCTGAGTATGCGTACTACTGCTAGGCATAGCACGTTTCGAATACAGAAATTCTCGGTATCCATTAGGTATGACTTCGGGCTATGACAGATAAATGAATCAAGAAGTATTCTTTGTAAGATCCGGGGAGCGAGAGTATATACTGTATCCTAACTGTTCACAGTCGATTATATTCGACATTACACACGACATAGACCGATGCAGTCAATGCGTCCTTTCATCCTCCACTGCCAGAACAGCGTCCATATATACCACATCCATAGATCGTCAACGTCATGCTTTTAGACACCAGGCTGCACGCCACCATCCACATGGCCCATCGAGACTTTCTCTCTTCCCGCTTGCCCCTGCCGCCTGCTCCTCCTGAGATCTACAGCCTCCCTCCAAGCCTCCCCGGACACAGCAGTCCACCACACCAACGCCCCCGCGGCGATCAAGAACACCGCTGAGATCGTATTAAACCAACCCACCCCAATCACCTTCACAGCGGGCATCGCCACGCCCGTCCCCAGCGCCGCAAACACATACCGAAAAGCATAATTCGCGCCGACCACCTCAGCACTTCTCCCTTGCTCCTGCATCACATCCAAGCAGTATGTGTTCAAGCTAGGGAAACAGAAGATCTGCGCAACCCCCTGCAGGAACATCACCACGACCGGCAAGGCAATGCCCCCGACGCTGGCGGCGACCGTCCACCCGTACACCAAGATGCAAGCGGGGCTGGCGAGGCAGATAAACGGCAGGCACGCGCGCAGCCGGTCCTCGGGAATGCGGCGGCCCCCGCGGCGGATGTAGTACCGGGCGACCCGGTCGGTGTAGTGGCCACCGAAGAAAGTGCCGGCCAGGTAGCCCAGGCCGCAGGGGAGGTACAGGAGCCCCGCTTCTATGGGGCTGGTTAGGTGGAAGCGCGGGTTGAGCATTTGGCGAATGGGCGTCAGCAGGGCGTATTCGTTCCACACGAGTGCGCCGGCGGCGAGGCCGGTGCTGAGGATGTTCGGGTAGCTGATGATTAGGTGTAGGATGCGGAGGGGAGAGATTTGCTGCCAGAGTTGGCGAATTTGAGGGCGGAGGGATCGGTCGTGGTGTAGGGAGGAGGGGAGGGTTCGCTGGGGGATGGTTTCCGGGAGGAGGATGGTGATTAGGATTGTGGCGAGGAGGCTGAGGGCTGAAAGGAGGTAGAAGATTGTGCGCCATGGCCGATAGGTGATGATTATTCCCTGAAAAATTATCGAAAATTGAGGGTCAGTATGTAGTGTGGTTTGGGGGGTAGGGTTGGCTTGGGGGGCCGCGTGGTGGGGGGTGGTGTCACTTACGCCTAGGAAAGGGCCCAGAGCAGGCCCCGTCAGGCTTCCAGACAGTACCCAGCCCAGAGCTGAGGCCCGGGCTGTGGGCTCATAGAGATCCCCGACGATGGCGTTGCCAATCACGAGGAAAGATGTGCCCTGCAATGCCGCGCATCCTCGGAATATGAAGTAGGATACTAGGTTCGTGGCGAAGGTTGAAGCAACAGTGAATGCGAAGAAGAGGAATGAACTCGTGATGAGCAGCTGAAGGTATGTTAATCCCACTGACATCTTAAGCAAGGAATTTGACAGGCTTACAGGCCGACGACCCCAGACTTGGCTTGCAGGGCCCCAGATCAGAGCGGAGATACCCATACATCCCAGGTAGAGAGAGCTGCTGGCGTATATGATATCCTGGGTGGTATCAAATGTTTTGGCGAGGTCCGCAACGGCGGTATCTATGGCTGTGGACGACATTGGAGCAAGGAATGCACAGTATGAGAGCATAACGACAATGATAATACGCCGAGCAGGCGAGATCTGTGGTTGGCTACCTGTTGAAGTCACTCTGCTTTTGTCCGCGACCGCAGACGGTGGAGCATCGTCTGCATTGCAACTGATGGTTTGGACGAGGGTTTGAGATGATGCATGATGCAACAACTCCCGGTCTGATCTCGGCCCCTGGAATCTTTGACTCTCATATGGATCGACCTCTAAGGAAAACGAATGGAACGAGTCTTTATCGTGCATCGTGCTATAGTGGGGAAAAAGTGAAAGGAGCGTTAGGCGCAGCAATACATGTTAGGGAGCTGCTGGTAAAGATTGAAAGAATTGCAGCAGTATGCTCAGGCGCGAATGAGCGTAAAGATAGAAATAGCAGATATCATATCATTCAGGGTGTCATAGTAAATGAAAGTAACGGACTGTAAAGAACCCCGGTTCATCAAAGATTGGCACCATCCAACGGAGACCCTACAGCTACGCAGGCACCACAAGCCTTATATCTTCAGAGCAACGTCAAACTCAGGTTGACAACAATCCTTGATCTTCGGCTAATCTTGCAAAAGTTTGTTCTCATCCTTGGGTGGACAACTGGGCCAGACCGTTGAGCTGAATGGATCCTGAGCAGTCGGAAACAGTCAGGCAAACTCTCCTTGATCTAGAGCACTGCTCTGGATTGAAAGTTGGGCGATTGTGGATCTAAGGATCATCTCGCGCGCGCGCCAGGAACGCTCGTGGCTGTCTGGCAATTTAGCAAGTAGGTATAACCTCGGGCTCGGGACGGGGGATCTATAGCTTGTTTTCAGCGAGGCAAAGAGGTGGATCATGATCGACGGGCAGATACTGCAGCTTGAAGCCCTTGAAAAATGGATGGTATAACTATAGTTCATACACCTAAGTAATGTTGCAGTGGTTGTGGCTCGTAGCCCGAGCTGCTGCGATAAGTCTAAGATATCGTATAATCTTATTCGAGACAGTTTCCTCGCAATGAATGAGTGCCACAGACCCAGCACACAGGGAATTTCCGTCACGAGCGAGTCAGTTCACCAGGGGGTGATCCATCGGATAGTGGGTAGAAGAGGTCTCAGGAGGAGCAGTTTCTCATGGGGGCTTGTGGTGCTGACGATTATTTCCCCTTTATTAAGTACTTAGTCTCGAAGTGGTTAATGCTAAAGGTAGTGTAGGTTTCCTCGGAGATTGTGTAGATTGGGACAAAAACCCCGTTCGTCGATCTTATCCGCAGCTTCGGATCGATCTGTTCTTCAAAGAGGGGCATAGCATTGTTGCAATAGAAGGCACAGAGTCAGGGTCAATAATATGCTCTGTTTTCAAGCCTGTCCTGTATTGTCTTGAAACTTGTCATACTCATCTTTGTCCAAGCTCTGGTGGTCCTCATCTATATCGATCAAGGCTTGTTCTCGAGCAAACCTTGAGGGAGGGCGCAGATCCACCTGTGAGATCCAGTCCGTTTTCGGTCGCTCTATGCCGCATGCATACTCCGTACTACTGTGTTATTACCTATGATGCGAGGATGGGGAGAATAGGCTACACTGTCACTGCAAAGATACTGAGCAGGAAACAGACCTTAACTATACAGTCTCCGTCAGCTTAATCACGCACCAAGACCCGGGAAACCATCTCGGATCTGGTGCAGCTCGTGGCGGAAGAGGCTCGGAAAAGCCGTCTTCGGTTATTCGCCAAGCCCTCCGCGATGATGGTCCTGAGGCATGACATTTTTGCCTCTTTCTTTCTTCCGTTGCGCCCGTGGCTTCGTAAGGTAAGTGGCTAGCATGGCTTGGAGGTACGCGAGCGAATGGCGGTCGTTGGTCGCTAGATTTCTCCGCAATGAAGCTTGAAAAGTAACCTGCGGTGGAAGAGAATCACCATCAATGAGAGGAGGAGTTCTGCTAAGAGTTCAGCCACAAACGGACGCATGGCAGATGGTATGCGTCTATGCGTGATTCTGTTCGCCAGATCCGACACAGTAAACTCAGGTACTTGAGTAGTCAATGTGGTGGGAGGCAAAAGAGTAGTGCTCGGCGAAGGTCCAAGCCACCCCAGATGACGTCGAAAGGAATAGTAGTTGAATCGGGTTTAGCGGATGGTCCCAATCTCCCTCCCTCTCTTTCCCCCCCTTCCCCTCCTGCTCTTCCTCCATGACATCTTAAAACTTTCCCTCTTCATCTTTCTCCTCTGTCCTCCACCCTATTGCTACTTTCTTGGCTACTTCTCCAAAATTCATATCTCCACTAGTCATCCTAGTGGCTTTTCCTTTCCATCTGCAATTCATTTCCATCCTCCGTCTGAAAAATGAGCTCCAAAGATCCACATAGCGGCGTTCCCGCCTCGAGCAAAGGCTCTTGGACAAGTTTCCTTAAGGTATGATGAAGACACTAAGCAGCCATCTGCTATACCCGTCGTGTGCTACTTCTTTCTTCCGCCCATTGCTCAAACAGTATATTAGAAATCAGAGACAGTATTCTAACTATACAATTTCCGACTGTAGTCTATTGCTTCCTTCAACGGCGACCTTTCCTCTTTGACTGCTCCCCCTTTCATCCTCTCCTCCACCTCCTTGACTGAATATTCCGCCTACTGGGCCGAACACCCCGCCCTCTTCGTGGCTCCTGCCAAAGAAGCCGACCCTGAGAAGAGAGCTTTGGCTGTTCTCAAGTGGTTCCTCAGCACCCTCCACCAACAGTACTGCAGCCGCAGCGAGAAGCTTGGCAGCGAGAAGAAGCCTCTTAACCCATTCCTCGGAGAGCTCTTCTTGGGTAAATGGGACGCAGATGCAGAGGTGGGTGAAACAAGCTTGATCAGTGAGCAGGTCAGGTATGTGGTCATAGGTTTAATCTCTTGCGAGCCATGTTAACCACGAGCAGCCACCACCCTCCTGCTACTGCCTACGCTATCCGGAATGAGAAGCACGGTGTCGAAGTAAGCTACTGAGCATCTCTCTCTTGTCCTTTCAGTTTCAGGTTCTAACGAGCACCCACCAGCTCCAAGGATACAATGCCCAGAAGGCGTCCTTCTCCAGCACCATTCAGATCAAGCAGATCGGCCACGCTCTTCTGTCCCTTACTCCTCCTGGGGCAGACAAGAATGACCCCGCTCAGCAGGAGAAATATCTCATCACTCTTCCCGCCCTCCACATTGAGTCCTTGATCTACGGGACACCGTTTGTTGAACTGGAGAAGACCACCCGCATCGCCAGCAGCACTGGCTACATTGCCAAGATTGACTACTCTGGCAAAGGCTGGTTGAGCGGCAAGAAGAACACCTTCAGCGCCATTCTTTACAAGGAGAGCGACGGCGAAAAGAAGCCCCTGTACACCATTGACGGCCAGTGGTCGGACTCTTTTGTGATCAAGGACGCCAGGAAGAACGAGGTGGACCGATTCTCAGTCAAGGAAACTCAGACCACTCCCCTAACTTTGGCACCCCTTGATCAGCAAGACCTCTATGAGAGCCGGCGGGCCTGGCGCGACGTAGCGGCGGGCATTGAGCGGAGCGACATGGACGCTGTGTCTGTGGCCAAGTCCAAGATCGAGAACGCGCAGCGTGAGCTGCGCAAGGTCGAAAAGTCAGAGGGTCGAGAATGGGAGCGTCGATTCTTCAAGCGTGTCAACGAGAGCGACGATGAAGTCTTCCGGGAGCTTGGCCCCAAGCTCGGCCTCACCTCTTTGGAGAGCGACAAGACGGGCGGTGTCTGGCGATTCGACGCGGCTAAGGCGGCGGACGCCAAGCCACCTTACCACGCAACCGGAGGCGAGGGCCTGGGTATCACTGCATGATCAATACATCGGTTGCAAAGTTAATTACTAGTTCTCACTCGGTCTGCGTGGCCGGATAGAGTGTTGGAACTCGCGGGGATGACTACCATCATAGATTGCGTTCTCTTTCTATTTCTTTTCTTTTTCTCTATTCGGGGGTTTTGGTATCTGTATATAGAATAGCAGCGAGAACTGGATAGTTCCTGGAGCACTCGGCGGATCATCCTTTCGCTTTGGGTCTGTGGATCATGTCGACCACTTAAAGGACAAACGTTGACAAATTTTTGCCGGAAAATGAATTGAATCCTAGCATCGAGCCATGCACGACGATCCAAGCGATTATTCTTATACATATTGCTAAGCCTCCAGTGAACAATACAGGCCAGTATCAAGAAACAAGTTGATTCTTTCAAGTCTGTCCCTTACTGAAATCCAAAGGAACCTCAAAAACGCCCATAGCATCGATCATTCCACATCAGTAGGGTCTATACCATTCTTCCCTCCTCCATTCCAATTTCGTACCCAGCCTTCTCCTCCGCGATCGTGCCGGGGAACCCCACGGCCCACATGACCATAACCGACCACATCAACACACTATCGAAGACATAAAGCGTCCACTCATGCGTTAAGATATAGCCGTGTAACCCCATGGCGTATTCTATGACCCGAAAAATGGATCGCACAAGAATCAACGCACTGACCGCATAAAGCATATACAACAACCGACCTAATGGACGGCCGTATTCGCCCAGTCGTATTTGCTGCTGCTGTTGCTGCTGTAGCTGGGCCTTAACCCGCCGGTGAAACACCACCGTCACGACAATGAAGAAGGAAAACATGATCACCTGGATCAGCAAGCCGACGACCGTGATCGCCTTGGAGGTCGTCTGGCCCGTGGCCCGCACCATTAAGCCCACACCGCTGCCCTGCACGACGAAGGAGAGGATGTCGCTCGCGACGAAGAGCTTGGTGAGATAATTGGGCGGGATGAGCGAGGCACTTTTGGCCTTGGTGGTTCCGCCCACTGCCGTGATTCTCGACGGCAGACTTCGAATGATGCGACCTAGGGTCATGTAGACGGTCGCGGCAAAGAGGACGGGGCCCAGCAGGATGAGCACACTTTGGATGGCGTAGAGGCCGACCGATGCGGTGTTGGAGTAGTTCAGGATACGGACGGTGTAGCCGACTATTTCGACTGGAAAGGGTTCGTGGAGGTAGTGTAAGTAATGGTTGAACTGGGAGGGGGAATGGTAACGGGGGATTAGAGGGGTGATAGTAAAGTCCTCAGGCACAGTATAGTAGGGTAAGACTTACATATACCGCCGATGGTGAAGGAGGTGTTGTACCATGCTCGGGTTTGGAAGAGCTTGAAGAGGAGATAACAGGTTACTAGGCCAAAGAGAACGGCGAAGAGCGCAGCTGCTGGAACAGATGGGAGATATGTCCAGAGGTAGTAGCCGCCTTCTAGAGGTTTGAGCTGTGCCATGTCATCTGGATTTGTCTGGTGCACACCACCTGCAGCGATGTATTGTATGGAGTACTACTACTTAGGGAGGTTGGTGAGAAAGATTTGAGATGAATGGAACGGAACATCTTGTTTCTCTTGTCCTGGATATTGTGATATATATAGAGAGGGACCTGAAACCCCCGAAAACGCGCCACTTTCAGTGTGGACATCAGTGGAGTTGTTTTCTTGAGCCCTGAATACGCGTATAGAGAAAGCTGAAGGATGATACCGAATATGTTACTTGATCGGGCTTAGAGACCAACTGTGGTCCGTGCATACGCGTATTCGCTCAGACAGGCAGGTCCCTGGTTGCACCTCCTCCTCCTCCGCCCAGTTCCACTTTCTTTGCCTTGTGCACTCATACATCTTTGCTCATCATTAGAATTTTTTCCTCTGTTATGCTTGTCCTCGGCCCCTGAAACGATAAAATCAGACGCCTGCATCCTCATAGGTTAGACTCGGCTGCTGCCTGAGCCTTCAACGTTTAAGCTTATCGGCAGACGCCGCCGGGTGCGATAGTACCATCACTGTTGGCTCAGGGCCTTTTACCCGAAGGCTCACCAACACTTCCATACTTTCCAAGAATCGATACTGCATAGACGACTTACCTGTTCTGAAGGATGGAAGTCCTAGCCCGAAGAATATGACAGTCATGCCGCGGAGGACGCACCGGAAATCGCGCAATGGCTGTCTAGAGTGTAAAAGACGTCATATCAAAGTGAGTAATCTACGGAGCGCTCTCCAGCATCACTGGAGGACCTGCGCAATGCGATGGCTGGGTGCTGATCATCTAGTGCGACGAGAAACATCCGCTCTGCGGCAATTGCCGCAGCTCGGAACGTGCTTGCGAATACGCGGATCGGTTCAGAAGCAGCACGACTAGATCCCGACGAAGTAATGCTTCGACTCCAAGTAACCCTGGGCCGAGTCCCAATGCTGAGCCATCGTCACAGCGTTATTCGGTTGAAGCAACCGCATCGGAGACGACCAGCTCCGAATATCAGTCTGTCAATATGGTTCATGCAGAGCTCATTTATCATCTCGCCACTGAGACTCTCCCTTCCTTAGGCGATCTTGCAGCCCCCTGGAGACTGACTCCGGAAATCATGCGCGTCGGAATGTTGACCCCCTACCTTCTGAATGAGCTCCTGTCTCTCAGCGCTCTGCATTGCAGTATTGTCCGCCCTGCGGAGCGCGAGCGGTACCGCCGCCACGCCGCCCAGCTCCAGACTCACGCGCTGGAGATCTTCGGCCAGGAGCAACGAGGCATTACTCCGGAAACATGCGTCCCGATGTTCCTCTTTTCCTCGATTCTCGGTCTGCATATGCTCTGCGACACCATCGTCTATCGTGCGGAGACCAGTTTCGATGGATTCCTCGATCAATTCGTCCACTACCTCAAGTTGCACCGCGGCGTGCGAGCCATTACCGCGGAATCATGGGATGCTCTACGTGGGTCGATACTGCAACCAATGCTCCAGCATGGGCAGGATATGTTTCAATGCGGTGCGGACCTGAGCTCGGAGTGCCGGGAGCTCATGGATCTGATTGAGGCGGCTCGGTTGGGCGAGCAGACGACCTCGGTTTATAGGGGGGCAGTGCGTGCGCTGCACATCTCAATGTGCGCATCGGGGCTGACAAGTGGTACCGCGGGAATGAAATACTATATCGGTGGCATCACTGGGTGGCCGGTCATCGTTGAATTGGAATACGTGGATATGTTGGAACAGCGTCGCCCGGAAGCGCTCGTCATCTTGGCGTGCTACGGTGTGATCTTGCATCACGCGAGGAATATGTGGACTTTTGGCGACGGGGGACGGTTCTTGATCGAGGCCATCGGGTCGCATCTTGGACCTCGGTGGGATGAGTGGATGGAGTGGCCTAATCGGATACTAGGAGAATCGCGGGAGTGAAAATTATTTTGCACTGTTTATATATCTGGCTTCGGTGCGGCCGGGCGTGTATAGATACCCTTCTGGTTAATGTAGGAGACTTCCCCTTTCCCTGATCCGGAGGCTGTCAGCTGAATTATCAGGATGAGACCGACTCATTTAGTGATATTTACAGTAGATGGAATAAAAAAAGAAAAAGGGTGGTGTGCATAGAAAACCCCCACCATCATTGGGACAAGGCTTAAAAGCATAGAAAATAAAAAAGAAGTGGCGCTGCCCGGAATCGAACCGGGGCTGGCACGGCCACAACGTGACGTCATACCACTAGACCACAGCACCTGTTGTTGAAATAGTCTCTCAATGTTGCGTTATATTATCATGTTATCCATTATTATACAAACAGGCTATGTAATTTGAGGACCATGTACTGAGTATTTATATCGTGTCTCACTTTTTCCGAATCACTCGATCAGTAAGACTCTAGTACTCAGTTGCTGTCGTCGCTATGAGTCACATCTGGTGAGATTTTGCGACGCCATGGATTCTAGTCTGCTGGCTTACATTTTTACAGGGTTGTACGACGGTTTATATTTCGCGGCAGGTTCCAGTCTTTGGCGTGTTGCCCACATTGTGCAATGGCAAAGACTACTCTCGAATCCATGTACGGACCATGGACCCCAGACATAGAGCATGGAAACATACATCGGAAGAGTGTGTCTACTACACTACCATCGTATAAGAGTACTCGGTGCTAGCAGCATGATGAGCCGTCCTAACCAGTCCTTCCGAACACCAGCACGATTCCAAAAGCCCATGGCCTCTCCCCCGCAAACATAATGTCCGCGTAGCTCGCGACTCCTCCTGAACTCGAGTCAGGCCTAGCATCATATGCGCGGTTGACACCGTGACCACCCAACGAGGCCCATACTATAGCGGAGGGGGGGAGGAGAAAGGTAGGTCATAGCTGCATTAGTAGCTTCTGTTATTCAGAAATCAGAACCTTTAGCGTCAGATCTTAGAATTAAGGTGTAGATGCATGTGGGAAGAAGCTTTGGTACCACCAAGACAGACAGAGATGCACTGCTTGCGACAACAGGTCGCTCTTTTGATCAGATGCAGGAGAGCCGGGAAGGTTACCCCCCCCCAACCTCCCCCAATCTCATGCCGCAAAGCCATGAAGGTAGATGGAGCAGTGTCACCTATAACCACCTGCAGACGACTAGAAAATGATAAAGTCACAAGGGAAGTACGCAAATGTCCATCATTGTCGAGCTTGATTCATGTTGCATGCCTCGTCTGCATCGCATGAGAGTCTAGCACCCAGTAGCGCCGTTGTCACAAAGATGCAGATATCAAGGATATCCGACTGAGATGCGCGTTGCTTGACCATGCAATTGGAAAGGAAGGAAGGAAGGACGGTATACATTCGAAATTTCATTCAATTGATGAGTATCCTTATCACATTGTCTTCAATCTCCCACTACCGACAGATATCATGACCATGACATTTTGAACACGCAACCCTTTGAGCTGTAATGGAGTCCAGACAATGATACTCCCACCACCACACCCTCTCCTTCCCACCGCCCCCTTTGCAAAGGACGTCCCCATAACACAAAAAAAGTAACCACACCGACCATAAACCTCCCACTCTCTAACCACCTCACCCACAAACACCACAAGAACCCCGCCCCGCCAGGAACAAGACATAGAAAGAAGAAAAGAATACTAGACAAGTGCCATCCTACCCCATTCAGACAAAGAACCTCCACCCCTCAGGCCGTATATCCCCAAAGGCATGGAGACAAATCACCAAATCAGAGGGTCTTTTGTTCCCAGGATTTCCAACACTTGCCCTCCCTCGCGAAGGAGAGATTGATCTATGATTCGACCCGGTCAACACCCGCTCATTGAAATGCACGAAAATCCCCATCGAAAGGAGACAAAACACCCAACCTGCGAGCAGGGATAGCGGGACGAGTCAAAAAAAGGACAAGGTTTGAGGAGCCCATTCGGATTGGGAGTACTGGCAAGTGGCAGTAGCATAACACTAGTTTGTGACTCTCGAGTTGATCTGGAATGCTGCTTCGACATTGCGCGTCCCTCAGTAGATGCCATGGGTGTTTGCAGGGTCACACGAGTGGGTTGTGTGGAAGTGTTCTGCGGACATTTGGGGGTTAATGCGCAACCTGCACGCCATGTTAGACAAGAGAAATTGGGATACAGGGTTGGGAGAGTAAGAGGTAGAGTAAAAGAGAGAGAGAGAGAGAGAGAGAGAGAGATTCTCAATAAGAATGAAATGGAAGGAAAGACACACGGAAACGAGATGAAGAAGGAAGCAGGGAGAAGAGACAAAGTGAGAGGATGAGGATGAGAGGAGGAGGTCACGATTATGTAGCAGAGGAGGAAGGCAGCTCGTAAATAAGCGAGCCAGAGGCTGCGGAAATACATAGCATGGACTCATATCTCTCGAGCAAATGAGACGTGGAGTAACACGGGCCGTGGATAGAGTGATGAAAGGTCTGACATGAACCCCAGCAACCGTCTAACACGCACAAAGCTACAAGGCACAGTACAGAATCCGCCTGAAGAAATAATCGCTGTGTTTAACCCATGCACTACACGTGCTATCATCGTTACCAATCACTTCATACATCAGTTCAGTTCCCCGGTGAAAAACGCCATCCCGATTCAATTCATTGCATTCTCGAACCACCCTCCCATCCTGTGTCCTAATCCGGCCAAATTGCATAAATGATGTCCCAGCCAAACCCCAAGAAAGAAGTAGTACAGGAAGCGAAGAAGTATGCAAAGTCGACAAGAGCAAGAGTTTAAGCGAAAGGCTTTTCGTGGGCCAGACACCGAGTTGATGGCAGGGGCAGATAACAGAAAAAGTCGCGTGGGAAACCATCATGAGTCAGTTGAAGGACATTGGCAAATGTCGTAAAACATGAGAGGAGACAAGAGCAAAAGCAACAATAACACAAAGATCAAGCGTTTTTTTTCCATTCAGTACATCGTGAGTGCAACCCCGCGGGGAAATCAACCAAAGAAGCAGCCAGCCAAGCTCTCATGGAGAGTACAGATTACACACGTGAGAAGAACATAAAAAGGGAGATATGTGTTAACAAGTGGCATATAAAACGAGATATTTTCCTTACCGGGGTTTGCCGTACCCCAAGATTAATGGCAATGAAAATAAAAAAGCAAAGGGAAAAACGGGGGAAGAGCCAATGTAGATTTCATCACCAGTTAAGATGTAACGCCATATCCCTTAGTGACCGTAGTTGCCTCCCCAGCCTCCACGTCCAGTGTTGCCATAATAGTTAGCGAAACCTGCGCCACCGTAGTTACCATAGCCAGTAGGCTGGTGGTGAGTCTGGGAACCAGCCGCCTGGTGACCGCCTAGACCACCCAAGCCGCCGCCATACTGAGGGTTGAGGTGAGGGTAAGAACCAAAGCCCTGCTGACCCTGCTGACCCTGCAGCGGGGGAATACCGCCCTGAGACTGGGGCTGACCAGGGGCGCTGTTGGTGGCAGAGCCGGGGCGGTTAGCCTGCGCAAGAGAAGGGCTCGGTCCAGACGCCTTGGGAGTGTCGAAGCTCTTTGTCTCCTCGGACGTCACAGGAGGCTGTTGGGTGATCGGCTGGTTTTGGCCGAAGCTGCCCTGGGACCGGCCGAAGACATCCGACATGCCGGATCCGAAGGCGGTCGATCCTGCCGCAGCGGACTGCTGGCTCTCAGATGGCTGAGCAGATCCAGTACGCCCGTAAACTGAGTCGCGGCCAGGGATGGTTTGGTTGAAGGAAGCCGCCGTGGCGGGGGAAGAAGTGTGATCGTAAGAGAAGGCGTGGGGTTGACCATACATTCCAGCCTTGCCACCATAGGGACCATATTGGCTTCCATAGCCGTACTGGTTGCTGTGGGGCATGTAGTGATCGTCATATCTGCGAGCATCGTCATACATCGGACGGTTTCTGCCGTACTGGTTCATTCCGCTCATGTACGAAGCATAGTGAGGGTTCGAGTAGTAGGGATATCCGTAGCCGTAGTTATGGGCGCCCTGGCCTGGCATGTGCTGGGCAGTAGGCGTCTGAGTGGCGCCGGGGAGGGTGGGGTTGGGGGTGGTGTGACCGCTGTTAGGAGCTTCGACGTGGCCGTAGCGGCTTGGGGGTTGGGTGGTGGGAATGTGCGGCTGCACCTCGGCGCCAGAAACGCCAAATCCTGCTCTCTGAGCAGCAACAGTAGCATCCTGGGTCTGACCATAAGAGCCGTAGTAGTTGTAAGGCAGGCGCTGATCCACAGCATAGAACGGCGAGTACTCGCTGCCACTGGTGACAGTTGGCTGAATAGGCGCCTGGTTTGCGAACGGCTCCTGGACCTGGGGTTGGGGCTGCGTAACCTGCTGGGTGAAGGGGTCGAAGGGCTTGTGAGCATCGGTGTAGCGGGAGAAATCGGCAAAGGAGTTGTCGGCAGCAGAACCCTGGGGCACGGGAGGAAGCCCAGGAGCCGGGCGGGCAACTGCAGGAGTTTCAGTGGGAGCTTGGGCTTGGGTGGAAGGAGGCAAAGAGGCGCGCGGGGCCACGGGAGAGTGTTGAGGAGGTTGAGCACGGGTTTCCGCGTCTTCTCTGTTCTCGTCAATGTCAACATCAGCAGCATCGCCATTCAAACCCATGCTGCCGAACTGGACCGCCGCCCGGTCCACAGCGTGGTTGCCCGGCATAACCACGGCCTCCTGCTGCTCCATGACGCGACGCTGGGTGCCAGGAGTGCGAGTGCTGTGCTTCAGAGCACTAGAGGGATGAATGCTGGCCGGAACGCGAGTGGGAGTGGCAGCAACTGGAGCATTGGCAGCAGACTCAAGGGTGCTACCCACAGTGCTAGCTGCGGTAGCGGTCGGAGCAGGGGGAGAGACATCGGGGATCTGAGCGAGGTTGTTCTTTGTCAAATCGTCCTTGGGAGCGGGCACTTCGGGGGCGGGAGGGCTGACAGTGGTAGGTTCTTCCGTTGGCAGAGTCTGAGGGATGACAGGCTCAGGAGCTTTCTGTGCGGGGACTGGAACTGGAATGGGAACGGGAACAGGGACAGGAGCCTGGGCAGGAGCCGGTGCAGGTACGGGAGCTGGTTCGGGAGCCGCAGCAGGGACAGCAGGAGCCGGGGCGGGAGTAGGCTCGGCTGGTTTCTGCTCCTCTACTGGCGCAGCAGCAGGCTTTTCCGAGACCTGGACAGGAGCAGGAGCAACAGGCTTCTTGGGCTGGGGCGGCGGCGTGGGTTTAGCGAACAGACTGGCCCAACCCGTCTTTGTTCCACCGGGGACAACGTTGGGCTTAGCGACGTCCTGAGCTTCTTCTTTCGAGGTATCAACAGGCTCGGAGGTTGCTGCAGATTCAGCTTTAAGCGTGTTCTCCGTCTTGGTAGTCGCAGCGGTCTCCGGTGCAGCAACAGCAGCAGCATCGGTGACGGTGGTAGCGACAGCTGGCTTCTCGGTGCGGGCGCCGTTGGTGTGAACACCGGCCCTGCCCCCGCGACCACCACGGCCTCGATCTCCACGAGCACGGCCCCGACCCTCAAATCCACCACGTCCACGGCCTCCACGGACAGAGGGGACGACAGACTCGGTTGGGGTGCTCTGTACTTCCTTGGGCTTAGGACGGCTGCGGTCTGTGGTCTTCTTCTTTACTTCGCCCCACTGAGAGACATTGCCTAAGTAGATACGAGAGCTGTGTCAGTAGCCGACCAGATGCGTATAGCATTGGCAAGTGGGAAGAGAGCACACCTTCACTGATGCGATCAATAGCTGCCTCCAGGTCACCATCAGCATCCTCCAGAGCGAAGATCAGATCCTCATCGGTCCAGTCGCTGAACAATTCCTTCAACATGGGCAGGGTGTCGGAGTACTTTTTCTTCATTTGACCAATTTCTCCTTCATCTTCGAATGCGGCGGGTGCGCCCTCTGAGTTGTCTGCCTTTGTGGATCTGCTACCACCGCGTCCACCTCTGGAGCTATAGCCGCCACGACCGCCACGGGCAGATACTCTGCCACGAGAGGCAGAAGACCGTGATTGAACTTCAGACATATCTTCTAGTTGTTATTTGTGAATCTCCCAAATCGAGAGACGGTGGAAGGGAGAAAGAAAGAGAATAGAGAATGACCCAAGGTAGTCGAAGGGGAGAAAACAAGGTGCGGCTAGTGGGAAGAAAAAGCGGGTAAAAGGTCGTCGTAACTTTAGTGTACGGTAGCAATGATGGAGATGCAGCCTCACGAGAGAGGTCAGCAGCACCCAAGAACCACTAAAAAAAAGGCACACAAGGGCCACCAGAATTGGAGGGTTACTTGGGAGGGGGTAGGGAAGGAAAGGAGATTTAGAGGGAAAAGAAAAGAATACGAGAGGCTGGAGAACAAAGTCGATACACCAAAGGAATTGAACTTCTTTTGGGGGAAAATGGAAGAAGAGGGAAAAGAGAGGGAAAAAATAGGGTGGGCAAAAGAGGTTTGAAGGGGGAATGAGTAACTACAGGTAGGTTGGAAGGTAGGAGGTGCAGAAAGTTTAGCTGTAGGCCGATCGAGTTCAGTGCATCAATCAAAAGACCAGACGGGAACAGTAAGAGAACCGTATAGTCACGTCACAAATTGTCGGGCGCAGGCTGAGTGACTACTCCACTGTAACTGTAATGACGGGTCCGTGACTTGTATTGAATAATATGGGGTTGAGCTTGCCCAAATGTATGTGAATTTCGTCATCCACTATTAAATCCGCAGGTGCATCAACTACTACAACTCATTCTCTGGATGTTTTGGTGAATCAGATCAATAGATGCACTTGTTGCTTTAAAGGATATTGATTCTTCTTGCATGTCTCAGATTGTACGTATGTGATTTGCCTCGATCTTATATATCCCTCGGTCATTCTGGCGGATTGTATGGTGAGGTGGCAGCAGCCCTCGCTCACCGCCCGTCACTTTGGGTCAAACGGACGCTTGGTTTGCCTCGTTCTAATCAGTCCAGGCTATATTCATGATTATGTCGCCCCATCGTCAAATCCATCTCCCTCGGCCGTTCTGCCTAACTTCTAGCGGTCGCTCTATCTGCGCTCAACAGATCCTCATCGGATCACTCACGATCTACTAGACAGTCCGATCAATCTTCGTTCTGCCTTCATCACGCCATGAAAGGTACAGCAAGCTTAAATTACGCTCCCTGGTTCAAGAACCTTCACCCCCCGTTGCCCCGGACTCCCCGTCAGTCTCAACAACTCCTCAATGCTCTTACAACCTCCTTTCGGCGTCAGCTAGATCGGGAATATCCTTCTGCTTCCGTCCCCACCCCGCTCAACCAGGATGAAGTCTCTGAGGTGCATCTGCCGAAGAATCCTGAGTCCTCTAGCTATGCGACGGACAAACATCTCCACTCAATCTTAGAAAATCCGCTATTCCGAGTCCAACCCCGCAAGGAGGTCAGGGCCAAAGGTTCCGATCGGGACTCGAGACTGGCCAAGGAGCCTATGGTGGTTTTTGAAGAGCTGGCCGCTGCAGGCAATGTCACTTTATCTGCCTTGAATAATTGTCTGGTGTCTCAGCTATTGCTATTGAGTGATCACAAATCGGGCGAGCAATTTGTCAAGGCAATGAGGGACTCTAGGACGGCATCAAGAATTGCTAGTTGGTGGTCCGCCTCCGACCTGAACACAAGAGGGTTGTTGTTCCATCCTTCAATAACGCCTCATATCACGAAGTTCTTGGTTGCCGAAAATATGCAAAGCGTGGCTCTGACCTGGCTGAAGTTGCTAGCGCAGCGAGATATACTTGGAGGCGAGGGTTCTCGACTCAAAAGGAAAGATTCACGGATAGGGTTTGGTGGACTTCTGAATGACCTAGTGCTTGCCGAGGCTCGGTATGGGGGAGGGATAGAGTCTGCAATGCGACTTTACGTTTCCGCGGGTCAACTCACTACGAGCGACCGAATACCGATTATAAAAAACGAGTACTGGAATGCAACTCTCCTCTCTGCTGGGGGCCATTTGGGCCAGCTAATCATACAGAATGAACCGGACCATGCTAGTGGCGTTGGGCAGATTCTCTATGAGAATTATTTACAGATGATCAACACCGTGGCTGCCAACTCATTGCTTCATGCCTGTGTGTGCATGCACCATCCCACGAAGCCGAATGCTAGGCCATATGTTTTGTATGTTCAAGCTCTTCCAGAGGGTCGGACCGCATCTTGGTCAAAGCTGAGACGGGATCATTACATGCGTGCGGGCTTCACTGCCCTTCGTATCTTGCTCGATCAAAACGACTCAGAATATGCTACATGGTTGGCAAAGTACATGCAGGATACCATATCCCAACATCTCGACCCAGAGGATGTACAATCGGCTCAATACGAGTTGGCACGCCTTGAGCCTGCTTAGTTGCTTTCCACCAAGGCTAGTGACTCTATCCAGGAAGACTTCTGACGCCTGATGAAGACTTAAGCACTCAGTCGTGCAGAACATTGGTCGTTATGCTGGCTACTGACCTTAGGTCATGAGATGCTATGCCCAGAAAATTTTGCTCATCAAGTCCATGCTTCCAGCTACACGAGACCGGCACGTACAAACATAATGACTGAGCCCTCTGAGGGAGCGAATGGGTTTTCTGTTTATTTTACTCATAAAGAGTATGCTGCACAAGTCCTGTGCAGCCATGGAGGGTTGTTGATCCTCGGCGATCCTCGCCGCAGACCGATATTCATTGGTCCTTCCTACCTCTTGCCCGGTATGTGCTTGATGCCCTCGGTCAGCTTCAGTAGCCTAGAATTCAGGCTACTGAGTTTCCGTGTGAAACTATTCATAAGTATAACACTCTCATGCCTCCCGGGATGTCTGCACTTTCACAGCTGCAGTATGCATTACGATCTGATGCTACATCGAGTTCATTGATGTTCATTGCTCGAGATTTGTTCTTCCATTGGCACCACGATCTCAAAATCAAGTCCGGCCGAGTAACCTGCTGCGAACAAATCTCCCATTAATGATGCCTCACTTCTAGGACTTGGTAGTGACTTTCTGGAGGAGTACTTGGGCGCGACGAAATTCAGCGATGGAATCAAACCTAGTGCAGTCGCAGAAGTGGGCAAAGGAATGAATACCCCAGGAAATACGGGACAAAGCGATCAGAAGATCACACTTGCAACCGCATTCTCTTGAGAGTCGATCGATAGCGTCAGTGTGGGCAATAGGATACAAGCCCGAAGCGAGAATATATATCCATCCCGGCGCAGACTGATGCCGAGAAACCCAGCAGTGGGTATGCAGCAGAGCCTAGACGATGAACAGCATGTCGCTGCCAAGGATGGACTGTTGGCTTCTTCGGTCCCCGTATCAAGTCGGCCTGCTAGCGAGGCAAAGAGTTCAGCAGGTCGGCCCTACAAAATACAGGACCGCGGGTCTCGAAAAGGACATTTCCACGGACAGCATTGGCGTCCATACGCGGATTCGTACCAAGGTTGCCATCTGAACCCGACATACCACGATAGTAGCTCGTCTTGCGGTGATACGACAAAATTTCAAGTTTGCTGCAATCGAAAATCATGTTGGTCTTCGAGACCCGTCTTCGAGTTCGACTCCTTTCGTTCCTGTGTAGATTCCGTGCCCTTACATCCAATTGCCAGTGTCAAGCGACTATCAGTGTATGGAAAAAGAATGCATGCTCGCCGCAGACATTTCCGAGAGCCTGTCGTCATAAGAAATTGGAGTGTGTGCAATGATCCTTAGTCTTTTCAACAGGTGTCATGTAGTCATTGGCCAGTAGTTTCTATACTGTGCATTGACGTGATGCACCAGCTCTGCGTAAGTGGGCTGTACTGTACTCTACAGCACTGAATGTACTCCGTCGAATACCCCATTATAACACAATTGGGGTCATTGGATCAAGCGCACCGAATCGGGTCCAACGATAACTAGCGTGTCCCACTCACAAATCGCCGACATCGGATTGATCGTCGCTGAGTCACATCCCGGAACGGAACAACCACCCTAGACCCCGCCATCACCGTAGGGGGCAAGTGTGTGTCATAGGTCTAGCAGCTACAAAGTTATTACTCTTGCTTAAAACTTTAGAAATCGATTCTTAACTCCTTCCTTAACTCCAATTGTGTGCGACTTCCAAAACTATTCCGAGAATTCATCATGCCTTCCAACAAGATCTGGCTGCGCGCCGAAACTAAGCCCGCCGAGGCTCGGTCCGCTTGTGAGTACAACGCTTTACAGTACCAGGGCGTCCGACTCGAGCACGTCCAAACTGACTCCTATATAGTGACGCCTACTACTTGCAAGGCACTTATTGACGCCGGGTATGAGGTCACCGTTGAGCGCTCTACTCAGCGTATCTTTGACGGTAAGAATGACTCAATCACACAAAATGAAGCTCAGAGAAGTAATGTCTAATTGATCGCGTGCTTTTATAGATGAGGAATTCGCCAAGGTATGCCTATCTTCTTACACACTCATCATTGCGTTCTGAATCTTATAACCTGTGTTTCAAGGTTGGAGCACCTCTGGTAGAAGAGGGTTCATGGGTGAAGGATGCTCCTAAGGACGCCTACGTCTTGGGCCTTAAGGAATTGCCTGAAGACGACTTCCCGCTCGAGCACGTTCACATCTCTTTCGCACACTGCTACAAGCAGCAGGGTGGCTGGGAAAAGGTTTTGAGCCGGTGGCCTCGCGGTGGCGGTGTTCTCCTGGACCTCGAGTTTCTTCAGGATGAATCTGGACGCAGAGTAGCAGGTATGATCTAATACTCACATCCCTAGGTACTGCAGGTGGCTGATATTGAGTCTTAGCATTCGGATGGTCTGCTGGTTATGCTGGTGAGTGCATTCGTGAGCGAAGATATGCACGGGCCGAACTAAACTCGTGACACAGGTTCCGCACTGGCTGTCAAGAATTGGGCATGGCAGTTGACTCACCCCGAGGGCGAGCCCTTGCCTGGAGAGACGCCTTATGCCAACCAGGATCTTCTGATTAAGTCTGTCAAGGAGTCGTTGGAAGCTGGAAAGAAGCAGTCTGGCCGCTCGCCCAAGGTGCTTGTTATTGGAGCTGTAAGTATCCGTCTCGAGTAGGTCGCAACGCAGCATCTAACAATATGTAGCTTGGACGTTGCGGCAACGGTGCCGTCCAGCTGGCTAAGGATGTTGGCATTCCCGAGTCCGACATCATTCAGTGGGATATGGTGGAGACCAAGAAGGGTATGTCTCACCTGAGCACAGTCATCATTTGTCGTGCACTAACAGTCCAGTAGGCGGTCCTTTCAAGGAAATCATTGAAGACGCAGACATCTTTGTCAACTGCATTTACCTGTCCTCTCCCATCCCACCGTGAGTCACCCCCGTACATCATTATTTACTTTATTTGGAGATTGACGATGGAACTAGTTTTGTCACTCCTGAGACTCTCGCTACGCCCAACCGCCGCTTGTCGGTCATTTGTGACGTGAGCGCCGACACGTAAGTTTATTCTGGTCTGCCTCTGAAATAGGTTTCAGCTGACACAGGCATTGTAAAGTACAAACCCCCACAACCCTATTCCCGTTTACAATATCACAACTACCTTTGACAAGCCTACGGTACCCGTCACCCTGCCGGCTGGTGCCCAGGGCCCACCTCTGAGTGTGATCAGTATCGATCACCTTCCCTCTCTCCTGCCCCGCGAGAGTTCCGAGCAGTTCAGCCAGGCTCTGCTCCCTAGCTTGCTTCAGCTCAAGGACCGGGAAAATGCCCGCGTCTGGAAGCAAGCTGAGGATCTGTTCCAGGAGAAGGTCGCAACCCTGCCTGAGTCTTTCCGCGCGTAGGAATTACCTCTGACGTGGACTTTTCGGTCTTCTCAAACTGTTTTTGTATAGATTATCTTGGGTACCTGTCATAATGCTTTTAGCTAGGATTTGTTACGGATATTTCGCATGCGTGCATGCCATGGCTTGTCGTCTGGTTTACGTCATGCCAATTAGATAGGACTAAAAGCAATCTAGCCATTACCTTTCTCCAGAAATTTCAACGCAATATACCTCTTCTTCTTGTGCAATAGTGCTTGGGGACGCTTGTTCGGTTGTAGGCGTTGCTGGCCTGAGGCTGAAGTTTAGCTGGAACTCCTGAAAATAAGTTTGTGGTTGAACGACATCCCCACCTTACTTCCCCCGCCCCAAACTTGTGACCATGAAATCGCTTGTATGCACAAGACAATCTCTATTATTTCAGGTTTTGCAGTCATTGCGATTCTTGAATTATGCCCTCAGATCCGATTCGTGACCATACAAACGGAGGCAGCAAGGGATCTGCACCTTATCAACAGATGTTCTTGCATTCAAGCGTTCCCCCTATCCAGCTAATAGGAAATCAGATAACTTCAGTTTCTGCTTCGCATCGAACACTAAACTATAGCCGATGAGCCAGTGTTCTAAGGGCCGATGAATCCTGGATATAGTTTGTGGGGAAATCGAACAGCGTCGGGCAAGATTGGCATTCGCGGGCAATACGGGACGCTCGGCGCTCAAGAACCTCCGAAATATCCAACAAGAGGGATCAATGCTTTATTGCTCTTGCCGCCACCTATCTGCACCGGGACAACTTGCATTGCAGCTTTCGTCTTGGAATGAACATACGAACTCTTCATATGAGCTAGAATGCAGTTTATTTCGTTCATTACAGAATCCTAGACTCGGCCTGGGTAAGACTGCCACTTTAATTGACGCCCCCTCCCCCCCCCTCTCCCCAAACCCTTACCCCGTTTTCTCTCCACATCCCTCGGTCTATGGGGAAGAACAGCTGACGATTATTCCACTAGACCTGCCGAGAACGAACGTACTTCATCCCCCAAACCCCGAACTGTTGCCTGCTCGCTTGTATATATACGTGACTGGTCGGAAGGTCAAAGGAAAACTCAATAACTTTTCTTTCACCTTGGCGTCAGAATCCCTCCACCTGTGTTCACTGCGACCACCCCCGTGGCCCAATTATTTCCATGGACCGGCTTTAGGACCGAACTCCATAGTCTGCATATATACATCGCTTTTCGATTTGACCAGAATCTTAACTCGTTCGAAGTGCTTGAAGAGTGATGCAGGAGAAGTCAACGACAGTCGCCGCATACGCGGCTGGAGCGTCTCTTGCGGCCGTCGCTCTCTTTTATGTATTTGGGCCCAACTACACAATTGATGGAGACGAGTCAAGCGACAGCGGTCGCAAGAAGAGCATTGTGGGCTTATCGAATCCCGCCAATGACTGCTTCATCAATTCCGTGCTGCAAGCTCTTGCGGGCCTCGGCGAGCTGCGAGTGTACTTGATCAGAGAGCTTCATCGACGTGAGTTGGACGGCTCAGAGATCTACAGTCTCCTACCACCGCTGGACGAAATCCCTCGGGATGCGAAGCCGGACAGGGTACGAGAATTACAGCAGGGGACAATTACCAGGGCACTCAAGGAGATGCTGGATCGCCTAAATGAGCGCCCAATATACAAGAAGACGATATCCGCGCGACCATTCATTCATTCACTCGAATACGCTTACCGGACACGGATCAGTCGCAGCCAACAAGACGCGCAGGAGTTCCTGCAGATCGTGGCAGAGAGGTTGTGTGACGAGTTTCATGCGGGAGTCAAGGCTCGACTGCGGGCGAAAGGCAGAATTGAGCCTTTGAAGGTTGACAACTCGAACCATGTTACGCCAGCAAAAAGTCCCACGGATATTGAAGTGCGCATTGATGATGGCTCCCCAAATGGACTCCCAGCAATCATCGATACTAAGCTCAAGGAGATTGAGAATGAACATAGCTTCCCTTTCGAGGGGAAGCTCGAGTCTCAGATCGAATGCCAGTTTTGTCATTACAAGTACAAGCCGAATCAGACATCATTCGTCAACTTGACGCTTCAGGTTCCTCAGAAGAGCTCAACCACACTCAGCGCCTGTTTCGATGGTCTGCTTAAGACTGAGTATATCGACGACTTCAAGTGCGACAGGTGTCGACTGCAGCACGCTCTGGATATCAAAACGCATGATCTGACTAAGGCAGGCTCGGGAGGGGAAAGGCAACGACTTGAGGACGAAATCGAGCGTATACAGAGTGCCATCTCTACAGACCCAGAAGGCAGCTTAGAAGGTGTCAGTCTGCCCTCTTCAGAGCTTGCACCGAAACGAAAAATTGCGCGACATATGCGGATTGTTGCATTTCCCAAGATCATTGCCATTCACCTTTCCAGATCCATCTTTGATCAGAGCAGTTCGTCTAAGAACGCAGCAAAGGTTTCTTTTCCTGAACGTCTTCCCCTAGGCGGAATCCTGAGCCAGAGATGGTATCGACTGCTGGCGATAGTCTGCCATAAAGGCAGCCATAATAGTGGACACTATGAGTCTTTCCGCCGCAATCATCTTTATGCGCCGTTCTCGACTCCTGATGCATTTAGTTCATATGCTCAGAGCCGAGCAGTCAGTGAGAATACTTCTGAGGCACCCAGTCCGAAGCTGGGGCCTCGTCAAACTCCAGGGCCTGAGCTTTCTGCGCTCAGTATCTCGACGTCGTTAGAGCAGCCGAGCCAATCATCGCAATCTTCTCCAGCCCCTTCACGCTCCACTTCCAGCAAAGAGTCGAAAACGTCGTCTCAACTGCATAACCCCTTATCTCCGACTACCCGTCCTACCACGTCGAGCTCGCGGCTTTCGTTTCAGAGCAATCGTTCTCGCTCGAGTACATCCAAGCAAACTCTTTCGCCCGACTCTGATCCACTCAGTCCATCGAATGATGGTGGACGCTGGAGCAAGACATTTTCCCGGACCTCTCTGACTAGTGAGAAAAGCACGCAGCCGAAGCAACCTACAGAAACATCGGCAGCTTCCAGCTTCCGACAACGCCGCCGCCGTAAGCAAAATGATAGATGGTGGCGCATCTCCGACGAAAAAGTCAAGGAATGTAAAACATCTGATGTTTTGGGCATGCAGAAAGAGGTTTATCTTTTGTTCTATGAGTTGGAAAGGCCAAACAATAGTGCTTAGCTTGGGTGCATACATACTAGACCTGAGGGTTTCACAGCTGTACATGTGAGAAACCTTCCTAAAGAATCAGCTTACATAGTCTTTTGCGATCCGCAGGCCCAACCGGATCGACCGAATACTACTTAAATCTAGAATAAAAAAAGAACTACGCTACCATTTTCGTGTCTCAGTAACAATTGAACTGCCTCGTACTACGTTGATGTCTTTTGACTTCACTTCTCACGGCAGTGATTCACTTCGAGGGCTATGTATTAGTCATCCATACCGCGACCGCATTCCGTTCAGGTGCCGTCCATGATTGGCGGAGACGGCCGCATACCCTGCTCCCCTCAGGCGAGTGGATCAAATCCATGACCTAAAGTGTGAAGGAGTAGCCTGTCCCGGGGTGTCCAGGTCTTGTTTTTTTCTCTTTCCTTTTTTTTTTGTGTTTTATTTATTATTATCATTTTCAATCCACTGAGGTTTGACCTTCTCCAGTCAGGCAACACTAACACAACACTGGCACTAACTACACCCATCGCTCGCTTTCCCACTTCTTCCCGCCGCCCATCACAGAACGTCCCCGAGAACACACATATCTACTCCCATTAGCGAAATTCAAACATTCTCAAGCAGCTACTGCAATCATAACATCGCAACTGCACTTAAGCCTCATCCCTGACGTTTTGCATTAGCCTGAACAGGGGAATACAAGCAGAACAACTTTTCCTTTTCCATTCCCCTTTTGCATTTACCATGCCTCCCAAACGCGCGACCCGCGGAGCTTCCGCCGCCGCCGACGGTCGCAAAGCGACAGCCGCCTCCTCCAGAGCCACCGCCCCTACGAAATCCCAAAAGAAGACAGAGACCAAAGCACCAGCAAAGGCAGCTGCTACTGCTGCTGCTGCTGCTGCTGCTGCTGCTCCTGCTAGCAGGAAAAGAAAGGCCGTTGAATCTGAGGATGAGTCGGCCGCTCCTGTTGCGCGCGTCCAGAAGAAGCAGAAGGAAGGTGAGGAAGTATCCCCAGATCATCATCAACAACAACATCATCATCAACAACAACACCATCATCGTGCTCAAACGCGTGCTCGCGTGATTGGTTTTGTCGCTGCGCTTGATCATATGCGCTGACAGAAGGAAATTGTGTTTTTACAATAGAAGCGCCTGCTCCGATCATCAACCACCCTCCCACAAAACGACTAGATGTTTACGTCTTCGGAACGAATTGCTACGGCGAGCTCGGTCTTGGAGACGCGACCAAGAAGTCGGAAATCCCCGGCCCCGTGCTCAACCCCAAGCTTGCGGCAGACACTGTTGGTGTTGTCTACCTGGCTGTGGGAGGCGTGCATTCGGCGGCTCTTACACACGACAACCAGATTCTGACCTGGGGTGTTAACGATGAGGGAACCCTTGGGCGTGATACCAAGGAAGAGCGCAAGGAGGTCGAGACCAATGGAGTCAACGGGGATGATAAGGAGGACAAGTCTGATTCCGACTCGGATGATGATGAGGTCGACTTGAACATGAAGGAGGCCACCCCCATGCCGGTCGACTCTACTCATTTCCCCAAAGGCACCGTCTTCACGCAACTGGCAGCCACTGACAGTGCAACCTTTGCCCTCACCCAGGAAGGAAAGGTCTATGGTTGGGGTACTTTCAGAGTAGGTTTAACCATTGAATTCCGTGGAAAGTTTTCGTCAATAGTGTATCGGACACTTACAATCGTTTAGGGAAGCAACGGTGTGATTGGCTTCTCTCCTGACACTAAGTTCCAGCGCACGCCGACCCTGGTCTCTGGACTCGAGAAAGTCACAGAGCTGGCTGCCGGTGCACAACACGTCATGGCGCTCACGTCCAATGGTCAGGTTTTCACCTGGGGTTGCGAGGAACAGAATCAGCTTGGACGCAGAATCTCTGGTCGTTTGCATGGCAAGCTCGAGAGTCTGGTCCCTGGTAAATGTGCCATTCCTGCAGGTGTTGTCAGCATTGGTACCGGTGCTTACCACTCCTTTGCTGTCCGCAAGAACGGCCATGTGCACGCCTGGGGCTCGAACAACTTCGGCCAGACTGCTGTTCCTATGAGTGCCGGTCAGAGTGACGCCGTGGTCCTTTACCCCACTGAGGTCAAGTCCTTCCGCGAGTACAGCAAGATTGTGAGCATCTGCGGTGGTAAGGATCACAGCATCGCTGTCACGGAAGACGGGAAGTGCCTGACCTGGGGGCGTGTCGACAACAAGGCCCTCGGTCTGGCTCTTCAGGATATGCCTGCGGATGATCTGGTGCACGATGAGCATGACCGCCCTCGTATCCTGACCAAAGCTACTGCGCTGGTCGACATTAAGGATGAGCAGATTGTCTTCGCCACCGCCTCCAGCGATCACTCCTTCGCCATCACCAAGGATGGCAAGGCGTACAGCTGGGGTTTCAACGTGCAACGTCAGGCCGGACACCGTGAGGTTGATGAGATCGAGCGACCAACTCTGCTTCAGAACAAGCACGTCACGGGCAAGAAGCTGGTTGGTGCCTCGGCTGGCGGTCAATTTAGTATGCTGGTTGGCGAGGCATCGCCGCAGCAGGCGAAGGGTGAGACTGCTTGAAAGGTAGTCATGTAAATCTTGTTATTTTTTCCTAGAAGATCTGGCTTGAAGAACTTTGTACTACTAACAATGTCATGTTGCATAATGGGAATCTTCTTTTCAGTTGAATACAATTCGAAATTGCTGAGCATTGCCGCGTCTCTCTATTTCTTCCTCATGTCTTGGTCTGCTGCTGCACCGTTGGTCGTATCTGATTGAACCAGCCTAGGGCCATAGATAGGGGGAGCGTTCCTCGGGAGTCGGCAGTCTCCCGAATTATGGCTAAAGCCGGGGCCGTCGAGGCATGTCTCCACTGCCGTCTGGCCCTTGACTTGCTTATTTCTCCGTATATCGCTGCTTCCAAGTCGATCAGCTGGACTGGGGTAAACCAGTCTAGGCCCTCTATGGATGAGGTAGAAATAGGACGAATTGATTAGAATATGCGTTGCATTCTCCATACCGGAGGAATTATTCCCGCCATTTTTTCCGATGGATAAGCTGAGAGCACGAAAGAAATACGGAGAGCCGGGGCTCAAATGTTTTATCGTCCGCGGGGAGCAAAATGATATACCCGAACTACGGAGGGAAACGAAGGGAGCTGTAGCCGGTTCTGTTGGACAGACTGGTGTTCCAGAAGAATGCCAGGATGTTGCAGCTAACGCTATTCTGAGCAGTCTGCTCTCCGGATGAGATATCCAGAGCTACTTCGTACTGACTACGCTCTCAGTTTGAAAACAGCATTTGAACTTTCATCATTGCGGGCTGCTGCAAACAAACCGGTTGAGGGGAAATCGGGATGATGTCATGTGATGGACGCGGGGATTTCCGGGAAGCCGTTCCCGAAGCCTGAGGCAGGAATAGGCGTCATCGGCTTCAGTCCTCCCCAAATGGAAGCATCATCCATCCATCCATACACGGCAGTCATGGTGCCATCCATCGGATCTCACTTGTCCGGTTATGTCTCAATTGAAAAATCTACTCCAGAGTGCTGAAAAGCACAAGGTCGTTTCGATCCAATTCTTTCGACAGTTCTTGCATTGAGTTGCTACAACCCAACAGCAATTGAGAGCACTGATTTCATACTGAACACATCATACCCCACCAACCGGTGAGTTCTTCGAGTACTGCTTCTGGGTTGACTGCCCCTCCATGACCACAACTTCGTCACCCTCTCTGCTTCTCCCCCACCCCCTCCCTCAGTCCCTCTCTCTCTCTCTCTGTCTGTCTCTCCCTAGCAACCTTAGACTTCGCCCGTTGCCCCTCCCTGCCCGATTTAAATCTCCAGCTCCGTATTCGTCGCTCGGTAAAGACTCTTTTAGTCCAAGCTATTCCTGAATTTATTTCAACCATTCTTTCCTCTCCTCCTCTTCCTCTTCTTCTTTTCTCTTTCTCTCTTCCCTTCCCAAATAATCTTCTCCATCTCCCCATCAATCCTTTACTCATCACTCTTAATAGCAAACCACATTTCATCTTCTATCACAATGGGTGTCCTTGAGAAGCTTTCCCGCAAGGCCGGTGTCATCGTCGGTGATGACGTCCTCCGTCTCTTTGAGCACGCTCAGGAGAACGGCTATGCTCTCCCCGCGATTGTAAGTCATACAGCCCAAACCCGCCTTACTGAGGCTTCATGAAGTCCAGCAACTAATCCAAGTCCACTCTTGTAGAACGTGACCTCCTCCTCCACTGTCGTCTCTGTCCTCGAGGCTGCCCGCGACAAGAACTGCCCCGTCGTTCTGCAGGTCTCCCAGGGTGGTGCTGCCTACTTCGCTGGCAAGGTACGTATCTCATGAATTTACTTTATCATCTGACGGGCAATGGCTGACAAGGTCCTTCAGGGTGTCAGCAACGACGGCCAGAAGGCCTCCATTGCCGGTGGTATCGCCGCTGCCCACTACATCCGCAGCATTGCCCCCGCCTATGGTGTCCCCGTTGTCCTCCACACCGACCACTGCGCCAAGAAGCTCCTTCCCTGGCTCGATGGTCTCCTCGATGAGGATGAGCGCTACTTCAAGCAGCACGGCGAGCCCCTCTTCTCTTCCCACATGATCGATCTGTCTGAGGAGTCCGTTGAGGAGAACATCGAGACCACCGCCAAGTACCTCAAGCGTGCTGCTCCCATGAAGCAGTGGCTCGAGATGGTATGTACACGCCCTGGTTGTTCTACTGAGTAGCAGGCTCGCTAATATGTCCTTAGGAAATTGGTATCACCGGTGGTGAGGAGGACGGTGTCAACAACGAGGACGTTGACAACAACTCCCTCTACACTCAGCCCGAGGACATCCTTGCCATCCACAACGCTCTCGCCCCCATCAGCCCCTACTTCTCCATTGCCGCTGGTTTCGGCAATGTTCACGGTGTCTACAAGCCCGGCAACGTTCGTCTCCACCCCGAGCTTCTCGAGAAGCACCAGGCCTACGTTAAGGAGAAGACTGGCTCCAAGAAGGACAAGCCCGTTTTCTTCGTCTTCCACGGTGGCTCTGGTTCCTCCAAGGAGGAGTACAAGCAGGCCATCAGCTACGGTGTGGTCAAGGTTAACCTCGACACCGACATGCAGTACGCCTACCTCACCGGTATCCGTGACTACGTCCTGAACAAGAAGGACTACCTCATGAGCACCGTCGGTAACCCCGATGGCGAGGACAAGCCCAACAAGAAGTTCTTCGACCCCCGCGTCTGGGTCCGCGAGGGTGAGAAGACCATGAGCAAGCGTGTCCAGGTCGCTCTTGAGGACTTCAACACTGCTGGCCAGCTGTAAACCAAAAGAAGCTCATTAATGTCTCTGATGTGATGTGTTTTCGGATTTGACGAAACCAGATACCAAGTACATAAACTTAAAACAATTTCTTTATTGATTCTCAAAATGGAAGGTGATGAGGTGTTGAAGTGAGCGTAATGTGGACTAAGGCGTGGGATCATTTGACGGTGTTGGTGGGTCAATGGCAGTTGTTTGGCACTGTGAATGACTTATGTACTAGCCATTTGACACGAGCTTCATAGCCGACGAAACAGTTTGGACGAAAAAAACATGTTTTTGTCTTGAGCGAGAATTTGACCTAACTTATATCTTCCCTCAGCCATGCATAGATGTAGAGTACGTTGCTGACTTCTGGTACTCGTAGTCTGGTTCTTTGAAAGAACAAACCGACAGTATGGCAATTGACCTTTTCTCAACCACTATAGTTACCAGTAGCTCCGCTGACGAGATTGACGTCAGCCGAAACCGGCGAGCTTGTTCCCAATATTTTTGAATAGCCTCATATTTTCCTATTCTATCAGAGGGGATATATCTCGCTCGCATGGCTTAGATGGTAAAGCGCAGCACTAGTAATGCTGAGATCCTCGGTTCGAGTCCGAGTGTGAGCAGTCGTATCTCTTTTGGCTGTTGATCATTTTTGCTCGGCCGATTTTGGGGGTTTCTCGTAGGTACTCATTCACGAGAACAGGCATGGCGCGGGTTAGGTTCCATTAATATGCAACTGATTGTGGTTCTGCTGTAGCAGTACATCCCTGGTTGTTGGGCTGGCAGGCTGGGGATCAATGGTATTCGATGTGACTACTAATGGGATAGATGCATTCGTGCCATGGCAGGTTATAATTAACTACAACAGCAAATCCAGCATCGTTGAATACCACAAGGCCCATCGGTCGTGTTCACCATATGGACCCCAAGGATTTGCTGGAATTTCAATTAGCATAAGACTTGGTTGCATCAGTCTCTCGGGTGGCCGTCTGGTAGCTCCGTAACGCTCTCAGCCTCCCTTTATTCTCCTTCAGTGACATCCACAAATGTCACTCTTTCTGCGGAGTACGCCATGGGGAGTGTGAGTGAGTCCTGCACGCTCCCTGATGCTCGTGTCTGCTATGCCATTTTCTCACTGGTGTCGCGTGAGTTGATGCGAATTTAATCCTTGTACAATAGCGGTGATATAACACCAGTCTAATGTTGAGTGCGAGCCTATTCATGGATATGACCATGCTCTAGACACTGGAGATACTCAGTGTATTGCCGATTATTCCCATCTGCTTCAATGGGTGATACAGCGGGACCGATCTAGATCTGTACCTGACCATGGATACTTACTCCGTCATGCACGATGTACTCATTGTTGACTGTCAAAGTTGGTTCGAGTGCATGATATATCAACAAAACTTGACCAATCAGCTCGCATGGCTTAGATGGTAAAGCGCAGCACTAGTAATGCTGAGATCCTCGGTTCGAGTCCGAGTGTGAGCAACCTTTACTTTTTGCTCTCCATTGACTTTATACCTAGTATACTCTAATTTCCGCAATGTGGGCAAAGCTTCGCCAAGCATTAACCAAGCAGCTCGCATGGCTTAGATGGTAAAGCGCAGCACTAGTAATGCTGAGATCCTCGGTTCGAGTCCGAGTGTGAGCACTAAACTTTTGCTTTTAGCCTAGCCTTTTTGCTAGGCACGCTTGCTTCTGGGCAGTGGACAAATTTGCCCGGCGGTTTCACTTTTCGCTGCTAGCGCCATGCATCAACAAGACATCCCCCTCAGCACCCACGGCTACTCCGCACATCCTCGAATGACGATGAGTCCTCCGCCCGTTGGGACTATCTGCTATAGTATACTTTGAGCAGCCAACTGTTTTCTCCCGCACAGGCTTGAGCTAAATTTAGAAGCGAGCAATTCACTCCATACTCCATAAGGGCATAACGTGTAGCGAAGCGGATGTGCTGGACCCGTTGATCTGCATGATCTCCATGCTGCCATGGCAGAGAAAGCCGGAATAGTTACTTGTATTGCAGCTTTGTCCCGTGTCGTCAGTGAGATTGAGTGAGTATTTCCCATGAAGTCCATCCCAAGCTTCAAGCGATGGCGTGCATCGGCAGTATGTAAGTTAGTCCCGATGCAGGTGCACTAACTGGACACGTGCTCTTGATCGGGTCCAAGTGAGGTCACCAGAGGTCGAGACGCTGCGTGACTGTTGAAGTAGATTGCAGGCAAGCCACCGGGCAGAGATCGATCCACGCATTCTTCAAAAGGGAACTGGCAATGAAGTATAGTACTGTAGTCAACTACTCCGAATGTTATTTCTGCTTACCAATAAAACTCGGACGGTGTGCCGGAGCTCATACTATGCCTGCGATTTGAGACAACGAGCTGATCGGGGTCCCATGCGAGTTCCAAACCAGAAATTGGTAGGCAGCGACGCTTACTATTGACATCATAGCAAAGTCGATGCCGTGAGCTGTTTGTTGGGACGGGGATGTTTCTATCTGAGTCTCTGAACCCAACCTTAGTCTGATCCGAATGGAATCAAAAGACTCATCCGAACTGCTTGACCGTGAGGATAAGGGTCCTGTGGCTTGTGACTACCGTGACCAAGAATAGAAGCAGATGACTCCATCATTCACCGGCAGTTGATTGACGCCAAGCCATCTGCGTGTGCCACAGTCAGGCGCCCACCAGCCACACCTTCGAGTACGGGTACGGTAAAGAGTACCTGAAAGAAGCGTAGAAAGAGGTTCTACCAATGGTCTTCCGTACCGGTCTGAAAACCGCAGTGTTACCGGGGGTCCCGAGGGTCTGAGACATACTACCCTAAGGCCCGCACTGGTACGCCCATCAAATTCAAAGCCCCGACAGTCTCTCCCATCCTCATCCAATTATTGGATCCCCCCAGTGGAGTCTTTGCTCGTTGTTTGGTTTTCACTTTTCTTCCTTGGCTCACTTTTGCAGTTGCCCTGAGGTTTACCTGGGACTGTGTTGAGAGGCGAAAAAATAAAAAAAAAACAAAAGACCACGTCGGGCGGGTAAACAAAGCGTGCAGTGCGGGAAGAACGAGGAAGAATAATCTGATAGATTCCCAATTTCAAGAAGGGAGAAAAGGACTCCTGAATCATTCTGCACATACTCCATAGATGTGTACTCTGTACTCCGTGCAAGGACTCCTACCGAACCTAACAAATCAGTGCTAGTAACCACAGCCATTCCGCCTCCACTTTGTCAACGTATGCAGTGCGCATCTCGGCCTCTGACTGTCAGAAGTGGAATTGATACGTACTGGAGGTACGTCAAGGGCGAGTCCAGTCCGGTCCATTCTTGACGCTGTTACTCTTCCCTCCCCTCCTCCGCAGGAGCCTTCTCTCAAACTTTGGCTGAATTGCGAATCAACTCCTTCAGAGTTCTTTTCCATCAGTGGTGCTATCTTTTCCGACAGGTAGTCAATCAATCATTAGAGCCGACTAGTGGTGGTGGTTGAGACCCGCCTCCAACCCCGAATCCACTTCTCCATCATCATTGATTATCTCCTTCTCCTCTTGTTCGCCTTCCCGCGCACATCTCCATTTGCCTGGCTCGGTTTCACACTCTTCGCCTCACTCACTTTTCTTCCCTCCTCTTCCCCCGAGTATCATCAACATTCGTTCGCTTCTGGATCTTTCTTCTTGTCGCACTCTCCTCCACTCCGGTCTTTCTGCGTTCCCTCCGCTCCGTCGATGCCGCCCTTGGCTCAATAAGCACCATGCAGTCTAGCGCCCTCTGGCGGCGCGACGATTCCACAGAGCAATTCCTCAAACTCATCCAGAATCCTTTCAAATCCGCCGTATGTCCTGCTTGTCCATCACACCTGGTCTTGTTCACCGCATAACTAAGGAGCACAACAGTTTCAAGTCAACGCCGTCTGGGCCTCGTTGGCCACTTCCGCCGGCTTCAGCATACTTCTCGCCCTTCTCTTCTCTCTATTCAGACCTCGTCACTCTCTCGTTTACGCGCCCAAAGTCAAGCATGCGGATCGGAAACATACCCCACCACCAGTGGGAAAGGGCTTCTTCGCCTGGCTCAAGCCTGTCGTGCGTACCAAGGAACAGGATCTCGTGGACTGCGTCGGGCTCGATGCCACCATGTTCATCCGCTTCGCCAAAATGTGCCGAAACATCTTCATTTTCCTGAGCATTATCGGCTGCGGTGTCATGATTCCGTTGAACCTGACACAGAGTCAGGGTAATACTGTCTCGCAGTTCGGCGCTTTCGCGACGATGACCCCGCTCTATGTATCCACCGACGCTATCTGGGGTCAAGTTGTTTGCGCCTGGCTGTTCGATATCATCGTTGTATTCTTCCTGTGGAGGAACTACCAGGGCGTTTTGTCTTTGCGCAGGAAATACTTCCAAAGTGCCGACTATCAGCGCAGTCTTCATGCGCGTACACTAATGGTGAGTGGCTTTTCGTGAGGCATCACTAGATGGTGCATCTCTAATTCAACCATGCCATAGATTACCGATATCCCCCCGTCTGCTCGTTCGGATGAAGGTGTTTTGCGCTTGACAGACGAGGTCAACCCGACAGCCGCCCTTCCTCGGGCTTCTATCGGCCGCAACGTGAAAGAGCTACCCCGCTTGATCAAGGAGCACGACGAAACGGTGCGAGAACTCGAATCTGTGTTGGCCAAGTACCTCAAGCGACCTGACCGCCTGCCGCCTAACCGTCCGACCATGACCCCGCATCGGAAGGATAGAGGCGAGCACCCTAGCGGCAAGGTGGATGCGATCGACTACCTGACCGGTCGCATCCAACGATTGGAAGAAGAAATCCGACATGTCCGGGCTTCGATCGATAGACGCAATGCCATGCCGTTCGGCTTCGTCAGCTGGGACATGATTGAGCATGCGCACGCGGTAGCTTACAATGCCCGTAAGAAGCACCCACAAGGCACGACTATCGCTCTGGCAACTCGACCGGACGATCTCATTTGGGAGAATCTGCCCCTGTCCAAGGGCGCACGGAGATGGAAGCGATTTCTCAATGCGATTTGGGTGTCGCTTCTTACCTTTGTGTACATCGTCCCTAACGGCCTGATTGCTATCTTTCTGTCCAACTTTTCGAACCTGGGCCTAGTTTGGCCCGCGTTCCAGACATCGCTCGACGCTAACCCAAAGGTCTGGGCCGCAGTTCAGGGTATCCTGTCTCCTGCCATCACTTCTCTCGTTTATCTTGTTTTGCCCGTCATCTTCCGACGGCTGGCGATGCGGGCGGGCGACGTCACCAAGACCTCTCGCGAGCGTCATGTGCTTGGCCGGCTGTACTCGTTTTTCGTGTTCAACAATCTGATCGTGTACTCACTCTTCGCTGCCGCCTGGACGTTCGTCTCGGCTGTTATCGATGCCCAAAAGACCGACAACAACGCTTGGGAAGCCATCCAGGACGGACAATTCTACGAGAAGATTGTGAGTGCCTTGTGCAATGTGTCGCCCTTCTGGGTGACGTATCTGCTGCAACGAAACCTGGGTGCCACCATTGATCTGGTCCAATTGGTCACCGTTTTCTGGGTGTGGTTCTCGAAGACGTTCCTCGCCCCTACCCCTCGCCAGGCCATTGAATGGACGGCTCCGCCGTCTTTCGAGTATGCCATGTACTATAACTACTTCCTCTTCTACGCCACCGTCGCGCTTTGCTTTGCAACATTACAGCCCATTGTGCTACCGGTTACCGCGCTCTACTTCGGGCTGGATGCGATGATGAAGAAATACATGCTCCTGTATGTGTTTGTGACCAAAACCGAGTCTGGAGGCCAATTCTGGCGCGTGCTGTTCAACCGTATGGTATTCGCCGTGATCTTGTCCAACATCGTCATTGCCTTTGTGGCCAAAGCCAAAGGTACATGGACCATGGTTTTCTGCGTGATTCCCCTACCATTCTTGATGCTGGGCTTCAAGTTTTATTGCATGAGGAAGTTTGATTCCGAAATCACCTACTATAATCGCGCTAACCTCACGGATGCCGAGGCTTTGGCAGTCAGCAAGCCGAACAAGAAGGCTTCCGAGCGACTCAACACCAAGTTCGGCCATCCCGCCCTTTACAAGCCCCTCATCACTCCGATGGTGCACGCCCGGGCGGCGGAAGCTTTGAAGCGTATTTACAGCGGTCGTCTGGGGACCATCGATGCCGAAGGCGAATACTCCGACATTGTCATGGATGCCATGTCTACTGCTCGTCCTGGAAAGTCTATGATGGACGCTGCGGGCCCGGCGCCATTCGAGGTGGTCCCGGAAAATCATCTGGACTTTTCTTATTTCAAGGACCGACCGGATTTCCGAGACGAATTCGGCGGTGGTATCTACGGTCGCCCCGACGATGTGTTCACCGAACGGTCACATACGCCTCGAAGTGCTTTGGGTGAGTGGTCGCCCACATCTTCGCGCGCATCATCGCCGACTCCATCGGTGCCTTCGCTCTCTGGGCTGAAGCCACACGATGGGTACGACCCGACGGCCTACGACCACATCCACCCTGCCTTCCGTGTTCCTGCACCCCTGGGCGGCAGTGGGCTGTATCATCAGCGTAACGAAAGTGAAACGGAGCTCCTTGCTCAAGCACAACAGCCGGCTGCCCCAGAAATGGTGACGCCATTAGACCGCTGGCGGACCGGGGGTTACGGCCCTGTTGAGCAGGATGAGCCCAGTATCACATCGTATGAGCATTACCGGATGCCGCATTAGAGAGTGCGTGCATGTCGGGATATTTGGTTTTGATTTTTATTTTTTCAGCGACAACGAATACTATATCGTTGATACATTAGATGTTTTTGGGTTGGGATCTTTTTTTGGCATCCTTTTTCCGAAAGGAGGCATGGAGTAGCGGAAGCAACGTGCCCACGACTATTTTATTCGGATATTGAGCCCGAGTTGTACATATGACATATTACATGACTAGAAGATTCGTATGCAAATGTGTTTGAGAAGATCACATGCAAGAGTGGATGAGATGGAATCCAACTATTCATGAATACTAACCAGATAACTACTAGTTGGAACTGGGAAGCTCCCCAGGCACCGAGGATGCTGACCAATTGCTGCCAGACCCGCAGCTCAGCGACCCTCATCTTCCCATCCATCATCTTCCGTCATTCCATCTTTCCCCTCTCTTGCTCTTTGTTCACACCAACCAGGTTCGATTGCTTCACGGAGCTGCGATGTGCATGTCTATCTCTAGTCAAGGTAGCTCCGTGACTGCCCGACCCATCTCTCCTGCAACTCAGCATCGGCCCACGTAAGTTCCTTGCTGCTTGCGCTCACCAAACTACTATAAGTGCGGAGTCCACCTCCGAATGCCGTCGGATCGCCTGTGATCGAACTCAAACAACGTTATCCATCTTAAGTCGCCGGAATCTTTTATGTCCTGAACGGCGGATAAGTCGGCTTGTCCTATCCATACCGAAGCTCACAGGGTTCCAACCAACCTCACCACCACTCGACCGGACTCAAGCCGAACGAACCACACCTCGACCACCTTTGATCCTCTCTCCTTTGCTTCTCCAGCAACAGCTACACCTATCCTTTATTTCGCACTACCTGCAATACCACAATGGCATGGTACTCACTCCTCCCGCCTGACTTTGTCTGGATTGAGAACTGGCTTGTACGGATCTTTGTGAGTCTCGCCCATCTCCTTGCTTACCGCTTTTCTTGCCAAACGCAGGACAATGACAGCTAACTGCCGGGTGGACACTGACAGATCTTTTGCGGCTTTGTGACAATATTTCCTTGGGCCTCTCTGCTGATCTTCGACATATTTTTATACATTTGGCGGATGGTGAAATACGAGTTCCCCCTTGTCGGCGGACGGGCGAGGGGCAAGCAGCGGCCGCGCGCCCCGAGCTTAAACGAGAGACCGGATGGACAGCCTAGGGTCCTGGGACTGGGGACAGGGGCCCTAGTCAGTGATATCGGAGATGGAGGCATGTCTAGTGGTGAGAAAATAAGAAGGAGAGGTGAGGAAGTAGAGGGGGACGAAGACGACTGAATACAGATAGAGGTCCCGCATGTTGAGAGAGCTCGTCTGCCTCCTGGTGAGGCTTCGGTTTTGGCGTTAACTCTTGGAATATGTTTGCTGCCCGCGAAGGGGTTTCCTGCTTTCCAATTGGCCAACTCCTAGAGAAGAGGTGTATTATGGCTAAGTATGAGCGGCAATTCGAGACTGGCATATATCGACAGTCCGACTGGCCACCTCTTTGGCGATTCCCCTGTGTATATTGATACCCTGTATGTACTCTGAATTAAACGTCTAGCTGCTTGATTGATTCACTTTATCTTTCGGCAGGTTGGGCAATCAGCTTTGGGCGGGATTTCCAGCCAATGGCGGCTCGAGATAGTATGCATTTCATCGAAAGCGACATGATAACGGGGTGCCGTCACGTACATCTAGTGATGGACTTGACTTGCCGCTCTTTGCGTTCCCTTCGTCTTTCTTCATCTTCAATCAATCATACTACAACTTTCGCAAGCCTGAGTTATGGATCGGCTTCCGTCAATCTTCAAAGCCAGCATCGTATACATCCAGCAATATCCTCTCTCGAGTATCTTTCTTGTACTAAGTCTTTGTCTCCTGGGACGAATTATTCGAATTCGAGTACGTTCTCTGGCTGTAGCGTGACAACAGAGCTAATGAAGACGCAGAATTGGGAAACCACCAAGGAAGCTGTCATCTCGAAAGGGGGAGAAAATGAATATCCACCCATTGAACCTCTTCATCAATTCGACTGGGAGACTACCGAGCCTCTGCAGTTTCGCCCTTTCAAGGCAAAATATCATCTCACAATGGGTATGAGCATTGATTCTCGCTGCGCTGGCGAATGCAACCTCTACTTTTGTCTTGACGCTGCCCGTACAATGTTGTGTCTTGAGGGGGATTCTGTAGTCATTCTGCATAGCATCGGTTCAAGATACGTAGTGGTTATCCTGCAAACCATATTTGCTGCCTCCCCTCCCATAGCCCCTTCTGTTGTCATTGCTCAATATGGCTATCCAGCGTGGGTGAGCTAACCATCACCCCCAGCCCTCTCCAACCTCGACATCTCCACCCTCATCCCAATCGACAAAACCTACAAGACCCGCCTCGCCTACCGCCAGTCCTTGCTTACTCGACATCCATCTGTCGTGATTGGCGTCACGCCCTCCGGCGAAAAAGAGGGTAGCCTCGTCCACGCCGCTATCCGGGAACTGTACGATTTCGTCCTCGGTGTATACCTCCCCACGCGGTACCCGGGGGTCTTTGATCTGGTCGACTCTCCTCGCAGCGCCGCTGTGGACGAGAAACGAGGAGAAGGCCGAGCGGAGACATCGGAGAAGCAACCGCAACACTTGCACAACCGAATCACCGACCGCCTTGTTGCAACCAAGTGCCCTGCCTCTGCCCGTGAAGCCCTAGAGACGCTAGGCACGGTCGTGGACGAGGATTTCCTAATCTTACTGCCTGTCTCGCAGGTAGATCCACCCTCAGCAGAGGACAGCCATGCTGCTGCTGCTGCTTCAGAAGAAGAAGATTCATACACCCTCCAAGCCTACACAACCTTCTACCCGGCCGGGTTCGACACGCGCGAGAAACTCGGCCGCACGCTATCGGCCATTCACGACCCCGTGCCCCGATATAAAGAGAAGCTGGAGAAGAGCATGGACCGGTTCTTTGCGAGGTTGGAGGTGGGTCGGTTCGTGCAGAGGGTGAATTGGAGTGTGACGACGGGGACCGAGTTGTTTGCTGCGTTTGGGGGGGTCCATGGGGATGCTCCGGGGAAGGGGGGTGGGGTGTTGAGGGCAGAGGAGTTGGATATTGATGATGTATGTCGTGCTCTTTTTCCTACTACGTGCAATTCTTTGTCGTGTGCTAACCCCCCGGGGCGATTAGACTTTTCTGCGCTGCGAGCGCCAAACGCTGCATCGGCTGCCTCACACCAAGGCGCTGGTGTTCACCTTCCATACGTATACATACCCAATTCGGATCATCAAGGAGGAAGGGCACGGGGAGGAGCTGGCGCAGGCGATCGATGGGTTGAGGCGGGGGAGTGTGCCGGAGATGTGGTGGTATAAGCGGGGGTCGGTGTGGGGGGAGGCTGTGCAGGCGTATCTTCGGGAGTGACTTCGATACTTTAGAGGGTAGTATAAAGTCTGTAGCCGGGTGTTTCAATTTGGAGTCAAATATTCATCCTCCAGTTATCAGTATACATAATAGTATACATAAAGTGTAGAGTGTAGAGTGTTGTGTAACTGCACCACTAAACTACTAGATAGAACCCCAACCGAGGCACAAATTCTGCCACCCGTCCCCGCCCAAAACGAACAGTTTTCCCGACAACTTTTCTGGAGCCTGTTCACTGCCAAAAATCCCGAAATCACTCTCGAGGTCGCGGCCGTTCTGCCGGGCAGAGCGGTGACAAAAGCGGCGAGGCCAGCGCAGTCCCCCGGGTGACTTGACTTATCGCCCCTCGGAGCACAAGCAGTTTGTACTGTACTCCGTAACTACTGTTCTTATCGCTTTTTTACACTTAGTATCCGCTGAGATCAATCCTCAACCCCAGACTAGACCTGGCCATTACTTGTAAAACTCACCTCACTGCACCCTCACCCTCAGAACCCAAACTTTTAATCACTAGTCCTACCCTAAAACCCTTAGCAGCGGAAAAAAAGAAAAAAAAAAAAAAAAAAAAAAAACAGAAAACAATGTCCAACCTCTACGGCCACCACCCCCGCAAAAAACCCGACAACAACACCGGCCCCCCGTCCGCCTCAACCCTTGCCTTTACGACCACTCTCTCCAACCTCATCGCCCGCAGAGATCCCCAAACCTTGTCCGCAACAGCCACACCCTCAACCTCCGCTAAAGTATCAACCGGCCGCCCCCGCCCTTCCAAACACACCACCCACGACAAAGATGCAATCTTCGCGCGCCCGAACCGCGGGGCCCAGAAGCGCGCAGCCCGGGACCTCCTCATCGAGGATGACGACCACCGCGACACGGCGATGAGTCAGGTGCATCGCCAGAGTTCGGAGTTGGGAGGGAAGGTGGACGAGGCGGTGCTGCAGCGGTCGAAACGGCGGATGCAGGAGAAGGCGCGGGTGTATGAGGATTTGAAGAGGGGGTTGTACCTCGGTGCGGGGGAGAGTGATTCAGACGAGGGCGTTGGGAATGGTGGTGGAGCTGGGGAAGAAGGGGTCGGGGAAGGGGAGAGGTATTTACGGCGGTTGAGGAGGAAGGAGAGGGAGGGGTTGGTGGATTTTGATCGGAAGTGGGCGGATACGCAGCTCCATGATGACCTTTCAGGGGAGGAAGGGGAAGGGGATGGGGATGATGCGTCGATTGTCTCCTACGAGGATGAGTTGGGACGGACGAGGCGGGGTACGAGGGCGGAGGCGGCGGAGGCGGCGCGGTTGAAGGGTGCAAACGAAGACGGCGCGGAGGCGGGCGAGAGGTGGCGGCCGCGGCGGCCGGAGAATCTCATCTATGGGGTCACGGTGCAGAGTCAGGCCTTTCAGCCAGACGTAAGAATGGCGGATCTGGCGAAGCGCCGCGATCGCTCGGTGACGCCGCCGGAGGAGACGCATTATGATGCTGACGCAGAGGTCAGGAATCGCGGGACCGGGTTTTACGCCTTTGCTAAGGATGAAGACACCAGACGGAAGCAGATGGAGGAGTTGCGGGCGGCGAGGGAGGAAACGCAGAGGGAGAGAGAGGAGAAATCCCAAAAACGCGCCAAGAGGGAAGAAGCTAGAAATCAGAGGATGATGAAGGTCGAGGAGTTGAGGTCCAAGAGACGCGCCGAGATGTTCCTGGCTGGTCTGGGCGATGTCGGCGCCGTTGTATAGACCAGCCCAGCGTGTGCTACGGCTTGCTTTTCGAGATACCCAAAAATACAGAATCGTTTCCCATCATCTCCGCTCAGAGACCAACCATCCACCGAGTAAGCAAAGGGTATCATTGCCTGGCCGGAGACCAGCTTTGAAGATAAAAGATATATCATATATCACAATGCCAAGTCACTGACCCTCCAACGACAAACAGGAATCCTCCAGATTAGCTCTTAGTGGTCATCAGTCATAGCACGTCAATCGTATCTGCCTTTCCCAGCAATGAGCAAGTAGCTGGTCGCTTGATCAACGACATGTCTCATCCATGTGCCAGCTCAGTGATCGTCTCCACGAAGCCTTGCGCATCTGCAACTGTCAGCATCCCGCACAGCAAAGAACTCCCACTGGAACGTACCAGAACGATGAGTGAATTTGAGGACATGCTCCCCTCGAGCCGTCTGAGGTGGCGTATAATCGGGAAACGTGAAGATGCTCCGACGAACCTCCTTCAACACCACAATCTTCGGCTCGGGCCGGCGAATCCAGCCAGGAGTCCCAATATGGTCGGTGATAAAAGCGGTCCAGACCGGCGACCTAGGGCATATCAGCCAGACGAACAAACAAAAAGCCCCCGCGAGACTTACCGCTTCAGCTCCCCCTTGTGGACCGAGGCCTGCAGTCGCACGGCGCCAGAAACTTCATCCCGATACACACGCAAGGCATGCAGAAAGTCGTCATCCACAATTTGTCTGACACGGTTAGCCCCCGTCATCCACCGATGCATAGCCTGACATACCCTCCGAAGAGTTCCTCTTCCTGCGCCAGCTCATAATCGCGTATGGTCTCCACAGCCACGGGACGTCCGGAGTCTTGCGAGCGAAGTGCCAGAAATGTGCAGAAGAAAATCACCATCTCTGCTTTCGTGTCAATTGACTTTCAGGACGACCGACAGCTACAGCTCCACTTACGTTCAATGGTGCTGAATTTGAGGTTGGCCCACAAAACCAGTTCGCTGCCTCCACGACGGCGTCGACACAATTGTAAACAGGACCCAACACGGACGATCTCGAGCATGTTCAAAGGCAGAATGAAATATTCATTGGACCGAGCGGAACGGCGTGCTTTGCACACCACGCGGGCCCGATGGTCTTCGTCCCGTAGATAGAAGCAGACTCTTACATCCGTCTCGCTGTTGAATGCTCTACCTTCTCGTTAGTTGATCCTTTAACTGGGGCGAGGCGGGGTGCGACTTGCAGCTGAAATAGCTCCTCAAATCCTTCGCTGTCAAGCCACGCCTTGGGGTTAGCCTTCGGCTCGCCAAAGCACTTGGAGCTATTGCTTGTTAGCCCACGTCTTCGTCGCCTAGACCACGGTCTCACCTTTCACCGATATATGGAATGGGCGTCTGCGGGTGCTCATCCAGAAACACTCTTCGGGCCCAATGGTCGCTGACTATGCTGGATCCGGTCGATCGGCTGGTGGCAGTCGTAGTGGCAGGCGAGCCCGGCGCATCAGGAGCCAAGGGGGGAATATCGGAGAACGTGCCGGATGAAGTCGACGTTGGCGACTGTGGTCCCGAATGAGACGGACGGTGTCTTTCATATGACCTCCGCGTGCGGGGCCTGCGGTCACTGACCGGGCTTCCAGGCTCGCCGCTGGTGTTGCTGCTGCTGCTGCTGCTGCTGGAGGATGGGGAACTCAGAGACATGGAGCCAAGCTGTGACACGACGTGCGATTCTTGCTGAGCCAGCAGATTTTTGAGGCTGTGTCGCAGAGAGGACATCAATCGGTCATCAACGGCATTACTACATCGTTACAAAGCAAACGTCAATTGACCTGCAATTGCACCAGGAGCCACATGGAGAACGAACCCCTTTATAAGAGCCTCCAAATCGGACAGAAAGGCCTTATACTTGGCTAGTCGGGTTGACAGCGAGTCCTGCGACTCCTCCCGGAAGAAAGTACAAAGATCGTTCCATGTCCGCTTGTAGACTTCACGACTGGGGCCTCTCCGCCCCTCCAGATCTCCGAAGAAGTCGACAACATCCTCAAGCGTATACTTCAAGCTTGTCCGGACCACTTCTAGGTCAGGTTGGACGGCGTGCAGGTTGCGCCGATAGTTCCGATGACGTGCCAAGTCCTCGAGGTTCTTAAGAGATGTGCTGATTGCATAGAGATCGGCGATTAAACTGGTGATCTCCGTTGAATGTTCCGGCAGAGGGTCGCGGAAGAGACGAAAGCCAGCGGCCACGTCCTCCGCATTATCGGCAGATGTGCGCAGGGCCATGGTGGTGATCACTTATATTAGGCCATGCATGTATGCCTAGGGAGACCTTCCGTTGTATTGTAAGGGCAGGGACGTGGGGAAGGGTTAAATTCCCACCAGACAGGCACAGGCCGCTCGCTATAGCTGCTTGAGGTTTTATATGGAGATCACGACAAGGAAGATTACGGATAGGGCAATAGATACACCAGAAGAGAGGGGCAGTAGGAGACAACTCAGTGGACTGCAATGCTGGGGTCAGAAAGGGAGCCTCTTATCGGTGGGATCTTCCCTGAGATGCATGTCGATTGGAATCTCACCAGAAAAAGCCGGACGCAGACCTGTAGGAAGGGATGAAAAGATTGAAATCTTGCCCCGGGAATGGATGGGCAAAGGTGGACCCGATATCACAAGTAAAGACGCCAGCACCAGCACCAGATGCAAACGCCCAGAAGGGAAGAAAGTCAAGACCCTGGTCTTGTTCACTCGCACAAAGGAAAGAATGCTGAACAAGAAACACCCGTGGGTGGGGCTTAAGTTCAGTCTAAGTTGTTACCGGACGGAGTGGCAGAACTAGCAGTACTAGAGAGATAGTTTGCGGCTCTCTATCGGACGGACAGACCGGCACTGGGGACGGACCAGAAGCCTGGAAGTCTGAGACCGACAGACCGACAGATAGAATTCCTCTGGCTTGTCTAACGACTGTAACGTACCTCAATGTCGAGGGGGGCACTATTGACGTGTTCATGCGGCGGCGACGGGTCCAAGCCAATAATGGGCGGTGGAACTGCATGGCGGGATGAAGCGATGGTGGAGGGGAAAATTGAGCGGAAAATTGAGGGGAGGAAGACGAGGAGAAGCCATGGTGTGACTTTTACTCAAGAGTGGTGATACGAGCACTGGCGGTGGGCGACGGGGGAGTAATCTCATACCCTTTGCAAGGTAAAGGTGCAGAGGATGCTATCTGTCTGTCTGTCTGACTGACTGACTGTCATATGGGCCATGACGCACACAAAAGACAAGCGAGGAAAGGGGAGGGGAGAAAAGACTAGTGAAACGAACAACAATGACTGATTGACAGTGTAATTGTCTGACTTGCAGATGAGGGGAAGAGATGGACTGTCAGTCACGGGATTCGAAGAAGAAGAAGAAGAAGAAGAAGAGGAAGAAGGAGAAGAAGAACTGTCGGAAATCTAATCGTCGTTAAAGTTTGGGGTCGACGGCTTCATTGTCCTTTGCTGACTGCTCATGAACCCCTATAGGTCTTTGAAAGAGATATACATGCAGAAGACTCGAAGAACTGCTCAGATAGACATAAGCGACATAGTTAAGCAGAGACAGTGGTGGCAAGTGGTCTGTCTGTAGGTAGGAGGTAGTATAAAAGTACGAGGACTATATGGGCGTCAAATTTATCTGCCGTGCATACACATCTTCCCCCTGATTTGCCCTATCCTAGGCAGTGAAAGGTAACATGACCAGCTTCAGTCAAAGACTCAAGATCTTAAGTCAAGTTGAACCTCACTCAGGCTGGAGACTGATTACTGCCTGAGGCACAAGTTGATCAGACGTTCAGGCACTCAGGCACCAAGTAAGCGCGGGGATAACGGAAGAGCTGGACGCGTCGAACACGTAAACAAGCTGTCTGCCCCGCGTCACCGCCGGGAGCTTGGGCCAACTCCTGCAAGGAAAGGCCTTCCAGATTCACCAGAACCTCCATGGAAGCATCCCCTGTGTGTCATGTAGATCCATAGCAGCTCAATCCACCATCAACGGCCTGGCTACTTACTACTACAAGACAATTTTGAAAGGGCGAAAAGAGCTCCGGATCAAGGTCGCTTAGGCGATGATGCGGTTGATTAAGCTATTATACAGCAGTCTTTGCTGACCTCACACCTTCTGCAGCTTCATTTCGATATTTCATCATATAAGCTTAAATCAGGTTCCCTGCAGCTCTGAAGTTCAGCGCCCAGACTCCTCGATTCAAGTCAAAATGTGTCCGAAAGCCGCCAGTCCGTACAGTAAACATTTCCCATTGATATCCTTCATGAACAGAAAAGCAAGGAGAGGAAAAACCACCGTCATCCGTACCAGAAGCCGTTGAGTAGATAATAGAATATGAAAAGCCACAAATACACGTCACACGAGAAAAGACACAAACGCCATTGGGTCCCACTCAATAAGACCTAGGGGATCAGGGAGCTTCAAGACGACTCCTCCTCCTCTTCAGCAGCAGCCTACACCAGCACGGTCAGTACCATCCGAGAGAGCATTTAGGGGTCAAGACATCTTACGTTGTAGCTGGCCTTCTCATCTTCGTAACGCTTCTTATCGGCAGCAGCCTTGTCCTCATAAGGGCGGCGCTCCGAATCGCTCAGGGCCTTCCACCGCTCACCAAGCATCTTACCAACCTGCCCTAGAGGATTGTTAGCGACAAAGTGCGAGCCATCACCGACTGAAGTCAGCACTTACCGAAGGAGATGCCAGGGTTCTCCTCGCGAACCTTGTCGCGGTTGTCGTTGGCGAAGAACATGTAGGCGGAGAGACCACGCTTGGGAGCGTTGGGGTCTGAAGGTAAAGGTCAGTCATAGCATTGGCAGGGGAGACGCGATGTGCTTACCCTTCTTCTTGCGCTCAACGCGCTTGGTGGTCTTGCGGGTAGTCTTCTCCTTAGGCATTTTGACAATTGAGGTCTGCAAGCGGAGAGATTTGTTAGACGATGGACAAGTGGGTGGTGGACTGCGCAAATGCGAGGGTTGGCAAGCGAAGCAGATGGGCTTTATTTCAAAACTCAAAATACAACAGAGCGACAGAGAGGTAGAACAAGGCAGTCAAGGAACGGATTTGCAGCGCCGCGTAGGCCAGAAGGTGGAAGGAGGTGTTGCGTCAACCCGTGTTTTGCGCGCGGCCAAACAAGAGCGATCGCGGTCGCAAGCCAAACGACACCAGGAGGGCAAGTCGCGCAAATGAGTGACTTACCTGACTGTTCAGTCAGTAAGACGGCGAAGGATAACAAAACAGAATTAGCAAAAAAAGGCTACAAGGAAATCCAAAGAGCTCGGGGTCAGCTCAGGGCTGCTGGGGAACTATAAGAGTGCTGTGGTAGAGGGCGCGACAGCGAGATCGCGCAACTCCGGAGAGAAAACGAAGAGAATTGATGATGTGGAAAAGCAAGCAGATTGGAAGAAAGCGCAATTGATAGAGAAAATCAAAATGGGCTGGTGTTGAGAAAACAGTGCTCTGAAGGCGGAATGTTTATAGGGGACCTACCGATGCGGTTATATGCAGTACTTTTTGTATGGGGGAGAGAGAATTGTATGGGAGAATGAGAGAGTAGGTAGAAAGAGTGAGTGGTGAGTGAGGGAGTGAGTGAGAGAGAGAGGGAGAGGGGGAGAGTCTTAGTAGTAGGAAAACAGAGGACGGGAAGGCGGGCGGGCCATTACCTTACCTACTCTGCCAGTCACTCATTCACACTCTTAGTCTTGGGAAGGGGGAAGAAGTGGGCAGCACAGCAAGGGAAAACAACCGCTCTCTCTGCCGCCTGCGACTGGCTGCTCGACTGCTGGAGAATGGCTGGTATCGTTCCATACCCGTCATGTCTTGTCATTTTCTCCTCTTTTCCCCCTCCTGCGCTTCTCCGCTGCAGCATTCTGGCTGACCTCCAACGCTTGGACTGGGCAAATCGAGTGGTCTACCTCACAAGGGTTGCAGTGCTCCTTTCAGCGAGCCTAATTACTACCACTCCCATGGTCCAATCCATTGCTTCACTTGCCGACTGAAGAAAAAAAGGTGGGTGTTGAGCATTGCACCTGATGCAGCTCCACTGTGACCTCCTGTATGGTTTATTACCAAACGTCCTTCGTACCCCAATGTGCGCCACTATGGGGTGGGTAATTGCCCTTGAGTAAAATACATAGCTGTAACCACTCGGAAAGCGACTCAGCTCCATCGTGTATCCGAATACCACCTCAATAGTATTGAGTACCGTACTGGAAGCTGCCCGTACAGCAGTGAGTATTGTTAAGGTATGGCCATAGGGAACAAGTGCTCAGTCATAGTGACTTTCCACACCAAGCGCCGGGCTATTGAAGGGTCCCTTTCCGTGGGTGCATCATCAATTGGCATCTATTCTTGGGAGGATCTGCGAAAAGCGCGTCTCTGAATAACTAGTTTTCTGAACGAACCCTCTTGGGCTTCCATCTCTTTTCTCTTAAGAAGCTTCAGGTCCTCAAATGTAACTGCATAGCAGGGTTGACTAGTGATTTTCATCAGTTTGTGACTAGCTAGTAGCTACTGCTCAGTTCTCAACCGTCTCTTGAAAAGTACCTCGGTGGAATAAAGAATATACGGCCGAGCTGGAACGACCTCAACCAAGAGTCTACATCCGCGTCGATAAATCTCCGCGTTAACCTGCCATAAATTCGGTGTCTGCTTAGTCGGGGTAAAGATCTAGCCCTGCAGAGTATTCCCAGTAGATGAGATTGTGGTACGCGCACAGCTCGCACATCTTCTCCCCACGGATTGTGCTTGTATTACTGATCGCAGAGGCGTCCTCAAGTGACAAAAGTACTAGCGTTGGTTGTCATCATGTATTTGACCCTGTACACAGTAGAATGAGCATCTCCCAAAATCGGTCTGTTGCGAGATGTATCGACTTTGGCGTGGACCGAGCGTTATATAGAAGTCGTATGATGTGGATACCTTACAGCGCTCCTTGCACAATTGACCTTTTGTAGGCCGATGAATATGTCTTTGACTGAGTCGAAAAGATTGATGGCTGGCCCATTGTTGTGCTTGGGGTGGTAACAGCATGGAGTGGCACTTCAGTTAGCAGCGCCCATCCTCGAGAACAGTCTGCGCTTTTCGATGAAGGACGGGGAGGAACTGGAACTGTGATGTAGTTGTAATAATAGGAGCGCTATTGTCAGCTAAATTAACCAATTAATGACAATGATTATTCCGAGAAGTCCATGCAAATGAAGTGGTAAGTACGGAGTAACATCTTCTATTAAAGTAGTGCTGATTGCCCAGGAGGACCAATGTACCAGTCACAAACTACTCACGCTGGGTGATCATCTATTGTTCTGTGCCCGGTTTCCGCAACAAGTGCTGTTCTCTTCAACTCTTATCAATGGTGATTCCTCTCACTTCGATCGAGTACCGTAGAACTTTTTACCTGTACAGGAAGAGGTCCAGCTTCGATATTGACACAGTAAGATATACTTAAATTTTCCCGCCTCGCATCAGCAAGTCCAGAGTTGGTGAAGCCTTTGTGTAAATGCGGGTTTAATTCTCCTTCCCATTCACGAGTTCTGGAAGGGTTGAATTGGTCCAAGATGCTTTTAATCTGTACGACTGACAATACTCAGGTGAAAACCCAAAGCTCATTCAATCATAGCCTATGAGCATTGGCGGGTACTGTCGATGCCTGAAGAGAAAACAAGTATTGGCGGGTCGCAGTAGTCTATTGTAAAAGTTGCATAGAGAATTGTATGCGTGGGAAGGGTTAGACAGAGAGACACTTGGACGACGTCCTCCAACTGCGTAAATGCCACCACATTCCACGCTGCAAACAACAACCCGTGGAAAGCTTACAGTATCGACGAAATACAGGATCCGCGTACTATGTACGACCTCCGGCAACAGCGCCTCCAACAATACCTTCGTGTATGTATGTAAGTATGCATGTATTGTAACAAGACAGCTGCGCTTTTCTCTGTAAGAAATTCTCAATCATAATGAGGGGCCATCGACTCTCCATTGCTTGGTTCTTACGTTCGAGGTGGAAACGCCGGCCTCTCTTTTGGTCTGCTCAAGTCTATTCTCTCACTCTCTCCCCCCTCAACCCAACCCCCCTCCTCCCTTCCGACGACACGATTGAGTGGTAGACCAAGCAAATCTTCTCAGCTCACATGCCAAACTTAGGTTGGCCGGATTCGGGCGGCTGTTTTTGTTCGCTGCAGTGGCCGCTAAATTTCAATCAGCCCAGCTGTCAGTTACCTTTTTGTCTTTTGTCATTATTTTTCTCCTGCAAGGGCTCCCTCACCTTATCGGCGCTTGGGTTGCCGGTTGCTTACCCCGTCCATATTCAAGCCTCATGCTGCTGCTGCTGTATCAGCCAGCCAGCCCACTGTAACTTACTTTGTATGACGAAGGCTTAGTAGCTTCTTGCCTCCGGCCGGTGGGCCATGATGTCACGTGGGTCACACCACTCAGTCTATCCTTCACGCCTTAGTTTGCCTCAGCCCCATCCCAATTAGAGCAGACTGGCCGAGCATTATTTATTGCAACCTAGATTACACAGTAAATTTCTCTGTAACGACTACTTAGCACGGCTGTCTGGCTAATGCTTACGAATCAACTGCTATCGGAGTCAACTACGGACTGGACGCCGAATTGCTCAGTCATAAAATCGATTCGACCATCATATCCCTTGCGAGACATAAGACCGTCAACAATCCGTCATCTGGCACTGCTCAATTATCGATCGACCACTCATCAAGGGTATACTTTATCCTTCCAGCCGTAACGCCTGACCCAAGTCCACGCTAGCAAAACCACTCTACTTTACATCGTAGTTACAGTATACATTAATCGTCCGACTCATCTAGAACCAAGGCTGTGAGCGTTTCGTCGTCAGCCCAGTTCACTTCGCTGCCGACAACCATCGCGCTGGCGATACTTTTCATGACTTCCCATCGCGCTTTGCTTTTGCGGTGATCTGCCTCAACCTGCTCTAGTTGTGCCTTGAGGTCAGGGTCGTCTAGGTCTTCCTTCCAGGCTTCATCATCTGCTGTAAGGGACAATAATTCACGGACCAGCTCTTGGTTCTTCTGGTTGAGCTGTAGATTCTCCACCTCCAACGCCGTGAGCTTTCGGAGAGAAGTTGTTTGCATGACATTCAAGTTCTCATGCACTGTTGAGAGCACATCGCGACGGTTGATCAGCCGTTGAAGGGCTCTGTTATGCGTTAGCGGAGACCACAGACATCAAGGCATGCAATAAGTCGGGCAGGCAAAGCATGCAAAGAACAGAATGAGAAAACCAAAAAAGAGTACCTTTCGGCTGGAGTGGTGGCCTTCATATGAACAGCTTTTAGGGCAGGATCAGTCATGAGAACGGTTCCCACAGCCTTCCTCTTGACTGTGTAGGTGGCTCTCGCCTCCAGTAGCTCACGTTCCGCTATGGCTAGTTGCTCCTCGGCATCATCACCTGAGAGCAATTCCGTATCTTGTTGAAGCATCAGTAAAAGACAACGGTAATTGCATTCAGAAAAAAATGAATGAAATAGAATAGGGGGGATGAGATGGGTTACGCGCGCATACATACCTTGCTCAAGTAGTGCTTTTTCTAGCTGCTGTTCCTGGATCTGGTGGTAAAGCTGCAGGATCAAAGCCTCCTTGTCCGACAACAATACGGTATCGCGTGGATCATCGGTCGCAAGATCCAACAGGGCCAGCTCACCTGGCCCCAGGTGAGGGAGGGAACGGCGGTTCTCAGCTGTCATGGAAGGAGGCCTCGTGGAGAGTCGGAGAAAAGACCTCGCGTGTGATTATATGAGTCTTCCAGCGTTCTCCTCTCCGTTCGGACGAGTGGGAATAATTATTTTGGGAGATCGACGAGCGTCCAGATGCTGCTGGGTTCAAGGGCGGTGGAGATCCCGACCTTGCGGTGGGTGGTTCCGGGGGACCGTGTCTGATACGTAGAACTAAGCTGGACCTGGGCCCGGGGAAATGAGAGAGAGCTTGCTCCTGGAGATGATCAAATATACCTTCTTATGTATGTCTGACTGGCTGGTTCACTGACAACAAACAGACGGACTGAGATTTCCTGCTCTGTCTGTACCTCCCTTCTTCTTCTTCTTCTTGTTGTTTCATTTTTCCATTTCCTTATCTTCTCCCATCCCGCATTCCTTCCCTTCAACCTACTCCGATTCCATTCTCTCCCCAACTTCTTTCTCCGCTGCTCGCCCGGTGAGAGAGGGATGTCTTTGCACATCTACATCGCTCACACCGGTGAGCGTTATTTGGCTGATCCAATATCTTTGACCTCGTATGTTCTCGCTTCTGCTGCACTTTTCAGCTTCCTCTGCTTCCGTCTTTTCATCACCGCCTTTCGGTCTTCGACTGTCTACTTCAAGGCTTCCATTACCCCCATGGCTATGGGTACCTCCTGAAGCATGACAGTGAGCTGACATGATCGGACTTGTCCATCCAGACCGGACGCACTGCGAACATGGATCACCAGGAATACTTCGATCCCTTCTCAGAGGCAGATCTTGATGACTGCTCGGGGCAAGAATGTGAAGGCCCAAACACTAGCTACGGAGGTACGCATACTTGCTACATCGTGAATGAACAATGGTTCTTCGCCCGCCCCCATATCTTGGGCTAACTGGGCCTCAACCACTTACTTGTAGAGCGAGATATTTGTGTATGATAGACGCTATGTCAACGAGCCAAATACCTTCGAGCTTCCGGAACTGCCTCCGCCGCAACCACTTACTCTCGACAACCCTCCTGATACCTTGACGAACCAAAATGACCTACAAGCATGGAAGGCTCTTTACAGTGCTAGAAGAGATTGGGCGTCTAACTTGACGGAACGCTGCGCAGTCGTGGACAAACAGATCCAGGATCATAATGAGCGCACAGACATCATCAACCGAGCGGCCGGCGTAGCCCTCGAAAACCTCAAAGCTCATGTGGGCACCTTGGAACACCGCTTTCAAGAGGCGCAGACATGGGCGAACGGCTTTTTGAAGGATCAACACGCGGTCTTGGATGGTTGGAGGAAGTCGCTGGCATCTCTGGACAACATCCCAGCTCGGAAGGATTTCAATTTCCTAGGACGTCCGTCGACACCAACCACGAGCGATGACCGGTTGATGGGAACTCTACGCAACTATGTGGATGTGGAAGAAGTGCAAAGAGCTGGCTCGGAAGCACCGGAGGAATTGTCGCGTTTTGCGCAGGAGATTAGCAAAATTGAGGAAAGTGTTGGTCAAATTGCAGCAGATACACAGCGTCTCGTGGACGATGCTTTTCCTACCAGCCTTGATGGCGTAGACGGTCTGCTGCAGGAAGTCGAAACTATCTCCAAGAAGATTCAATCGGACTACGAACATGTCCTCGCTCTCTCCAATAATCAAAAGGCACTGGCGAACATCTCTAGACTCGCGCTCAGTCACACGAAAGATTTACTCCCGTCGCTGCTGGACATTAGTAGCGAGATCCAGGCGGGCCTGGAAGAAGCTGTCAATCGGTATAACTCAGCCACCAAAGCGGCTTCTGGTCACATGCGGCTCATTTCGTCGATCGAGTCGCGCCTCGCTGATGTGCAGACCCAGATCAACAACCTCAACTTCCGAAGCGACGCATTCGATACCATCTACTCTGTCTTTCACATGCCCATGATCTACGGTTCGGTCTTGATCGAGGCAGCACGGCGTCGTGAGTTCAGTGAGAAGATGAAAACCGATTCATTAACGTTAGCCGAAGAGATGTCAGTCTTTCGCGAGGAGGAGCAACGGCGACGGAAGAAGTGGATGAAGACAATGGGAGAGTTTCTATCAACCTCGGATACCTCGACACCTGGCATTGAGGTCAATTTACGAGGTCAGGAGTACGAATGGCCAGCTGTCAGCAGAAAAGAAATCGAGTCATACATCGAAGAGCTGAAGACCAAGACTGGCATGACACAGTTGGCACAGGAGCTCAGTGAGCTCTACAAAGAGTTAGATGCCCCGACTCGCTTACAGCGCCGCAGATCCAAGGCATTCAAACAGGGTAGTCTCTTTGACCTCAGCCGGAGCTCTCTTGTACTTCGCAGTGATGACATGGTTCGAAGCTTGAGAGACGAGAAGGGCAAATTGGAGGAGAGGCTCAAAGGCTCCGAGAGCCGTATCAGAAAATTAGAAGATCTCCTCCATCGCCAGAGTCACATGAGTCGACCGTCTAGCGGGAACTTTTCGTTAGACTTTCCCAGCTCACCCGCGTCACCTCACCCTGACGCGCTTTCCAGGCGATCATCTGTGTCGTCGCGACGCATGTCTTCCAATCAACCACCTGAGGAAAAGGCGCTCGTTCAACGCATTGTACATCTGGAAGCGGAGTTGGCGGCAAAGCGGGAAACGGTACAACGGTTGCAGAAGGAAGCACATGCCGAACGTCAGTCGAATACCGACAAGATCCAAGAAGAGCAATCGACTAAGAAAGATCTCATTGGAAATCTCGAAGCCCGACAGCGCGAATTTGACGATGAACGAAGATATCTCGAAGGTGAATTGAAACGCCTCAAGATTCGTAACGAGGAGCTCGAAGAAGAGCTAGACAGGAATCTGGACAGCCGTGAGCATGAAAAACACGACACTGACGAGCGTATTCATCAGCTTGAAGCTGAGTTGCAAGATGCCCATGCTCGCGCCGAAGAAGAGTCACGGAAAGCCACCGAGCTTTCAAAGCAGATGGAAACAGATCAAGATGCTGCTAGGGATCTTGAGCTTCGCTTAACTGAGCTACAGAATATAATCACGGACAATGAGAAACTGGAAAGAGAGACTCTGAACTCTCTGCAATCTGCTTTCATGAATCTCTCTCCCGGCAGCTCTGTTCCTGCCAAAGCCCTTGACATCGTCAAAGCAATCGAGGTGCTGTCTGAAGGACTGTCTATTCATGCCAAGAATGCGGAAGAAAACGCCTTGAAGGCCGCAGCGGAATATAAAGAGGTTGAAGAGCGCCTGAGTCAGTTGGAGACGGATGCTGAGGACATGCGGAAGGTTGCAGACGCGCGGGAAGCGGATCTGTCCCTCGCTCGCGAAGAGCTGGCACAAGGAAAATCCAAGTTAGAGGTTGTAACGTCTGAGTTGGAAGGCGAGCGGTCGAAGCTCATCACACTTCAAATGCAGTTTGCTGCGGGCGAGAATGGCTCTGATGCTCTCCGAAAGCGCGTCACGCAGGAAGAACGGAAGTTGACCAACTTGTCTCAACGCTTGGCCGAGGTTGAAACCCTAGCCCGTCAATCAGAAGAGGAGGTAACCACCTGGAGAAAGAAAGTGGAGGCGATATCTGAAGCAGAGCAACGGGCTACTGTACGCTCGGAAACGTGCGTGCTTAGATCGCAGCAGCTCTCCAGACAGCTTTTCGCCCAAGTAGAGAAGCTCGAGCATATGCTCGAGCAGCTTGGATTTACTATCATCAGGCAAGACGGAAATATTGTGGTCCAGCGATCTTCAAAGGTCAATGCCATGTCTGTCACGGGGGAGAGTCTCAGTCACTCTGAAGTGGTGTCTGTGAAACCGGACGCTAGTCTTCTGACTTGGATGCACGCTGAAACTAAGGAAGAGGAGACTGACAGGTTTATGGCATTCATGGAGTGTCTGTACCAATTTGACGTGGAGATTTTCGGTGATGCTGTCGTCAAGCGCGTCAAGGACATCGAGAGCCTCGCCCGGAAGTGGCAGAAGGAGGCTCGTGGATATCGCGACAAGTATCACCGGGTGCAAAGTGAAGCCCACGACAAGATTGCATACCGGTCCTTCAAGGAAGGTGATCTTGCTTTGTTCTTGCCGACGAGAAACCAAGCGATCCGGTCCTGGGCCGCGTTCAACGTTGGCGCACCCCACTACTTCCTGCGCGAGCAAGATGTGCACAAACTCCAGGCCCGAGACTGGCTGCTTGCTCGCATAACCAAGATTGAAGAGCGGGTGGTGGATCTCTCCAAGTCCCTGAATGGGGCCAATCCTGACCGACAATCCATTGGCGAAGTCAGCGACGGCACGTCCTTTGATGATGAAAATCCATTCGAGTTATCGGATGGTCTTCGTTGGTACCTTCTCGATGCCACGGAAGAGAAGCCTGGGGCTCCCGCAACACCAGGCCTCGGCAAGAGCACTGTCGCCTCGGCGCACGTCGACGCCAAAGGCAGCATCCGGTTGAAACGCACCTCCGTCGGAGGGAATGTCGCCAAGACCCTGTCCAAAAGTCTCGATAGTCGGCGGGACAGCTCCAACTCAAAGAAGGCACCCTCTACGCCGTCACAACGCGGTAACGAATCCGCTGTAGATCTGGCCCGACAGGCCGAGGAAGACCCTACTGCTGTGGCTGCTCGCTCACGACCACGGGAGGCACCGTCAAATGCCGACGAGGTTAGCCGCAACTCACTCCAGGGTCCGCAGAACTCAAGATGATCGGTGGCTTCTAGCGGATTCGCCCTCGATTGCACACCATACCTCTCCGGGGTTGGTAGGGAGCTGACGAACCGTCACAGGGAGCAGGTCATATCCCCGAGAACTCATGGCGTCAACAGCCGCCATTGATTGCCGGCGCTAATCGCAGTTCTTCTTCGTCGATGCGGCTTGAGGATGTCGATGTTTCTTCCATCAATACGCCGGCGAGTCGACGGACCTCGCGTTATCGTCCATGGGTGTGGTCTGTAGACTATCGCCTCGAAGGTAATAGTTGACCATGAGTGGAGGCAAATCCCAGGTCTACTGGTGCGGGCTTGGTATGGCAAGTCAAATCCCTGGGCGATAATAGTGGTGATGCCACCGTTGATACAAATGACATTTGAAATGTTTGGGCAACATGGAAGGTTCCCATGAGGCATGAAGTGGAGAGAACACGTGCTCTGATATGATACCCTGCTATGTGGAAACGGCTCACATATTCGCGTACTTATTGCTGTTCATCATCTAAGTTTTTTCTTTTCCTCTGAGCTATTATTGTGTGTCATGATTAGCCGGCGCGACCTAGACATATATGCGCCTCGTTTGTACTTTTGGCTTGGAGTCCGAGTCGGATTATGCCCAGATAGAGAGAATGATTCGCTTGAAAACGGATAATGTCCTGTAGGCCTTTGCCCACGCCTGGCCATGCCCCAAGTATGCTGCTGATGTCTCGAGGCTTTCCTTTTCCCCCCCCAGGGACCTTCTCCCTCAAGAGCAACAGTGATTACCAAGTAGTCTATATTACAACGAGAAAATGTCACAGAGGACCTAGTCCAAGCCTGACTAATAACTAATCCAACTGTTCGGTGAATTCCTCCTCCATCCCGCCGACGTCCTCCCAGAACTTGTCAAAATCCACATCATTCTCCTCAAAGAGCTGCTTCACCTGCTTCATGGCCGACACCTGCCTTTCGGGCGTGAAGCCGCCAGGTTGCGTGCTCTCGTACTGGATGAGCTCGATCCAGCGATAGAATAAGTCCTCCTTGCCCATGGCGGTCAACTTCTGCTGGAACTCGATGATCTGGTCGCGCTGGGCGGAGCGAACCGGGTCGCTGGGTTCGTCTTGTTGCTTCCCTTTCCCTTTGTGGACTTTCTTGGACGTCGACGTCGACGACGACGACGATGACGATTCTTTATTGGAAGCGGTGGTCGGGTTCTCGTCCTCGACGCGCCAAATCAACCAGCCGTGGGCGTCGGTGTTCACGACCACCGCGGTGCGGTACTCGTCCAGCTTCACAGCCTCCTTCTGTTCTTGGTCCTTCTCCTCCTCCGTGGTGGGGCCATGATGCGCATCGACCATCGCGTGAGCGGCGATCATGCTGTCGTAGTCGAGATCCCAGTCCTTGTCGACGAGCAGGTACCCGGTCTTCCTGACCTTCTCGGGCGTCACGGCCGTGACGATGCGGTCACGCGTCGCCTCGTCCTCCCGGATCCAGCGGTCCCGCTTCAGACCCTGCGTGAGACTGGCCTGGCTGCGGCGGATGATGATCTCCTGGTCGCGGAACCCGACGCGGCGGCGCCACTGGACGGGGCCGACGAGGAACCGGATCGGCCAGGGAAGGAGCACGGTGACGAGGAAGTAGTCGAGCATGACGGTGAAGATGCGGCCGAGGACGAGGCCGGAGAGGTCACCCCAGCTGAGGGCGGAGGTGTCGACGGAGAGGGAGTTGGTGAGGCCGATCACCGAGGCGAACATCGCCGGGTAGATGTGCCGGACAGAGTAGACACGGTAGGCAAGCAGGGCGACGATGGCGAGGTTCATGAGCACGGGTACCAGGAAGGTCTTCTTCTTGAGACTGATCGGCGTGGTGTCGATGTGGAGGAGGTAGATCTCGTGCGGGGAGAGAGGCGTGAGCAGGGGTAGGAGGGTGGTCGGGGCTTTGGTGAAGGGGGGAAGAGGCATCGATGATTGCGATGCCGGTGTCGATGTGCCTGACCCTGAGGCCGAGGAGGGTGTTGTGGAGGACTTGGCCTTAGGGCCTCGTCGTGCGGATTTGGCCATGTTGGATGTTTGTGCTTCGTCCGGGTGTTTCGGCAGAGAGTTGAGGGGATTCAAGCAGCCCAGGGGAAATTTAAGGGAGTTTCACATCCGGCGCATGTAGCTACCGCAGTCCTCCCTTTTATCTTTTGGGCGTGATGAGTAGCGCGAGGGAGGCGCAAAGGATTTGTAGGAAGAGGCCAACAACGGGGTCGAACTCGATTCGCCTGACCGGGTCACATGTTGTTAGTTCAAAATGCTCTCGGAGTCATTCGCTTGTAGAGAAGAGGGGGGGAAAGACAAGAGAGTGTGATATGTCTCATTCTTACCTTGTTGCCAATGACAGTGAAACAAAGTAGATCAATTGACTGGCTGGCTGTACAATACAAGTGCGACAATGAAGAATACACAACAGCATCGAGGGAGGGAGCTGGAAATGACGGCTATGTATAGCCCACTAAGCCCGATTGGGGGGGTTGGCCGCATCGACGCCTGGGCGCGCGAGTCTCGTTGCTGAATTGCTTTGCATTGCTTTGCATTACTCCATTTACTGCAGCATTTCGTCTGCTTCGAACCTGACTGAAGTGTTGTGTCGGTGTTATTCGGACTGCCAGGAGCTGTGCACCGCCCTGAATTCCTCTGTCTGGTAGGGCGCCTGCTGTCAGTGCCTGTTAATAATAATGCCTTCCACCCCCGAACGTAGGAACGACCGACCCTCGTTGTCGCGTCGCAGCAACCGCCACAACCAGCAGCCCACCGACGAGCATCGCTCTCCCTTTCGAAGAGCTCATCAAGCTCGTCTTACCGATCATTTTGACGCGTCGTTGAACCTTAGCCCTCCTTACGAATCCAACTCCCCCCGTCATCGCCGCAACTTCAGCCAAACCAATTCCTTACGAAGTGCATTCGCGTTCGCATCACGTCTCGATACCATGCCGGACCGAGAAGCTGCACCCGATACATTGGCTGGGTACGACTCGTACGACTCGTACTCCAGGAGTCGGGATCCTTTCCTCCTTTCGTCTCCAGTCTCGAATCCTCCGAATGAGCTCGCGGAAACGTACCGCCAAATCGACGATGCGGGCAGCCTCGTCGACGAGAATCCATTCGACGCAGATTTTCAGCTTCCCAATATACGTGGCAGCCGTAGTCGAGGATCGTCCTCGGCGTCGGCGAGGAAGAGAAGCGACTGGTTCGCGACATATGACCTGCACGACGTTACGAACGAGTCGCCTCCCCGGAAACAGGGTGACCGTGTCGAGGACGAGCGGCGTCTGAGAAGAGCTACCTCGAGTCGGTCGCCTGTGCTCAGCAATGCAGGAACTCGAGACCCATTGACCTCGGAGAATCTCCAGCGACGCGACAAGGAGGAAGAACTTCAGGAAGGGGCAATGGAGGAGGACGACAATGATCACGGGCCCAGGCCCCCGTTGAACCTGCCTTCGTGGGGATCCCGGGCGGCTCATCGTGGAAAGTGGTTGGAGAAGATGACGCGCCGCAGCACGCTGCCGCTGGGTTCCACGGTGGACAGATCGAAGGACCCCTCGCCTCCGAGGGTGAATCCGGACCGGGACGTACAAAATAATGTGGAAGAAGGGACCATGGCTGAAGATGGCCCGACAGGAAAATACGGCAGAATTCCCCTCTCTGACGCGCAAAATAAGTTATCTCTGGAACAAAACGCCCAGAAAGGGACCGAAATCCCCAATACACCAGTCACGATATTTCCCAAGTCCTATTTCGCCAAGAAAAGTCCGATCGACAGGGACTCACGCGTGTTACTTCAAAGATTGTCCCGCGCCGAAAGCCCTGGGCAGCCAAGTACCAACACCTTCAAGACTCCAGAAGCCCAGAAGGTGTCCGAAAGGCCCCGGATCTACGATAAGACGCCGGTGGTGACCGGTGCTTGGATCGACACCCCGATGACGGAACGAGTTGACAAATTCCCCGAAGAACTTTCGCGCGATATCGTGCCATCGCCGCCGCAAAACCATCGATATGCATCAACTTTCCTGCCTCGAGAGTCCAGAATCAGCGAAGTGTCAGAGCCTTCTGAATCGGAGGCGATGAGCAAGACGGAGGCTGAAAAGGGGAAGCAGGAGCAAGAGAAGCCAAGCCTTATCAAGACGGAGCCTGTAGCGGAGAACAAGCCCAAGGACGACGAGGCAGAACGGAGTATTGGAGGACCTAACAAAGAAGGTCCAAAAGAAGAACCGAAGGAGGCGAGACAACAAGGAAAGCAACCGGAAGCGAACCAGAAACCCGCGTCGAAAAACAAGAGACCATTGATCAAACCAAATCTGCCCAAGAGCGCGCTGGAGACGGTATTACAAGACTTCAAAGCTCACAAGGACATACTCGACGTTGGCGATGATACGATCGAGTCCCTCCAGGGACTTCTTGAGGGGAAGCCGAGTGAGAATGCTACTCCTGAAGAGGAAGATGCTGCATACGAGAAGGCTATAATGAAGAAGCTCGAGCTCGGAAGTTCCGGAGGCAACGAGACAGTGGACTTGGACCGTCTAAACGAGAAGCTGAAGTCTCTTGCGGACAACATTCAGAAAGTCAAATCCGGACTCAAGAGCCTGGAGGAACAGGCTACTCGCGACGCCGACACTCTGACTGTACCCTCATCCAAGGGCTCCAAGCACTCACGAGCAACCATCTGTGCGAAATGCCAGGCCGAGACTGAAGGCCAGGTCTTCACCATTTTCTCCTTTCCTCGGCTCTGGCATCGCGATCCAATCTCCCGGCGCGTGCGGCCCACCGGCCTGGGATGGTGCCTGCTTATATCCTTGGCCTGGTTCTGGTCCGAAACCACCATGTGCGATTACTACTGCCATCCTTTCATCTCGAATGTCTGCGAGGGCAACTGTCTCCGGCCTGATGCACCGCGGTTTCCCTACGTGATCCCGACCATGCTCTGGCGCTGGCTCAATCTGTCGTCTCTCTTCACGCCGCTGTGGGCCGTCGTGATTGCCGTTGGCAAATTCATCGCTCTCTCGCTCGGTTTGTGGGACGGCTATGTCGAGGAGGCGCCCCGACCGTTAAATCTTTCGGGTGAACTCCGCATCCACGGAACCCGTGTCGTGAGCCTCGCAGAATCCACAGCGGCAGCCAGCAGTGGCTTCTTCTCGCCGTCGAGGCTGTGGTCCGGAAGGGAGGAGCGGCCGGCGGTGCCCGAAGCTGTCCCGGAGTTGAAGCTGAACGGGGGGCGGAACCCCAGTGGAAGACAAGCTAGTGCTAACTCGTGGGATGAGGATGGGTCAATGGAGGATGACGAGGTTATTTGAAATCAAGTTACAGATGACTCTTATTATCCCCTAATTATAACAACCGGACACATCCACTGCTGCATTATCGTCGCATTTTCCTACGTGCTTTTAGCAAGGGACATGATTAGGCATCGAAAGGGGATTGGTCTCTGGGAGTCTACTTAGCTAGCCTTTTAGTGAGAAAATTGTAGCTGCCGCCGCTATAGGGATTTGTTCTAGAACCGGAGACAGACAGATTGAGTGGGTTAGCGTCGAACGCGGCGGCGCTTGTCATATCCACCGATCCCAGCAGGCTCTTCTTATCTAAGGTTATCGTGGATCTGCGCGAAACCCGTTTTGACTTTCCCCCTTCTGGTCGAGAACTATTTTAATCGGACTATTTATTGACCAGAATGTCTCTCGTCTAATTACTAGTTAGTAACTCCGTGCAAGGCTTGGGTGGTATATACACCGCATCATTAACACGTAGAAGGGACTCAATCAGGTACTCTAAACGTTCGTTGCTTCTATATTTGTACAGATGGATCTTCAGCGCATGTATAGTCATGCTGAACACGAAGCATCTAACAGGGTATTCAACCCCCAAAAACACAGCATCGAAATAGTAAGACACATAACAACGCCAAGCAAACACCAATCCTCTAAGGCCTTGAAACGAAACCCAGAAACCTTGATGCAAAAGGACCGACAATGACAAGAGAGAATCACCACCAAAGGGGGGGTAATGTGAAGGGAGGCGGGAGTGTCTTGAGAGAACCCTTCCCCCGCCCCCCACTCCCCCCGGATGATCAATCACAACTGAGCCTTCTCCGCCCACTCCCTCTGCAGCTCCCTCTCGCCCTCCTGCCGCCACAACGCATTCACGCGCAACCGCTCCTCGATCTCCTCGTCAGTAAGCGGTACGGCTTCCTCCAAGGGGATCGTCTTCTCGGACAGCAATTTGTATCCGATGTAGGTGATCTCGCCGCTTCTCGTCTGGTCTGGAAGGGCTGGCTTGTCTGCAGCGCGGTCTGCTGCCGCCACATCGACAGCCTGGCGGCAGAAGCGGGCCATGCCATCATAGAACCGACGCCCGGCGGGGGCATCCAGCATGACCAGCCCGAAACAATGGGGCATGCCCTCGAACTGCTCGACATAGATGGGGGCGCCCGCGCGGTGGATCGTGCGGGCGAGGACGAGCGCTTCATCCGTAAGACCTTCCTCCCCAATAGACATGAAGATCGGCGGGGCCTCGGTCCACAGGGCCGGGGTGCTGGCAATAGGGGAGACGAGCGGGTGCAGGAGCGCCGAGGCGTGGGTGTATAGGTCGACGCGGGGCGGTTTGACGGGCCAGATGTCGTCGGCAGGAACGACGAGCGGCCGGAAATAGGGTTCCGTTGCCGGGGTGGAGGTCGGCGCGTCGAGGTAGTCGTAGATGGCGTTGTGGGCGACCGAGGGCATCGAGCGGGTCATGTCGCACCAGGGGCTGGAGGTGGCGACGCCGGCGGGGAGGAGATCGATGGAGTGGAGGTCGCGGCCGTGGAAGCGCAGGGTGGGCTGGGTGCGGCGCAGGGTGAGGAGGAGTTGGCACAGGACGAGGGCCAGATTGCCGCCGGCGGAGTCGCCGGCGAGGATGATCTTGCGGGCTGGAACGGGGTCGTGCAGGGAGCCGGGGGGCGGGGCGATGAGCGAAAGGTAGGCGACGAGGGCGTCGGTGAGGGCGGCGGGGAAGGGGTGTTGGGGGGCCAGACGATATCGCACGGAGAGGACGGGGGCTCCAGTGCGTTTGGAGAGTTGTGCGACGGTGGGACGGTGGGTGCAGGGGTCCATGAGGCTGGGATCGCGCTGTTAGTGTTTGGGTATGATATACGAATGACCGGAGTTGGTGAGGAGCATCGACTCACAAGTAAATGCCCCCGTGGAAGTAGAGGATGACCATATCCTCCTTCGACTCCTGCTTCAACGCCTCGTACTTGACTTCCTCGGAGATGTCGGGCTGCGGAGCATTCTTGTCCACGCCACTGCGATACCCGGTCCACTCTGCTTCCACCGGCGCCACGCCGGGGAGATTGTAGGTCTCCTCGCCGGTCTTGAGCGCTTCAATGGCGTTCACAACGGCGTGTTGCACGTCGATCTCCGGCGGCGGGAAGGTCACCTTGGACACCCACATGGGACCCTTGATGCCCGGATCGCGCATGCTGGCCTTCTGTTGCTGGGATATCGAGGAGCTGAAGCTTAGGAGCGACCGGATGACAGCGACGGTCAACTCGGTGCGCAAGTCCTGCTTCCCATGGACGGGGGAGAGGCGAATGCTATGGAGGAAGATGACCTTGAGCACGAGGGGGATGCGCACAAGAATGGCCTTGAGGAGCGTGAGAGGATTTTCAAAGTTTCTCATGGTGCAAGACTCGAATGCACAGATGAGATTGACAAGAACGAGAAGGAAATCAAAGAACCGCCACAACAAGAACACAGCGAAGAAAAAGAAAAGAAAGAAAGAAAGAATGGACTGGATAACTATCGAGTGGGGAAAAAAGAGACGATAGGGGGGGGGGGGGGACTTATCTTTCCATAACTAACAAATTCTGGTCTTATGCAAACCACATAGTTAGATTGGTCGTGCCTTAACTGGATCTATTTTTGGATTCATGACTTTCAGAGGATGGTTTGCTGAGAAGCGTCTTAACACAAAAATATGATATCTCCCATTTTTTGGGTCTCTTGCCCCTTTTCATCTGGTGCGCAATTCCTCACATGGCAATAGGATTTAAAGTTGCGATCCGATGGAATTCCATGCGGCTTGACATCATCGCCCGCCACTAACTTACGTTATGTTTATAGCAAGTTAACAACTACGGAGAGTAACAGGAATAAATCCTTATTGTCTTTCTTTTATTAAAGAAAAAGAAATAATCCTATAATCACAAAAGGCCCATGATAGCTACCGTATCTTCATCACATCATCCAGTGAAAAATGAGAAAAAAAAAAACACAAACGAAAAGATGATGCTCATCTAGAACCGACCAGCAGTTTCCTTAGCCTTGCCCTTGGCCTCACCCATGAGTTCTTCCGTCTTGCCCTTGGCCTGACCAGCAGCATTCTTAGCCTGACCCATGGCCTCCTCGGCCTTGCCTTTGCCCTTGCCGGCCAACTCAGCAGCGTCACCCTTGAGCTCACCCGACTTGGCCTGGGCCTCGCCCGTGGCGGCGCCCATGGAACCCTTGAGCTTCTCGGTGGCGTTCTCTATAGAGGTGACCATGGTTAGTGATCATTCGGAAAGACAAATGGACGTATTCCAAGAGAATGGGAGAAGAAGACATACCTCCAACCTCAATACCCTTCACGGCGGCATCGGAGATAGTGCGGTCGGCGGCCTTGAGAGTGTCCTTGGCGGCATCAACGGGGCCCTTGTTCAAGCAGGCGGTGGAGGAGAGAGCGCGAGTGGCACCGATGGAGATGGAGGGAGCGGTAGGCTTGAGAGCCGCGGAGGCAGTGCGAGCAGCAGGAGCGATGCGGGCGATGAAAGACATGGTGGATATGATTTTATGTATCGAGGGGTGGTGATGGTAATTGGAATAGTTTGTAAGGGTTAGTGGGTGTAATTGCGGACGATTCTTGAAGTGATGATGATCAATGAACTGAGAGAGAGTGAGTTTGAGGGGCGATGTTGGCAGTCAGAGACATTCTTATAAGCTTGAGGACTGGACAGACCGGAGTTGAGCGACGTCATCAGGATTGGGAACGAGAGGGAGTTGGCAAGTACTCTCTTATGTCGCTCTTACGTCGATGCCTTTCCATACTCCCTCCCCTTTGGGTTTAGCCCCGCTGAATGGGCGGGTCTCCCCACAAATCTCACCGCCCGGTCTGGACACCCCCCGGTAGTTAGAATGTCCTTGCTGCTTAGTAACCAGTGCTGGCACATATGTACACAGTAGTGCACAATCAGACCAGTACCTTCGTGGAAACCCTAAGTGCTAGTGACCTACTCAACTGTGACTACTCATAGTACTTCGTATCTCCCTGAAGATATGCTGCAAAGGGCAACTCCAGATGTTTTCTGCCTCACGGGTTGTATACGTAAGGCGGTGTGGCCATAGTGTTCCCGTTCCCCCGCACCTCTTCTTCCTTCCAGCCTTCTTTCATCCTTCCTCTTCCCCTTCACAATTGGTTGTGAATTCCAGTGAAACCATCAAATCGTGCTTATTTGCATTAGAATATCTGCTCACCTTGGCACTGACCCTGCTATGATGGAGTTTTAGATCAAATCAGCCACCGGTGCGAGAGCAACGATAGACACGAATCAATAAGACAAATGTATCCCAGACGCGTTACTCCACCCCACATGCGGGGTTGATCAAAGTCAACCCTGGACGCCCCTTCTTGTGCTGCACCATGCAATATGACTCCCACAAACTGACGTTAATATCCTGAAAATACTTTCGCTGCATGCTCACTATGCTTGGGGCACTTCCCTGATTCACTCTGGTCGAGGAGGAGAGCTGCCGCTCCGGGCTCGCCCACCTCGAAACTCCGCGACTGGCATGACGACCTCGCGTGGAAGTAGAGGTCCCGAGAGATTAGGATGATAGGTTGCAGGGTATCCCGGGATTAGATGTCTTGCTGCAGCGTATCGGACTGGTCCACCAAACTGTGCCCTGCTTTCAAGATTCATAGGTGGCCAAACAGGCTCGAAGGCCGCAACAGGTCTCTCCAGAGTGTCCAAAGGCCGAAGATGCCCTGCCGCTGCCGCCGCCGCTGCCGCCGCATACGAAAGCTCCGTTTGAAGCTGACTTGTGTTTGCCGGCGACGCTAGCGTCGGAATAGGTGGGATCTTGTTGACAGGGGGCCATCTATGGGGAAACGGGCTTGGGTCTGTCGCCCATGACTGCTGTGACTTTGCAGATATCTCACGAGACATCGGTTCTGCACCCGGCTCGGAGATATAACCAGTGTATACGTCCGCCACAGGCGGCGATGTCCCGGGCATGATTGCAGATGGATGCGAAATTGGGCCGGTTGAAGTCGATGGTGTAGTGCTCAATCGACGCGCTCCTGATTGTTCAACGTTACCCTCATATGGCAGACCGGGTGAGAGATAGGTCATTGAAGGAGTGCTTGCTGACATATCTGCAACTGGCGAGCCAATTCCACTGAAGGCTGCGCCCGGAGGAGCTCTATATCGAGTGGATGAGGCCGTCGTTCCAATTTCCAGAGCATCCAGTTGATGGCTCAGAAATGCTGGATCAGGTTCACTGTATGTTGAGGAGGGTACTGGCGGCAACGAAGACATGGTATTACTTGAGCGATGGAAAAGAGAGTCCTCCGAGGATTTATCCTGCAGACCATGCAAGGTTGGCCGGCTTCTACCAGGAATCGACGATGACCGTGGCTTGCCGTTCGCTGGTCCCGCTGCAATCGTGGCGTAGCTGGGCGAATCATTCTCCTTTAGCATCCCGCCTGTGAAATCCGCTGGAGCACTTGCACACTGTCTGTTCTGAGGCCTCGTGGTTTGCCTGACCGCTGTTAATGCCTCAGATGCTGAAGATCGAGAGCCGCTGCTACGGTCTTTGTTCTGAGGGTTACTTGTTATGGCTTGCACGGGAAAGACCCGCAGGACCGGCGCCGCAGGCTGCGAGCCACGAATCCGGTGTGGCAAACCGGGTCGCCTGGGTTTCTCGGAAGGTTTTGGAGGCTTCAATGATTTCTTGACCAAGTGCCAGCCGCGGTCCTCCATTACAGGTGCGTTAGATACCACCTGTGAAATACCTGACTTCGGCCTCTCGATTGCTTCACTAGTCTGCGAGGGCGACGATGCAGTGATCTTATCATCTGCAATTTCTTGACTGGAATGTCGGAAAATGTGTGGTAGAAAAGGCTTCAAGTTGAACCTAGGGTGGCGCAGAGGAGCGACTTCTTGCGGAGAAGCCTCTAATGGAGACTCCAACTGGGGCGATACTATGTCTGGCTCAAGCCAGGCAGGCAGTTCCTCTGCAGCAGACTCAGGTACCGACGAAGACGAACTACTTGATCGATCAAAGACCGAGCGGTGGTGAGAGATTGGACCGGAACCGGGTGAAAGCTGATCTATCATCCTGGAAATGTCCCTCTTGATCGCTCTCATTTGCTCCTTCGCCTTGCGAACCGTGGGGGTTTCGCGTGCAGATCCTCGTTTTGATCTTGTGAAGTTCTCGAGGACCCTCGACACGTGAGTCTCGAACTCACGGTAATCTGCGACTAGTCCGAAATTCTTCTTGTCTTTCCGGGCGTACTCATACGAGCCGTAAAGCACATTACAAGCCACGAGAAGCCACGAGTCATAATGATTAGTCGCGGAGTCATTTGGGGCTTTTTTTCTCTGTTCCTCATCCATGATCTTCAGCTCGTCACGGCAAAAACCTTGGACGACACTATGGATCTTGATGACGTCGATTGTTCCGGCATTCTGCAAAGCTGAAGAGAAAAAGGCTTCCTGGCTGCTCTCGGTCTGGGACTCAGAGAGGTCCGGCACCACGAATCTCTGATCAAGTACATTGTCTCTTTCCGCCTGAGGTGACAAAGCTGAGGGATGCAACGGATAAGAGTCCGACACTCGTTCAATAAGGCCGTGCTGGATCAAAATTCCGATTGTTGTGTCAAGATCCCCTTGATCTCCGCTTCTGCTGGGCGTGGAGACTTCAGTATTCAGCGCTTTAAGGGCTGGGAGACCCAAATTTAAGAGACCGACTGGAATATGGTGACTGAAGAACGAGATCAGATTAACGAGGTTGAGCGCCGGCCACTGCTCCAAGCGATACAGATCATGCATGATGCTCAGAAACGGCTCTGCCAATTTTCCGTCGATCCGTGAATCTATGTGGTATTTCTCAATCGGCTTTGACATCGAACTGAGTCGATGACTGATGGCATGAATCGCCAAAGGTAGGCATTCATAATAAGTTACTAATTCTGTGGCTTTCTTGATTTGGGCTGAGCTTGGTTTTCGAATGCCTAGATCCTCGAACAGCAGCTTGCAGGCATCCTCTGTCCCAAGGGGCTTAAGCTGGAGGCAGTATGGCTCGTACAAACGCTGTTTCCGCTTCAACGTCTTGTCTATCGAGGTGTAGATGATACTACAATTCTTATTGAACGGCAGGAATTGTCTGAAGTTGTTAATATCATGCTCGTGCGCAAAGCTGATTCCGTCAAACACGAGAAGCCAGCCTTCGCGGTTTTGCAGCCATGTTCTTAACGAATCGACATATCTGCGAGAAGGATTGCTGTCTGGATAACGGAATTCTTCCCCGTCAATCAGTGCAGCTGCTTGAGCAATATCCCAGAAGCACTTGTAAGTTGATTCCAGTGACTTGGCATCGACCCAGAAAATCCCCCCTGGGTATATGTCTCGATGTGTGCACACGTATTGTCGCGCAAGGTGCGATTTGCCAGTGCCAGGCCCTCCACAAATCAAAACAGCCGTCAGACGCTCCGCCCTCTTCTTAGCTTTAAAAAGACGTGCGTGAAGTACTTCAAGCTGCTTCTTCATACCTACAAATGTGGCGTTAGGGTGAAAACCCGGTGGGACCACAAAGAGAGGATCTTTGCGCATTGATCGTGACAAGGACAGCTCCGTGCTCGCTGCCATTGCCGTCTCAGATACAACGGAGCGTTTTCTTTCAGATGAAAGTACGATTGATTCAGAATTACCTAAGACATAGTCAGCATTATCGACTGACGTTGTGTCTCTGATGAAAACAGGCAAGTAAGATACAGGAAGCAGAGAAACAAATGAGCTTATGCTGACGACGAAGAAGACCTTTATAACCGCCCCTCTCGGATTATGTTCTAAATACTCCGCCTAGAATTGCTTACTATGAGAATATGGTGGTTCCGCGGGCTCTTCGACCTCGTACTGATTGAACGTGACTGGAGAACGCGGCTCGGGGAGCATGTGTGGCCTACCAATTGCTCGAAGGTCCGGTGCGCTTCTTCCAAGTTGCTCGGTATCAACTATGCATAAATCGTTAGCTATTGATCGGGCAACGGTGGTATGGCGGAGACACGCAAAGAAGAGACTGGTCATGCAAGAGAAGGTCAGGCCGGATTACATACCATCTCCAAACATCTCCCTTGCTATGGTTTCTTTCATGAGCCTGCGCGCCTTGCGCTCTTCATTCCATCGTTCATGTATAGTCGCTGGAGCATCACCTGAGTATCGCAGGAGAGCCTCTGCCACCGCCTCATATCCGGGAGAGTCCTCATTGTCGAATTTGCACATGTGTCTGTGATCAGCCTCGATTCCCATGCGCTCGACTCCTTCCATGTAAGGCGCAGCGGAACTCTCGTCGACGATCAGCTCGCGAGTCCCCTTGACGTCAGTTGACAACGTCTCGTGGAAGAAATAAATGTGGAAGCGGCTCGTCATGTCAGCAAACAGACTGTTGATGTTCTGCAGAGTCTCGTTGTTTGTCTTGAGTGCTTTGACCAAGTGCGGCGAAGATTCCATGAACTTCTTTGGCATGACGGCGCTACAGATGTTCTGCAATAGCGCACCCCACTTCGCAACGTCCGACCCATTGTGAGGTGTTCCGAGAAACAAGATGCCGTACGTGGAGACATAGATGGACCTGAGATGCTGGATTCTTTCGTTGCTCACACTACGACAGTAGATCAGGGCACGTTTGACGACCAGGCCGCCCAACGAGTGGCAAACGAAGATTATGGGTCTTTCGGAACATCGACGCAGCTGCACAGGAGTTAGCCAACATGATATAAGATCACACGAATTTCAGACGAAGAAATACATACGTTTCGGTTCGCGGCTAGCCCGGAGGCCAACGTCTCTGCATGGTTATGAAGTCTGTCCTTCGAAGCACCGTCTGTGAAAGCGGTGACGTTGGCGTTATATCCGTATGTCAAGATGCGGACGCGACTGGGGCCAAGGACATCTGGGAGGAGATCAGCGGGCCAGAAGGTGCCACTGTCCTTGCCGTTGTGGTTGGAAGCCCAGGTGTTGTAGGCGTGGCCGTTGAGACCATGCACGAACACGATATCAACGAGGGGCTGTTCCTCCGAACGGTAGATCTCAGTGAGCCCGATCTCCTTCACGCGAGTGGACAAGCTGGCCATGTGTCAGCGGACCGGGGGAGAGAGGAAGGTTGTGGCGTGGGGACTGAGTGCTTGACGATATCCGATATCCTTGAAGGCGTGGTGTTTGATCTTGGGGAACTGTGACAAGCGAGTGTAAGATGGATGGAGGAAGGAAAGATGGAGGAAGGGAGTTTGGGAGTGTGGGGGGAAGAATAAGTTATAAGTTTTATTTGAAGCGTCGGGGAAGGAGCATGAGACAAGCGGCTGACTTGCCCGGGTTGGAGGAGGGGCAGTTTTGGCAGTTGGTTGCTTACGACCTTCTCCTCTTCGTAGTGACTAGTAGGAGTAATTGACTCAACCCCTAAACAACCTGAATAATAGTTAAATACGAAACTTCCTACTAATCATTCAATCATCAGCTCTTGACCTTCCCGATCGGACGGAATGCCAAAGAAAAGAGTTCCCGTGGGCTGTTCAGGGGGAGTGACCAGTGGGAGGTCATGCTGGCAGCCTTGCTGACTGCAGATCCGTGACACTCGACCCTCGACCCTCGGGGGCTGAGTCTGCAGGTGCAGCCTGTGCCTGTTGTTCCGACAAGGCTGAATCTCAACCTGTTTCTTGGTCCGTAGCACAGAGCCTAAGCTTGCCAAACTCCTTCATCTTCATCAAGTCGCATACTTGTACTTTGAAAGCTTTCATAAACCTCAAATTTCGACTCGACCAAGCATAGGGCTATACAGGGAGACTCGCTTGATTTGATTCATAACTGAGAGTCACTTCCATTTGAGATATGAGGGTGAATTGAGAGGTTCGGGGGATTGAATGTATTTCAGTTTGCCAACATGAAACATGAGAGGATGGCTTACTCGATGCAAATAGGTCCACATACTCACAACATACTGGTGTCAAAGAAGAGAACAAAGGACAAATGATTTATGGATCTAGAGTGGTAGGAGTAACCGATATGAGAACGCATGCACTTTCGTTACTCGAATATCCTGACCACAGAAGAGGTCCCAGGGTTTGATGTATACCATGACTGTATCGTTGATAAGACCGCTGGGGAATACTTTTCACTTCTAATGATCCTTTAATAAGTTTGATTGTGTGCCAAAAACGATAATGCCAGATGCTTAGGAAGTATAGTATGTAAACGAAACACAAGCTGAAGCAATGAATGCTTTCGGTGAATGTGAAGAAAGATAGGTAGTAAAGTCGTTAGGTGAAGAGCAGCTTTCTAGACAGTGAAGAAGATTGTCCTTCTCCCAATCATCAGTGCCATTTCCTCAATACAATAAGGTAGAGAGAATCATCCAAAGGACCAATAGCGCTCATACTCAGCCCTTTCCTCCTCAATTTCCGCCAATTGCTCCAGAAAAATGCCTTTGACTTCGTCGGAGGGCTGCCTTGCAATCATCGTATCGCTCGTGCTCGATAAAGCCTTTCTCCGGGCACAGATCGCCCAGTCTCTCCCTGACCTCCGCAACAAGCTCCGTTCCTGCCACTGCACCATCGCTATCCAGTTTACTTCACTCCAGGTCGGCGTCCAAAAAGTCGAATGGGAAAGGGGTCTTGCTGGTGACGGCAGGTAAGTCCGTCCACGTATCTTTCAGATCGACTAGAAGCGATTGAACGTTCTGTGGGCAAGGAAGATCAACCCGTATGCTGTCGTCTTTTGGAATTCGACTACTCTATCTAGGTCTGAGTTTTTGGCATGCATGGGTTTTCGCCATCCAATAAACACAACTTGGACAGTGTATTCATGTACAACCGTGGACCGTTCGCCCGTGGTGCTAGATCGAGCGTCTCAGGCTCAAGGCCATCCCAATCGAGGAAGGCCGAACGGGGATGGTGGTTGAAGAGAGGCGAAGATGTGACCGGACTACCAGTCAATAATGCCCGTAAGCTTGTCAGGCTCATGCGGGTCTACAAAGACGTTGTCATCATGCAAATCACTAGCATATGGAGCTTCTGTGAATGATAATGTCATCGTGCTCCAGACTTGAGACAGCGGAACACCTTTAGCCTTTTCCATGGTGATAAACACAGCCCTGACAGGATGCGAATTTAGCCTGCGAGCTTCATGTGCAGACATCAAGAGCCTGCAATCGTGCGATCACCAGTGTTTGAAAGCTCAAGGGGGATAGATAGACCATCTGAGGGGATATTTGGTTCGGGAGTCGATGATCCTGGCCGGGTGTTGCGGAGGAAGATGCAGCGTGGTGGAGAGCGATAGGGAATATCAGCGTTCGGAAAGACAATTGGACATGCTCGGAACTTTTATACCAATTTCCAAATGCCTTAGCGCTTTCTGATAGTAATTCTTTTCTGTACAATCTTCAAGATCATAACATACTAGTAAAAAGGAGTCCAACTTAGGAAGTTAGTAGCCCTATCCTAGCAAATGAGTCTACTCCGTACTTTATAAGAGACTATATTATCGAAGTTGAGATTCAGTTTTATTTCAACTTCTACGGTATAACTACATCCCGTCCAGCTTAGTCCCTCTCGAATGATGCTCTGCCTCTCTAGGTTCGTCTACATCATCGACAAGAACACCCTGCTTGCACTCTGAGCGCCCCATGTCAGGATCATTAAGATCAAGCAGCCCTCCCACCTAAACGTCGTCACCGTCAAGTGGCGAGCATGAATATTCGCTCCCGAGTGCCAGTACGGCGTGGGGGAGATGTGTACTATGTATGCTCTGTAGATCCTTATCACATTTCGAACACCAGCTGCTCTGACTGCAACCTCATTTCACCCGTAAGGGCTACTAATAATCAGCTCTACTTCTGGTCTCCTGGTGAAGAATACCCCTCACAGCCCCGAGACGGTGTCATCCCCGTGTGATCCGCAGCTGACCGTTGCCAGCCCATAACAAGAGACAGACCTCATCCCGATCTAGTAAGCAAAATCCCAAAAGTCAAATGCCATTTCCCTCATCAACAGTTTAGTTATGTCTGATAAATGACCCTGACTTCACATGATTCTCAAACGGTGTAAATAACCATAGTATCCCGCCCAAACCCACCGCAGTCAAATAAACAACACAAAACGCGCCTCAGCTTGTACACACCACCTATAAAAAAACTCACCTCCCCTTGAAGACCGGCTTCCTCCGCTCAGCAAACGCCCGTAGAGCCTCCATTCGATCCTCCGTCCCCATTACCCCCTCATACGCCTCATTCTCCGCCACCTCCCCTTGTTCCCACCCGTCCAGCGCCTTCATCGCCTGACGAATCGCCAACGGCCCGCCCTCACAGATCCCCAACGCAAGGTTGATGCTTTCTTGCAGCACCTTCTTGCGCGCAACCCCGGGCTGGGTCTCCTCCTCCGGCAGGATCTCCACGAGCCGGTCGCACAGCCCCAGAAAGTAAGCCTCAGGGCCGGACACCCGCCGCCCGGTGAGGATCATGTCGCGGGCGCGGTTGACCCCGATCAGCTGCGGGAGGCGGTAGGTACCGCCCGCGCCGGGGATGATGGCCAGGCGCGTCTCGGGCAATCCCACCATGCATGAGGAGCCGAACACCCGGAAATGCGAGCACAGGGCCAGTTCGAGCCCGCCGCCTAGGGCCGTCGAGGAGACAGCGGAGATGGTGGGAATGGGCAGCTGGGAGAGGGCGGTGAAGGTTTGGCGGAGGTGGGTGAGGAATTGGTGGGTCCTAGAGGCCGATGGGGATCAGGTCAGTGGATTCGGGTTCAAAAACACCAGAAAGACGGACCGGCGGAGATATGGTGGAGAGTCGAGCTTGCCGAAAAGGGCTGAAAGAAACAGCAAGATCAGACACTGCAGGGGTGAACGGACTCCTCTTTGGTCATGCCAGCACGTTCCTTAAGGTCTGCGCCAGCGCAGAACGCGGCATCCGCGTTGCTGCCGAGCACAAGAGCTCGGGTCGGCCCTTGGCCGTTTTCGGCCGCGATGGACTTGACGTGCTGAGCGAGACCGTCTAGCAAGCTGCGAGAGATGGCATTCCGGGCGTTGGGTCGGTTGAGGAGGAGGACGCGAATGGTCCCGGAGCCCGGGGCCGGGACGTGCTGGGTTTGAATCACATCGTCGCTGCTGCTGGTGCTTAACGGGGCAACTGTGATGCGGACGGACAGTGAACCAGTGCGTGAGAGAGTGTGAAAGGTAGAGAGAGACTGGGGGAGTCGAGGAGCCATTATCACTGAGGAGGTAAAAGTGGTTGACCGGGTGGGTTGCAGTTTCGTGGGAGACGGAAGGGTTGAAGTGAAGTAAGTTGGGGAACGACGGGAAGGTGTGGGGAAATCGGAAACCTGAACTGCGGGGAACCGCGGATAAGCGTCTGTTTGAATACTATAGTAAATATCTACATCTGTCATATCCATCGAATACTTAGATACACTGCACATAATCCTAGTGATTTACGTAAAGTGAATATCGCGCATCAACCGCGTAGCTCTCGACTTCCTCGTCACTAGGCCAGGATCCCCAGACTTCCGAAGTGCTGATAATGTCGTATGCTTCCTGCAGAAAGAGATCGGGCCAATTTACACCGTCCTGCTGCTGCACTTCCCACCTGTGTTTCTTGAATTTTGGCTGTTTGGCGGCATGTTCCTCCAGAAACATCCGGATTGCTATTAAAACCTTGCGCATTATCCGACTCCCGTTCAGCAGCTGGTCATACTTGTCCTTCAGGTCAAGCTCATACTGTCTCATCCATCGCAGCAGACTCATCAGTCCATCCCAATCTTCAACGAGGCCAAGGGTGCGGGCAAAGGCATGAAGAACAGCAGGCGTGGGAACATGAAGCAACGGTGGTAGAGTCACCTGCGAGCCGGTGGCATGCTGTACTGCGGATAATCGGTGCTCGACAAGCGATATAGCCTGTGAATCCCCGAGGACACATACGTAGAATTGTCGTTTCATATATTTGAGACCATTCGGTATGATTGTCTCAAGTTGTGGTGGCGCGGACTCGAGCAGTGTCAGGTGACCAAGCGACGCCATTTGACGAGTGATTTCCAAAGCTTCATGCACGGCATCAGGGTTTCTGGCCACAGCAACTCCAACACGTGAAAATGCACGGCAGAGAGCATGGAATCCTGCCAAGCCAGTATCGATTTGACGCTCTTCCAACCATCTCATGAGTGACTGCGCCCTGAACCAGGCCACTATCCTCCGAGGGTGACGCCTGACTCGTGCCTTGTTTGCGCCCCCTGCGTAATCGACTATTGTAGACAAGACATGAATCCAGGCTTGAGGCGGCTGTGAATCCCGTTCTCGTAACAAATCAATGGCATGAGGTAGCGCCTTGTGGTGGTGGAAAAAACGATCCATTCTTACTGGTGTGAGTGATCTAGTCAACGGCGACGGGTGTGGGCTTCCTGAATCCAGCTGCAAAGGGAATTGGTCCAAGGCAGGGGTTACAGGCCCGGAAGGCTGAATTTCCGGTAGGTGATGCACGTGGCTAAACCTGCAGAGGAAGGCAACGAACGCGTCGACGAGGTACCCCGGTAGCTCTTTCAGAGTCTTTTTATACCATCTGGGGCGGTAAGGATTGCGTCCGTGGACCGTACACAAAACTCCTAACTGCTCATCTGTCAAGTCGCTGCAAAAGAGATAGTCCAACCCGGTGTAGAAATTCGGTGCACGTCGCAAAAGCAATGCGAGAAACCGACCATTCGGACGCACGCCCTGAGAGAGCATCATATTCAGAAGATGCTTTAAACCGGGTGGTTCAGACGGGACATAGATCCAGTCTCTAGCGGACACCGGTTCGGGGAAAACCTCTAGTCCATCACCTGGTAGAGCCGTGCTGAGATACTCGCTGTTCTTATGAAACATGGTTCGTTGGCGATGAATCAATTTTTCCGCCATCGCGGCGAATATGGCACCATGGGGACGCAGCCCGTGCTCCTGGTAGGATAGGAAACAGGCCCAGGCTTCCCGGACAGTCCTGGTAGCGCGGATTCGTGCTTCCCACAGCTTATAGTGGTCGGAATCCGCGGGGAATCGCTGCATAGTCACCGGTTGAGCTAACACCAAGGATCGGGTTTGGATTGTTGGGCTACCGTCTGTATCCCATCCTGCCAGAATCCGACACATGTTTTCCCAAGCAGAGGGAGAAAACCCCGCCTCTAGCTGCTGGGTCAGAACGCGCATCGCGCGGCTTCTCATGCCTTCAAGCCCCCGATCGACATCGTAACCCATTTTGTCTTCTTTCCAAGGTGGCCACGACGCAGCCTTGAGTTCCGCAGATTGGCGTTCAGCTTCTGTCTTCTTATGAGCAACTTGTATAGCAACAAGACTCTGATAGCCTCGTTTTGTGACTGGCAAAGCCGGCTGGTGTCGGGCCATAGCTCGAAGAAGCTCAATCTGTGCACGCTGTTGTATTGAGACCGATATAAATGGCTCATATCGACAGGGAATTGAAAGCACCCGAAGTATGGTGTTACAAATCTCGACCAGGCGCGGACGAGACCCATCAGCCGTGATCCTGGAAGCGGGCACTGTACTCAAGTAGAACGCGAAAGCCTGAGCGATCGTGAGCTGGGCCTGCGGCCACAGCTCGCGAGCATGATGTAGTAAGCGAACAACTAAAGTTGAGGCCGGATTCATATCAAGAGGCGGCTCCATTGCATAATGATCTTCCTTCTCTTCAAGGGTATTTGTGGTTTCTTTATCGCTTGAAAGAGAACTCGGTAGTTGAGAGGTTCGACCAGTGAGGAGGTCTAGCGAGTAGTGTAGAAGTAGTTTGAAGGTTCTGGACTCAAGACTCTGACGAAGAAGAAGTAGCGGGATGAACGACGGCACTCGCCTGGATCCTTGAGCTGAGCTTTGGTCAGAGCTTACTAGCAGCATGCGTAGACATGCGTCATATGGTGTTTTGCTTTTGAGCACCCACGCCCACGTCACCACGTCAGCAGCGGTATATCCTCGTTGAGTCAAATATTCGATGCTCTCTTCTGAGAAGATATATTCCAAATGTTGTCGTAGCAGTTTATGCTTGAAGGAGTATCGCTCGGCTAGCTTCGGACTAGGATCAAAGAGTTTTGAGCCCCAACTATCAAGTAGGGGATCCACTCGTTCTATATAGTCTGCGACGATTTCCTGCAATGAGAGGCGATGGAAATGTTTGAAGTGGTCTATGGTGTTCTGGCTGGCATTAAGCAGTTTTTTATCGGTCCCTTCAGTAATCCAATGACCAGTCTCTGAGTCTTTATGCTTAAGCCTCTTGTAGAGCATGACCAACAAGTACTCTGTAGGAGTCAGTTTGAGTTTGGTACCGGAGTTCCTGCGAGGATTCGCTCTTGTATTATTAGGTGAGTGTCGGTCGGTGTCTGATTCATCCCAAGGGTCACGATCTAGAGAGGCAGTCGGCGTCGACCGCAGAGCGCGTTCGCTCTGAGAATGAGCCGTTGCACCATCCTCCTCAGAATCTTCAACAGAATCGCCAAATATATTACCCCATTTTCTTTCTTCCGGGAGCTCGGCTTTTTTGGTGGTTTCCTGGGTAGTTGCAGCGCTTGCGACGGTCGACTTCGAGGAACTTGCATCCACCTTCTCTTCCACCACACGTCCGTCTTTGAAGCACCTACTCAAAGGAGAGTGACGACGCAGCTCCCTCCAGTATGCAGTTTCCAGCCAGGGCCAGGGCTGTATAGGTCTAGGGTCTTCTGGCACCGATTGGGGGCTTTGAGCTGATGCAGGTGCAGCTTCAGAATGGCTAGGAGTTTGTATGTATCGAACCGAAAGACCGGATCTATGGATAGAAGAGGCCAATGGCGAACTGTAGGAGTGACTGGGACTGTAATGGCCGTGACCGCTATAGTATGGAGCCTTCAGACGAAACAGCAGACGAAACAGCTTAGCCCATGTCACAAGCGGAGAGTAATCATTTGGATCTTCGATGGGTTGGTACCTTTAGCCATGTGCAGTGAATGGGCAATTGCGCCGCTCTCAGAGAGGAAGCTCTCGAGCAGCTCGACACATATTTGGCGACCGATGACATCCATGAAGAAAGTCATCGAGTGGGCTATAGCAAGAGTCAGGGAAATGATTGTCGTTTGATGTCGCTGGGAGACTCAAAGAGATGTAAAATAAGTGGAGGTAGAAAGAGGGAAGACGGAGTGCAACGAATGTTTAATGCATGAATTGGAAATCCATTTGGGGAAAAATACCAATATCACGTGATGGATACATAACTGTCACGCGCAAGTCCCGAGGGCGGCGGAGACTCGCTCTGCTCTGCCTTTTGCTTCTCCCTTTCCCTCTCCCTCTCCCTCTCTCTCCCTCTCTTCTAAATTTCCCTATCACTTTCTTTTCGGTCGGTCGGTATACTTGATGGAATCGGAAATCATGCTTTGAGATACCCGCAGTCGTGCTTCTATATGCTCAGCTGAACCACTACCTGCATTCTATACTGTACGGGCGCTGAAGATTACTTACCCACACCCACGCACCCACCCACTCTTGTCTCAATTTACCTTACGCGGTAGCGCGGGCATATGCGTCGAGTACCGACCCGATCTCTCCCCCTGCTTGCGCACCATTTCTTTATCACTTGAGTCCATCTCCATTGGCGCATCCGCCCCGGAGAGCTCGGAGCGCTTGAATCGACTCCTTGGAGTAATCTCTTCAGGGTTTCTGCAGTTAACTCTTGCCCTCGGCTCACTTTAGCCACGGCTTCAGGAGTTCACTTTTGCGCTCGATTTTTCTGTTGTTCATATACATCAACTCATAAGAGCCACGACATAAATAAACACAGAACAATAATCCAACGCATAACTCCAACGGGAAAAGTTTCGGACTCTCAACCTTCGCGTCGGAAACAGACTCGGACGGCAGCGCGACTGAACCATCATGAGTGCCGATGAAGGCGGAGGAACGGCCGTAGTGCCTGTCACAAATGGCGAACAGCCTCGCAACAGTCCGGAGCCGTCGACATTGGCAACCCCGGGCAAGCGAAAGCGTGTTTCCAGTCACGACGACAAGGCCGCACAGGATGCCACTGCCGCTGCGGCGCAATTGCAGGAACGAGCCAAACTACAAGAGACGCTGCGAAATTTGGTGGAAATCCTGAGCAAGTAAGCTCTTAGCCTATTCACTGGCTCACGCGAAGAACGACTGCTAATCATTGGTTTGCTTACAGAAATGACTCCGATTTACATCTCCTGTCGTGCCCGCTGCCATCGTCCCTTACAAAACCCCGTTCCAAGCGCGCAAAGGTCTCGGGCGATAAGGATGAAAGCTCGAGTATACAGGCCCGGGTCGCGTCGGACCGCTACAACACGCTTTCGGAATTCTTGAGTGACATTGAAAGGGCATCTGCTGCAGTGATTGAGCGAAATAAAGCCCAGGCGACCGCTGCTCCTGCCGACGGAAACCCACTGACAGAAACGGTCAATCGCATTGCTGCCTTCAAAAAGCTACTGAATAGCTTGGTTCGCCAAGCACAGATGAGCCAGACTACCGTCAAAACCGAAGCATCAGAGGACGGTGAAGCCCCAGTCAAAACCACGGCCTCCAACGTTGAAGTCCGGAATGAAAGTGCGGTCCTGACCTTGTTTGGTAACCCGGCGAATCCGAAACAGCTCTACTCCAGTCTGCAGAAGACAGTCAAAGTTCCGTTACAATCAGATGATTCAAGCTCAGACAAGTATGTTGAGGTGCAAGCGCCGCTGCCGGAGGATGGCCTACCCAACGGGATCACCGCCACAAAGGTGATACCTATTACTCTGGAAGCGAAGCCGAAGGAGGCCAAGAGGACTTTCGGCGAAGTATTCACGCCGCGTGCAACATTGCCTCAATTGGAAGCGCCTCGCACAACTGGAGCTACGTCTCGCAACGTCTCTGGTGGCTGGATCGACCCCTTCGAAACGATTACGGACTACAGGTCATTTCTGGGTGACCGTAACAACTACTGTTTGGCGATGCTTCCTTCTGTTTCCTGGCTGCAGTATGGCGGAGTTACTTCATCGCCGGCTTACTGGAGTCGTCGTCAGAAGCAGCAGCCTTCGGAGCATCGCGAAGACGAAAAGTTACCTGATGATCCGATGCCATCCACAGACGAAGATATTGCGCTCTGGCAAGGCGTGTATTCGTCTTTTGCCCCGTCGTTCGATAGCTCAGGGTCCGTTGTTCAAGCTGACTCGAAAGATCTGGTATGGTGGAGTAAGCGCGGAGCTAGACGCCTTTACACGCTGCTCTCAATGGCAGTACCAGAGGCTGAGGATGTCGTAGCATCTGTACAGCCGGGCAATATCGGCGAGCTAGATGAGAGCGCTTTGGAGGAATTGGTCAAGTCGTTTAACCCAGAGGACTTGGCAGATAACATAACTCAAAGCAACAGAGCCTCAGAAGAGTCCACTGATGAAGAGACTCGGGGATTGGATGACGTACTGCGGGATGTCTCCGAATTATTAGAGACTCTCAGTTCGTACCAGAGAATTCGCAGCCTGGAACTCGTGAGCACCGGGGGCCAAGGAGCGGATCCTAGAGAAATGGCACCCAGGCCTGGATCGACGGACGCGCCCTCCGAGGAAGAGCGAACCGTTTACGAGACATTAAAATCTAGTCTTGCAACGCTCGTCGCGACTCTACCACCATATGCTATTGCCAAGTTAGATGGTGATCAATTGGCTGATTTGAACATCAGCCAGAAAGTCTTGATTGAAGGCGCGGATTACCAAGGTACTATGGAGAAAGATGACTATACTATGCAGCAGGAGCGCGCGTCTTCTATCCCTGCAAATCGAACTTCCACACCCAGCCGAGCTGCCAGCTACCAGTCCCAGTACAACCAGCGGGGCTATAGCGCCAACACTCGGGCTCAACCTCAAGGAAACATGCAGACAGCTCAGCCCTACTTCGCAGGAAGGCAGGGTTCTGCACCCGCGCCTTATACCTCGGCGCCACCGCAGCAGTATGCGGGGGGCCGCCCACCATCGACACCCCAGCAGAGGCCAGGCTATCATCCCGGGTACTCTCAGCCACCATCTCAATTTAACCAAGGCAACCCTGGCCCACAATATCAGCAGCGCCCAGGACAGAATGGATACAATCCATACGCAGGGCAGCAGGGTGTACCCCCTGCGCAGGCATCGCCCCAGCCGTACACCCCTCGGCCTGGACAAGCCGGTCCTTACCATGCGTCTCAGGCAGCAGGCCGAGGCGCATCTCCCCAAAAGCCCCCTTACGCAACGCCTACCGCGACCCCGCGGGCCTCGTATAGTATACCTCCAGCTTCGGCAAACCCTCAGCAAGCCCCACAGCGGTACATCCCGCAGCAATCACAGCAACCGCACCAGCCGCCACCACCACCACCACAACAACAACAGCAGCCGCCGTCGCAGCCGCCGTCGCAGCCGCAATCCCATCCGGGCAGCTTCCCATCCAACCAAGCCCAGCCGCAGTCGGCAGGCTATTCGAACTCAGCTGCCGCGATGACCTATGCGCGAAGTGCAGCTGAGCAGGCCGTGGTGATGGATCGAAACAAAGCCCAGCTGGCAGCCAACATCCAGAACCGGCCCAACTCCACGACACCGCAGCCGTCAGGCGATTCGGCGACACCAAAGCCGAATGGAACCCCGGCTCCATCATCATGAGCAGATCGAGATACCGGTGATGGGAAAATGATCAATCATGTAGTTATTTTGTATATCCTTCCCTCCCCCTTCTTATGCGGCTGCCCTATCCGCCTCGCGATCGGCACAATCTCCAAGCATTAATGAGGTATAGGACGACCCAGCAAAGGTTGCAAAATCAATGTATAACTCGTTTCTATCTTGGAGCAAATCATGTTCTTTTTTTTTT